GTCTTGTGTTAATGCCACATCACCCCTTCCACCTCACTCAAATGTAGATATAAAATCGGAGATACGTAAGTTCTATTCAGTTGTGTATTTGTGAACTAAAGTCTTTGAAAATGTAATAAGTTTTACGAAACGCGCCCGTGTCGCGTCAGACTAGAAATAAAAATGAATTTTGGAGAATTGATTTTTGATTTACCTCCAACAGTGAAGCGTAATGTACGAAAGATTGAGAAAATTCGTGTTAGAATTATTAATCTTACTTTTTCGGTCATATTTAATAATATATGTCTACAGGAAAGACTGCTACCAAAATATACTAATATATATATATATATATATATATATATATATATATATATATAGAGAGAGAGAGAGAGAGAGAGAGAGAGAGAGAGAGAGAGAGAGAGAGAGAGAGAGAGAGAGAGAGTTTTGGCCCTCGAATAATAGAAACGGCAGATAGTAAGGATTTTTTGTTCGCGATGAACTTCCATTTGACGCCGTCAGTACTAAGAGTGTGGATCATCACCTATAACCATGGTCTGTAGGTCGAAATTTTCAAAACAATTCACTAGGCCGTGAATAGTTGTAGAACACTGCAACCTAGTCGCCCGGAATGCTCTCTCTCTCTCTCTCTCTCTCTCTCTCTCTCTCTCTCTCTCTCTCTCTCTCTCTCTCTCTCTCTCTCTCTCTCGGGCTTTCACAAGCTTTTGTTTATACGTGCATCTGTTCCAAATAGTTTTCCCAGCTTGGTGCCTTGTTTTGGTAAATGCTTACACCATGTAGACCAGCTGCTGCGTTAGGAGGCTTTCCGTCCACTCAGTGGGATTTTATAGCATGATTTAATTGTGTTCATTTAACATTAAAGAGCGTGTGAAAAATTATCTTCTGTTTACGGCAGGGAAAATTTTACTTCACGCAGTTGGTCAGTGGAAAATCTCCTCACCCTAAGAGAAGCACTAATGCAATGTGTGGAGTAGCTGAAACTTACTATGTGTTCAGGAAAATTGAGTTCACATCTGTTGTGTAATTATCTATGGTCCGGCTCAAGGCGGAAAATAATGCAAATTTTCCAGGCAGTCGCGGACGAAAATGATGGGGAAACCTGAAGGTATAGAAGAGCCAGAGAGGGTGCATGTGGGCGGGGAACATAAGGTAGGTTTGCGCGGGAAAGAGAAGGTGTGGGCGGGGAAAAAGAAGGTGTGGGCGGGAAAAGAGAAGGTGTGGGCGGGGAAAGAGAAGGTGTCGGCGGGGAAAGAGGTGTGGGCGGGAAATGTATGATGTTGCTGAAAGAAATGCAAAGCCCAAAAAATATACAGCCGAGTGCTGTCGGGGATTGGGTCAATGGTCTGTCGACTTCCAATTCTTTTAACAGTCAGTGTGGTCTAGCGGGTTAAGTACTGAATAAACTAAGATGCATGGAACCCTGGCTGTCTGGGTTCAAATCCTTCAGGGCTGAGGAGTTTATGGTTGCTGGAATTCAATCCTAACAAATGTAACATAATGAAGATTGGAAAAGGACAGAGGAGACCAGACGGCCTCCACACCATAAAGGGAAGACATCTACAGAAATCAGAAAGTGAGAAGGCTCTCACAGTGGGTATAATTCTGACACTAACACCGAAGGAACACACAAATCGACGCTGGTAAATAATAGACTATAGTTTAGAAACTAGAATCGGGACTCCCTCAAAGCAATCTACACAATAATTGTTAGACCAATACCGGAATAGACATCACCAGCATAGAATCCGCACCTTGTAAAGCACAAAGTCAAAATTTTACAAAAGTACAAAGGTTTGCAACAATTAAGATTGGTGCCAGAGCTAATTTTGTCTATATATAAGAGTTCTTACATTCTTGTAAAGCCACCAGCACGCATAGCGTTTCGGGCAGGTCCTTAATTCTAATTTTTCCTTGGAATACGACCCGCCAAATCGTTTAACAACCAAGTACCCATTCACTGCTGGACGAACAGTGGCTACAATTAAGGATTGGCGCCTAGTCAATCCTCCCGGGGCCAGGATACGAACCCAGGCCAAATCGCTCGCGAAACACAGGGCAAGTGTTTTGCTACTGCGCCACGGGGACTGTATGGGTTAAGCTACGAAGATAGGCTAATGGAACTAAATCTCACAACCCTAGAAGACAGAAGGAACAGTGGGGATATGATCACAATATAAAAGATATTGACGGGAATAGGTAAGGTGGACAAGGATAGCCTCTTCAGACCGAGAGGAAACAAAACAAGAGCATGTAACGTATCGGAATAATAGAGAAAAAAAGAACGTTTACAATGAGAGAAAATGGGTTAGAGTAGGTAAACTAGATTAGAGGTAGATTGAAAGGGTAGAAGAATAGAAAGTAGTAGATGTGCTAGGCGGAACAGAGGGAAAAGAAGGATAGAGGAAGAAGGAAAGAGACAGAAAGTGTAGACAGTGCTGCCACCATCCATTCAGGAGTTATTTATAAGACAAGGAATGGAACTTGATTTGTTTGTACAAGTATTATTATCATATTATCTGATGTTATCAAGTAACCACTGTATGAATGTAAATCATATAGTCAAGAATCTTTAAGACATAATCTTTACCAAGTAAATTTCAGACTTCTCTCCACTCTAGCTTTCACTATATCATAAAAAATCCAAGATCTAGGGATCAGAATTAAAGACAATTAAAAAGTAAGTTAATCAATTAGATATTATTATATATTCACTCATATGAGTATCATAATTCAACCATATCACTTGATGCTCAAATGTCAATATTAATACACAATTTGAGTCACCACACAAGAAATTAAGAGCAACTACGGCTGACTGCCCCTGAAAATCACACACTACTTAAATTCGAAAACACAATATACGTCAACCTTACAAGTTCACTCACCAAAGTCTCTGAGTATAAGATGATTGAGAGGAAGGGATGGTACGGCTGACATTCCAAGTCCCCTACCGGCCTGGCACAAGCCTAGTCTAGACTGCTGGAGAACTTCTGGTGTGGCGAGGCTTTTTTTTTTTCTCTCTCTCTCTCTCTCTCTCTCTCTCTCTCTCTCTCTCTCTCTCTCTCTCTCTCTCTCTCTCTCTCTCTCTCTCTCTCTCTCTCTCTCTCTCTCTCTCTCTAAATTGTACAATTGCAAGGGAATTTAAGGGGGGAACCGGAAGCTAAACTCGCCTACCAGGAGATAGCCTCTGGCTATCTTCCTACCACACCTAGACAGTGGCTTATTTGATGGAAAGGATATAGCCACCTGTCTGCAATACTCAGCTTAGCAGAGAGTGAGGTCACCTGACACGACCAGACCTCTACAACCTGTATAATTAACACTTGAAAGGTGTGACTTTTGATATGCTAAGGACCGACATCCTGGCGTCACCAGTATCTTGTGTGACTGTATGAAATATTAAATACGACCATTTATAGCGTTATAAGGACAGAGAAGGAAATGGAAACGTTAAAGAGCCGAAGGGACTTAAGGAACTTCTCGTACCCTGCACGGTAGTTAGCAAGTGGAATGCTCCTCATAATTACCTTATCTTTGCCTCTGAAAATATAACAACAATAATCACTTGCAGTTGAACGGGTTATACAATTTTGTCTATAATTCTAATCGCTCCATTTACAGTATTTTGTAATTTACCTATCACTGCATACTCAACATTACTATATAATAATTAAACAGTACTAATAACCTTATATTCATTTAATTTATTATTATTTTAGCTAAAACAAAAACAAGAGTTTTTTATTGACAAGCATAGGTATACAGAGCAATGTTCTGATACCCTATTCGATATGAAAGATTACACAGTATAAGGCTGATCTATATTAGCCTCCACTAGCAAAACTTGGGCACAGCACAAGAATATCTTCCAGTATTCTTGAGTGTATGAAGTAATTACAGAGCTCAAAGTACCTCATACCTTTTTGATATGAAGTCACTGATAACAGGGCAATCACAGATATAGTGTTGGAGAGTATGTTCTCTCAAGTAGGACTGAAAACAGATGTTTTTTTCCACCAAGAGGGCTATAAACCCATGGAACCGCCTACCCGCTGAAGCCGTAAATGCCAAATTCCAGCTAAAAAATATCATTAAGGCAATTGACGGGCTCTTTAACAAGCCGCCGGCTTTCTGTCCTCTTCGAGGCCACTAGATAGTTAGTGGCCCTTGGGTAAATTCAGTAAATATCTACAATAATTGTCAGCGCATCTTCCGAGCAACAAGGACAGCTACACAGTATCTCTTAGAATTACGTAGGTAAACAACAAATGTAACATATTTGTTTACTACAATGTCAGTGCTGGCTGTAGAAGTTGAAAAAACATAGTTTTACTTCGAAATATACTAATTTTATAAGAAAATTCGACGTAAATAAGAGGCAGTAGAGCTCCGATAAGCCAGCGCTAAATCTTCAATATGAAGAATGTTGCTGCTCTCTGATTAGCCAAACGAAACACAGTAGTGACCTCTATCGGCACGCAGGTGAACCAACAAATATCTTCCTAAGTGGACCTACCTGAATTGCACCTAAGCATCTTCTTAGGGCATAATTAGGAACCTTCGTAGCAAACCTACTTACGAAAAAATACTTGGAGCTTCGTGAATCTAGGTCCTGGGACGGTGGGTGGGGGGGGGGGGGTAAGGAATAGTGCCCAACCACTTTGACGGTTGGGGATTGAACGTCGATCTGCATGAAGGGAGAACGTCCCTCTACCTTGGGCTATATATTCAAATTCAAATTCAAGTTTTTATTCAGGTAAAAATACATACATAGATGATGAGTTACAAACATAAAGTTGGATTTACAGATAGAGCTAATACATACAGTGCCTAATGTATGTACATACAATACCTATATATATGCAGAAATAATATTAGTAAAACAACTAAAATCGTGTAGTGTACACTCTATATATCAAAATATACTTTGAAACCTGTATCAGTCACTAAACAAAAAATTGGGCTAATTTTATTGCAAATCCGCTACTTTTAGACCGTCAGCCCGCTACATTCAGCAATTTGGATCTGGCAACCCTGCCCCGGGCCACCACAACATCAACAATCCTCGCGCCTCCCAATTCAAAACCTTCCCAGGAACCATATCCTCGGGTTTGTGAGTTTTATTGCAGGTTCTTCATTTGTATTTGCCTCTCAAGATCTGTGGTGGAGGAGAACTAACTGCTCCGTCGCAGAATTGATTGGTAAACGTGATAAAGACGATTCCATTCGTCTTTATGGGTGGTAATGGGCGCGGGGTCCCACAGGGTACTTGAAATGAGTCAAATTGCTATGTTCCCTGCACTTAATTGGTGTAGTTTGCGTAAAGGTTCCTCTCTGGGTGACAGCATGGCTGGTGTGGCTCGTTACTGTTTTATTATATAGTCTAGACTAGTCTGCTCTTCGATTTATGCTGGCAAATGTATGGAAAGGTAGATTTCAGTCATTTCGTACCCAAGACGTTTTGTCAACTGATTTTACAATAATAATAATAATAATAATAATAATTTATTTGCAAGAAGGTACAAATAATAATTTATTTGCAAGAAGGTTTGTGAGATTACATAAGATTGGTATTTTTACATTCTTGGAAAGCCACTAACACACACACAGTGCTTCAGGCAGATCTGCCAAGACTATTTTAACCTCACAAGACTGTAAGAACTGGATGCAAATTACATCGTACACAAGATGGTTCGCTAATAGATTTCAACTCCTGCGTACCTTTGCCCAACTCATCCTATGTGATCTAACACAGCCTATCCTAAACTAATGCCTCCAAACTTAGCATGTACTCTGGTACTAGATGGTTGGTGTGGGTTGTATCCTTCCTATCCCCAGAGGATATAGTAAATTATTTACAGTTTTTGCAGTTAGAAAACAAACTTTGTTAAAATGCCTACATGCAATTTTACTGTACCATGGACAGGTTACAGTCAAACCTACAGAGATGTTTCTACAAAGCTTATTTTGTAATTGTTAAAACTGTATGTATTGTTAGGTTAGGCAAGGATAGGTTATGTTACATTGAATTGAGTTAGATTTTAAATTCCTTAGACAAACCATCTTCGATACGAAGTACAGTAACATGTATCAATATGAACTCTTTGCAGTGGTGTGTATTTTAATAATGGCATTATATTTTTCCAAATCAGAGTACTGTAATGTTAACCATCAAAATCCTAACTTATAAGGCTTTCTGTTCTACAAGGTCTTTCATGGAGATTTTGTCAAGACTTCTGAATATTGAATCATTTCTTGCTACTTGCCTTAAGTTATGCTGTTTGAGGGTCCCTTTGTAGATTCATACTTAAATATTCAGTACTACTGGCAGAGGCTGTTGTGTATCCTTGGCCACACTATGGGTTTGTGGTTTCCAGTGCCATCATATACGGCATACTATATGGCACGCATAGACGCAATAAAGCACCTAAATTATTGGGATCGTCTCAAAGCCCTCCAAATGTACTCACTAGAAAGAAGACGAGAGAGATATCAAATAATATACACCTGGAAGATACTGGAGGGCCAAGTACCAAATCTACACAGTAAAATAACAACGTACTGGAGTGAACGATATGGAAGAAAATGCAGAATAGAACCAGTGAAGAGCAGAGGTGCCATAGGCACAATCAGAGAACACTATAAACATCAGAGGTCCGCGGTTGTTCAACGTCCTCCCAGCAAGCATAAGAAATATTGTCGGAACAACCGTGGACATCTTCAAGAGGAAACTAGATTTATTCCTCCAAGGAGTGCCGGACCAACCGGGCTGTGGTGGGTATGTGGGCCTGCGGGCCGCTCCAAGCAACAGCCTAGTGGACCGAACTCTCACAAGTCAAGCCTGGCCTCGGGCCGGGCTTGGGGAGTAGAAGAACTCCCAGAACCCCATCAACCAGGTATCAACCAGGTATCATATGGTGTAAATGGACACTATATCTACAGCCACAACTGACATCCATTTGAGGATATACCCTTGGGAGTGGCAGCAAAAATGTGGCTCTGAAATCAAAGGCCTACTTTGATCTTATGGTAAAAATGCCGCCTTAACTGTAGCCTCTGTTCGTTCAGCAGTGAATGAGTACCTGGTTGTTAAACGATTTACGGGTCGTATTCCGGGGAAAATTAGGATTAAGGACTTGCCCGAAACGCTATGCGTGCTAGTGGCTGTACAAGAATGTAAGAAGTCTTGTATATAAAAATATATAAATAAATAAATAAATAAAAAGTATAATTTTTCTTTCTCTCTTGTGCTACAATATTCTAACATACAAAATATCACTTTACAGATTTTTTAATTGTTGAGTGATATCAAGCACTGATTTAGTACAATCATGAATGATGGTATGGAAATTCCAAAGGAGTTGCAGGATGCACTGCACCGTGTTGTAGCCATGGAAAAAATGGAGCTTTCTCCATTGCTAGATTACATAATGAAGCTGAAGAACCATGAAGTTGAAGTAAGAGCTGCAAAGATATATGGTGAGTAGTCTATATTATGGTTGCCTAAATTATATAGTACATTTTCAGTGTAGTTAAGTATATTGTACTGCGATTTAATTAATTTCATGCAATTTTAAACATTTCAATGCATATTATAGTATTTGCTACATTCATTTATCTTAGGTACAGATAGCTACAAATGTGATAATGAATTCATGGCTAGTTAGAGGGTGAATTGGTAATGTCTGTGCGTTAGAACAAATGGTAGTGTGATTTTTTTTAACATCGCATTTTTTATTGCAAGATTGATTTGAGTACGAAAGTATTTTACAATGCAGTATATTGTTATTCTTGAACCTGCAATTTAAGTCTAATTTAACATGATTTAATTCTAAAATCTATGCCATCGAAATGTCTTCTTGGGAGTTTCATGAAAAAAATTAATGCCTCTTTTTTTTTTTTATAATGTATATGCTGTATTTTCTTTTTCATTGTATAAAAAGAAGAACCTTTGCTGAGCATAGAGCACAGAGTAATTCATTAATTTCAAGAATTATAGTTAAGTAAAATATTAAGCACAAGTCTTTGATTGATTCATCATTCTTATTGTAGATGGTTGCACTTCTATTTATCTTAATTAACTTTAGTGTTCCACAAGGTTATGTTCTCTTTCATACACGTATCATCAATGTGTAGCAATCTGCCTGCCACTATAATTAAGTGACCATGGCCAATACATGCCTCGCATCACTCTGCCCAACATGATGAGAAAATAATTACACCGAACCTGGATATCTTCACTCCATGTACTATATGGGCAGCCTTGGACTTAATATAGGTCACGATGTGTGTGTGTCTGTGTGTGGTTGATGGGTTCGATAAAGCTGGTCTTGCGGAAGTGCTGCCACCTGACCGCTACTTGACCTTAACAAGGAGCATCTCTTTAGTCTCCGCTCCTTCTACGTCTAATTCTAATTCTCAAATGTCAGCTTCCCAGGCAGCCTCCTCTTCATACACAGCTTCGAATGTAGATATGACAGAACCCAATTGGCTCGGGAAGCTGTACATCAGTTGATGAAAGGATGAGAGGCAGTACCAGAGAGCCAAAGCTCAACTCCCCAGCTAGCACAATTAGGGACATGTTGGTATTGGGTGTGAGTCAGATGTTCTAGCCAGTTTTGCTGCTACTGCAAGAGATGATCTTTGACTGTCATCAACAGGTGGTGACACCCTGAGGATCTGGTCAAACATTATAAGATGTTCAAACTTTTTCTAGGCACCTGAACACAAGCCTTCTTTCATCATTGAATGACCAAAAACCTCTTGGCAACCACAATTACTTTTTGCAACAAAAAGTTAATGTGCACAGTATTGGTGTTTTAAATCTTCTGTGTTATCTTTGTAGAAACTAAATATGCTATATTACCACTGCATTGTTGTAGTAACTAGCCTTATGTCTACTAGAAAACTGTAGCTTAATGGCCTTAGCTGATTGTCACCTTATTCTTCCCATACAATATTTATCAATGTGTTGCTAATAAATAAATAAAAACTTTATTATTAATTTCATTAGAATCCAAATGCCATATAGTCATACTGGCTTAGTGCTTTCACATGATAATTACTTTCCCGTAATTACAATTTTGAAACCTGTATTGCTCTTTAAACTGTTGATGTGCAGCTCTACAAATATTAAATATTTAGAATTTCAGTATACTGTACCGAAACAGATTCAGAAGACAAGTAAATTTTCCAGTCTCATTAATTAATGATATTAGCAAATTTAGCACTCTGTATAATATTTCAGCAACTAAAGAAATACTTGCTGCTGAAAGCGGTCAAGACACGATGGCAGCTCCATCGATAGAAGAGAAGAATCAGCTCACTGCAGAGATTGATGATCTACACAGTGCTTTGGTAACTCACAAATTAGTCGGGGATACTTTGCAGGAAGCAGTATTTAAAATTCAGGTAATGTCGTATAAATTTATGTGAATTAACCAGCATCTTTTAGGAACGATGTAATTGTCTTCTGAGGGAGCGTGTTATGATCTTGTAGGTTAGCTATTTGTGCTAGCAAGAGGCCACATAGCTCTCTCAGTCCACTGTCGTTTAGCTTTTTACCATACAGTATCTATAATATATTTTGAGGTGTGTATTATGTCATACCATAACTACAATATCCTCAAAACAATTACACTATTTTCCATTGTTTAAATTTAATTTTTAGCTATTTTTCAATCCATTCTGAAGTATTAATAGAGAAATACAAAGTACAGTCAGGTTCATTCTTGACTCACAATTGGGAATTCCGGGTTTGAATCCCGGGCGGGACAGAAATGGTTGGGCACATTTCTTATCACCTACTCCTGTTCATTTAGCAGTACATAGGTAGCCAGGAGTTAGAGCTTCTTGTGGGGTTGCATCCTGGGAAAGGTCAGTGTGATACCATCATGAGCATGTTTTATTTCCTCCAATCTAATATTAAGATTGAGTAGATGTTACATCAAATAATAATTTAAATCACTTGATGTTTCAGATGCAGGAAGCAGTCAACAAAAGCCTAAGAACCATAGATACAGAGAATCTTTTGGATGATTTTCCAGAGAAGGGGTTAGTTTATGAGCATAGTTCCCACTTCACTGCAATATTATATGGAAAATTAGTGGCTGGAAGAGAATCTTAAGCTAAGCAGCTTTCATAAGAGCTGAGCTAATTTCAGATCAAATTGTGACACTTGCTCACTGCACATGTAAGCTGCTTAGCTTAGAGACTGTACTTGTGGTCATTCTTGTAATACATTAACCTGTGTAATTTGCTTAGATAAATGAATTTTGGAGTTCCAGAGCCCATTATGTGCATCTGTAACCTTTTCCACTACCGCCACAGGATGGGCATGGGTGCATAATAAATGAACTAAACTAAGCTGTACGAGATATGACAATAATAAAGTATAGTATAATTGGATAACAGAACACCTTTCAGTCTATGCTGAGATTGTTTTCTTTGGAAACTATTGTACTGTCCTTGGCAATGTTAAAGATTTTAATAAACATTAAACCCCACACATTATAGAGCTTGAAAAATATAACATTTTAGTCCATCCTAGTGCTTTATAAAGTCAATACTGCAAAAAAATCACTGACATAAAAGAAATCAAAAGATTGTCTCCTTTTTTTTGTGTATTTGAAAGAATTTAGAAATTACTATATAGCTCTTCGCAGTCACATAGTCTTTTTCAACTAAATAATAAATTAATTATTCCAAAGTTGTACTACACATGAAAAAATTTCGTCCCAAGTGCTTAATTAAAAGGTTTTTGATTCGTGTGTGGTGTATGAGGTCTTTTCTGAGCAAGTATGGGCTGATCTGGGTTCCTTAGCTTTGTCTGCTGCTACAGCCACACATGCGCTTGCCTCCTCTTGCTGGCAGTGGAAGGTTTTGTGTATTTTGGCAACAGTGGACATGGATATTCTTCCTGTGACCACACAACCAACAAATTTGTATTTAATTTGAATAAAATACATATGCAAGCTCTCGGAATCCAAATTCACTAATTAGTTATTTGTCTATCTTAAGCCTGCATTTTTGTTTCAGAGTTCTGCTCTCGCACTGCAGTCAAAATCTTGACACCTGCAAAACTTTGCAAGCTGTTGTTCAGGAGAAGGAAGAGCTTGATCGAGAGATCTTGGACATTGATTTAAAGTATAAGCAACTCCTAAAAGACATCAAAAAGAAATGGAGCACGTATATAGATGGTATGGCCCCAGTAGAAACTGAGAGTGAGCAGTTAACAGAGTAAGTATCTAAAAGAACTTTCTCAGTTTCATCAGTCCATTGCTGGATAAGGGCTATTCAATGTTGGAGTGTTTTTGCAATGAGGTAATGGCCATCTAATCTCTTTAATCAAGACTAAAACAGTGTGCTGTACCACAAAGTTAAACAAATTTAAATAAAGTATTTTGCTAATCATCACAGATTAGAGCATCTCATCCATCTTCCTTAAAGTTATTGCTTCACAAGCGGTTTCCTCAAAAATCTCCTCAGTGGTCAGTTTATTAGAGCTGTCTTTCATCCCTCTAGATCTTTACTACCCTTCCTGTATCCATGGCTTTTTATCTAGTTATTACATAGAGCAGTGCTATTATCCCCCATCATCTAGTAGTGTATGACTGCATCCATATCAAGGAGTTAGTTGTTGTGGATCTCTAATGCAGGTTAAGCATTCTAGATGCGCATTAAGTTAGTGCATTTGGACAATACAGTATGATCACAGTACACTATGCTGTGAAAGCTAATTTAAATTGAATTAGAGCTAACCTTTCTCAGTAAATATTTCTCTCATCATCTGCAATTTACACTGCTAAACAGAAATGAAAATAATTATATGTAAGGTAAAGTAAATTATCTTGTCTATAATAATTGATATATATTGTTTTGCTTTTTTTCAGGCTTCGTAGGAAAGCTCGGGAACGAGAAGCAAAATTGAGAATACTATCCACCATGCTACAGGGTTTAATCAGTACAAGTGGATTACAGTGGGGTAGTGATGACTATTTAGTAGAGGTAAAATTAAAAACTATTTTATTCTGTTAACCTTATCCAGTTGCACAGCATGGAAGCTCGAGTAAAACTTGTGTACAATAAAGCACAATCTTTACTCTTTTCTAAAATTAATATTTGACAACATTTCTCATAAATATCACAGGAAATCCATTTTGATCTTGAAGTTCATTTATCATTTGAAAACCATGAATTGAGACAAATGTTCCAATTAAATATACCTTAGTGTACTGTATTTTACAAGGCATTTTACTTTGGCAGAGAAATTATCCAAGATAGGAATTATACGGGATTAAATGAACAAATCCACGGTGACTGTGATAAGGGTTCGAACCTATGTCCGAGAGGATCCCAGACATGCCTTAATCGACTGTACCACGACGTGGTAAAAGAATTGCAACCGGGAGTTCTACTGACCTCACATGGACCCTGTGGATATGTTTATTTAATGCATCATGCTATTGTGATTTCTGTGTGTGTATGGGGTTCTCTAATTGTCCAAGAAGCAGTAAAGCATGTCTGAAACAGAAATAACAGATGCATTTTATATGTTTATTAGAAATATTTGATGAGGTCCCTGGTCTGCACACCACAGTTAATTATTGGAGTGAGACATACAGTAGGTGTGCAAGAAAACTAGTGAAAAGTTAGTTTAATCAGGACATGAAATATGGTGTACTCATTAGGTGGAGAGTGCTTCGTAGCTTCATTTTCCATGTGGTTTACTTAAAAAAAACTTTAGTCCTGTAAATTACCAAACTTCTAAAATGTTGTCCACATTTACATGGGTTATAAATACAAAAGAGGAATATATTTGACAATGCTGTAATATGGTGAGTATTGTATATTTTAGTTTGTAACAGCACTGACTTCAATTAATATATGTTGATAATTTTCCATTGATCTGCAGGTTTTGCATCTGTGTGATATTGCAAACAAGCATTGTGATCATGCTGAGGAGACCGCTGTAATCAACTCAATTTCAGAACTTCGTGAACAGAGAGAAAGTGGAACAAGCCAGAAGGGAAAAAGTATTCAGAAATACTTTACAAGTACCCCATCACAACGAAAGAAATCTGTTTGAATATGGTAATGATATATGTAAAAAGGATAATAGGAGCATAATTCTGTTCTAAACACTACATGTTACTATTTTCAGATTATCATTAGTAGCTGAAGATATGTTTTGATATTTTGTTTTCTGCACTCAGTTTTACGTGTGTCTTGACAATAAATTTTATTTTAATACAGTAGTTTATTTTAATTAATTTCTCTTATAGAGTGTGGTCTTGGCATCAAAGTTGTCATGCATCATTGGTTTTAGTCAGTAATTCCATGATTGCCGCTACTCCTGGAAGAATATAAATTTATATATTAACAATTACATGTAATGGTTTTGCACTATAAAGTGTTGTTTATTTTGTACTGGGAATTGGTCTGACAAGAATGATATACAATTATGTTCATATTGCTCTAGTTCTTAAGAGGCTCAGCTTATAACTCGTAAAATTTAGAAAGCTCTTAATTTCTAACAAAATACTGAACAGGTCATGTTAGATTTAGGCTTTGATAGCTATTATACTAATGTTGACGTTGGTCATGTTTTTCGTTTTTTTCATTTTTTTTTTTTTTCTTTCTTTTTGGGGGGGGGATGTTTGTATATTTTATTCAGACTTATGTTATGCCAAATTTAAACTATTGCTTAGCATTTTGGGTTTTGGCATCAAGGTTAACAGATGTTAATCAGTATTTAAAGTAAATTACTGTGTAGTGGATTTCAGGAGTGCTGTATAGTGTTTTTCATAACTTTTTAAACAGCTAACATCTTTGTATATAATATTTAACAAAAAATTCTATGGTAAATTTTAATGAGAAATACATATGTTTTGTATCTTTGTAGAGATGAACTGTGATAATTATATTTTTTTATGGAACTGTCTTAATAATAAATGGGAAATATGTTTCATTGTTAGTAAATGCAAAGTGCATTACTGTAATACATTTTTAAACAAATGAAATGGCAAGCTGTTGAGGTACACTACAGGTGTTAGTGATTTTGCAGAATGAGAATACAGTATATTACTTCCACAACAAAATTTATGAAAAAATAAAATATTGTAAATTTATCTGAATTTACCTAAATGCCACCACTGTCCCTCTAATGGCCTCAATGGGGACAGAAATGTCCCATTCGAAGTTCCCCTCCATTTGGCAAAGATCTCCCCATTGTTCCTGAGGATTTTTTCTATCTGATTATAAACTAAAGTAATAACTTGTCATTTACAGCTTTAGTGTGTAGGTGGTTTTCATATGATTATAATCCCTATGGATGAAAAAACATTTCCTGTTTTCTTTTGCACTGTAGTTTGTTTAGCTTGAAGGTGTTACCTTTTGCGTGTATGTTTGACCTTTCAAAGAAGTGCTGTGGGTTAATATCCTCCAACTTGTTAAGTATTTTAAAGTTTTCAACAAGCTCAGCCCTGCCATGTCTGGTTTGTAGTGTTATTAGTCCTTTGGCCTGCAAGTGTTCCTCGTATGAGTGTTGACTTAGTTCAGGGATGATTTTTGTCACTATTAAGCTTTCTGTAAAGCAGGTAAGTCATTTTGAAGGTTAGGTCTTTATGCCTGGATACAGTAATCCAGGTAGGGTGCACCACAGACTTGTACAGTTGAATAACCACTTTTTTTTTTTCCCCTGAAATCAAAGGTTCATTTGACAATTCCTAAGGTGAGAAAATCAGTAGGAGCCATGAGGAGGATTCGAACCCACTCAATTGGTACTACCAAGCTAGCGCCGTAGACCATCATGCAATGACATGGTCAAAAGCAATGCAACCTGGGTTTTCACTGAATCCTCTAGAATTTTAGAGGTTTGCAACTGAAGCCTAATCAAGGTTTTCAAGCATTGCACTCTGGCTAATAGTTCTGTAGTTCTCCAATGCTTCTTGTCAAATGCACAATGTAATGTATCTGAGAAAATATGTAGGAGCTAGGGCGCTGCTCGAGAGTACCAAGTGAGCGGGTTCAAATCATCTTCATGGCTTCTACTCATTTTCTCATTAATTCATCACATTAATGTGATTTCATTGTGTATTCTTAGGGTGTGGTTTGCTTTTTTTCTTTTCTTACTGCACACCCACTTGTAGAATTGTCAGTGTTACAAGCAGAAGGTTGGATTTCCAGATAGAGCAAGTATACACTATACCTAAAGCCACTAATACACAGCATTTTGGGGCATGAAAGAGTAATGTCTTTTAACATGACATTACTGTGTATATATTGACCATACTGTGCTTAGAGAAATGTAAGTCTAGCTTGAATTTCCAAGCATATAGTGAGAACTAAAACTATAAAAGGGTTAATTAGCCTTAGATGTAATCTGTATCTATGAAAGAGGATATCTGTTCAAAGTTGGAGGCTAGATGCCTTGGGCTAACCTCAAAACTTTGAAGGGTGATTGGTGGGATCAGGGGGAGAGGGTGGGCCCCCTCTCCTTTCTCAAATATGGGTATCACTTCGTAAAATTTTGTGCTCCCAACATTTAATCAGCAAAACATTTTGGGGTTGCCCACATGTTCATGTTGGTCTCCAGCCCGTCCTCATAAACAAAGGTGTAAGTCCATTCCATGTACCCGTCAAACCCCTTGTTTATGAATGAAAAATGGTTTACACACGACTCTACTGATGACGTCCGAATACTTAAGGAACAAAAGAGCTGACGACTTTTGTTCGAACAACATCGCTGTAAATGCTTCACCCACATACTACAAACAACCTAACCTTACCTAACCAATGCCTAAATATGCACAAAATTCTAATATATATAATCATATTAATTTATATTTGAGAAAATAATTATTTTGAATGAACAGCGTGTTAAAATTGATGAATGCGTCTTTGGGGTCGACTGTTTGATGGAATGACCTTGGTCTGAGGACGGGTTGCAGCCTCAACACACCTGGGGTCCACGGCTCGAGCCCAGGTGAATGGAATGTTTATTTCCACGAAAGTGTGGATGACAATTTATATGAATTAACTGTTGTGGGATGCATCCTGGAGGAGGTCAGTAGTAGGCCTATCCCTACGGGTGCGGGCCTAAATAAGTCAAAGTACAGGCATCCTGTCCTCGACAACGGGAAATTTTAAAACAAAATAGTATAGTTATGCCTCTGATCGTTATAAAAGAAAATGTGTACACTGAAGCAGTAACAGGCTATCGAGGATGAATCAATTCGTATTATATCTGTGCCCTGTTATATCTATTAATTTATTTATATACAAGAAAGTACATTGGGTTTGTGAGAATACATAGCATAGTATTTACAATCTTGTAAAGCCACTAGTACGCGCAGCGTTTCGGGCAGTTATAATTCGAAATTAATATTTCGAAGGTCATTGTCCCCGCGGCCCGGTCTCTGACCAGGCCTCGGTTACTGGTTTGGTCAACTAGGCTGTTGGACGCAGCTGCTCGCAGCCTGACGTTTGAGTCACACAGCCTGGTTGATCAGGTATCCTTAGAGAATGTTTGTCAAGTTCTCTCTCCTTTTGGACAGATGTTGATAGTTCTCCCTTAGTATGACTATTGCATCTCTGATTTTTAATGGGGCTGCTTTGCACATCCTGCCATTCCTTCTGGTCTTATGTTGCTAGGAAATACACGTTTTTTATATAATTACAGAGGAGTATAATTTACCGCACGAGCCTAATTACAAAATTCGTTTAACTAAGCAAATCATAAAATACGTTTAATTAAACAAATTATAAAATTCGTTTAACTAAGCAAATTACAGCATTGATAATATACATAAATACTGTAGTTTGATATTGTATGAAATAGTGCAAAATACTAAACATTACAGTGCACGAAATGTCCATTTTATGTGTACGAAGCATCGAAGTGGCGATGTACGAACTGACGATAAGCCGTCAAGACGCCCTGTCACCTTTACCGTCCCGGTCAAGTGTTATATCATGGTGAGCAGGTGTTTATTACTGTTTATACCGTCTACCATACCACTGGTTATGGTGCAAGTGTGTTAAAACAGCCCGTATTAGCAGCCTAATACACTCTGGTGAGGTTGACCAGTAACTGGATGGGTGAAATGATCCACAGCCTTGTGGCCTAAGTAGGGACTCGGTGAAGTGGCTTTATAAAATAATATAAATGTATATAGGCCTACATTGTCAGGGGACAGGATGACCATTAAGCTTATCGAGGGCTCCCCAAAACACTGACTTTGCCGAGATGCAACTCTTAGTAAAAGACTAATAAAAGCCTGTGGTGTCTTCAGTTATATAGTAAGATTCCGTTTTTTTGGCAAAAGCCTTTTTTTCTTAAATATATAAGTACTTTGGTACTTCATACAATGTAGCTTGTAATTTGTTATATTCTCTAATGTTGATCTTTAATTGTGGTCACTTAATTAGTGTATATATTTGTTCTTTGATTCTGTAGTGCCGTGGATGACTCTATTCAACTCCCGAAACACTATACGTGTTAGTGGCTTTACAAGAATGTAAAAACATCACTGCTATGTACTATCATAAATGCAATGTACCTTCTTGTATATAAATAAATAAATAAGTTGATTAAGAACCCAAAAAATGTCCGTGGTTCAATGTTCGCACAGGTCAGAGATGTTCGATCAAGTTTCGTAAGTTCCTTTACAACTTGACGCCTCGGTTCATCTAGGAGGAAATAGATACCCAGGAGTTAGGCAGCTGTCAGGGACGGTATTGTGAGGAAGGTTGTTCACAGGCTTTGGGGATAACAGTATTTTTTATTTATATACAGTACAGTATATACAAGAGTTCTTACATCCTTGTACTGTACAGCCATTAGCACATATAGCATTTTGGGCAAGTCCTTAATCCCAATTTTCACACACGCACACACACACCCATAGACGGGAGGGTAGATGGGACACCACGAGCGTAGCTCTCATCTTGTAACTACACTTAGGTAATTACACCCCCTAGGAAGCAGCCCGTAGCAGCTGTCTAACTCCCAGGTACCTATTTACTGCTAGGTGAAGAGGAGCATCAGGGTGAAAGAAACTCTGCCCATTTGTTTCTGCCTTCCGCCGGGAAAGGAAATAAATGATCAGTACCTCGATAAACCCAACAGGTTTCCTGACCCCATCAATGGGCACCAAAAACTAGATATGTACAGGATGTATTACTGGTACTGGATGTATTTACCTGTTTTACCTGAGGGCCACACTAACCCTAGAGGCCTTGACGAGGACAGGAGGCCGGCAGCTTGTCAAAGGTCCCCCCCCCCCCCCCCCCCCCCCATTTGCCTTCATTATCTTTTCCAGGTAGATTTTAAAACTTAACACAGTTTTGGCATTTGGTGTATATCTACTTCTTGAAGAATCTGCATCACACCCGTACCGAGGGACTGTACTTAATTTTCTCTGTGCACTTTCAGTTACTGCAATGGGTAACAAGATATTCATCCTTGCACTAGTGGTCGCTCTAGCTGCGACCCTAATTAATATCCATCTGAAGAAGAAGGTCAGCTTTTATCTCATTAAGAGTGGAATTGGAACTTTTATTTTATATGGTTTCTTTTTTATTAATAAATTGAACTTGCATCCTGTTTAAGCCTAAGCAATTCTATATTTAAATCTCATTGGCTAAATAGTCTCCCAAGCTTGATGCCTTCTTTTCATAATTACCTACTTACTGGTACTTAGGCTACTTACTGTATCATCAATACAGTAGTTGTATCTTGTATCTTAAAAGTCCTACTTAGAGAGGTGCATTTTCATATTCATTCACAGCCTTCTATCTGTTATAACCCCCATTTAACCAGCTTTAACCCTCTAGCTGCATGTAGTAAAAAAATTATTGCATTTACACAGTGGCGCCTCGATTAACGAGTTTAATCCGTTCCGGCACCGAGCTCATCATGTGGAAAACTCGTCTTGTGAAACAACAACAAAACTGTCGTCGGAAGTGTCCGAGAACCAGCGGGAACGTTCGTTAATCGAGGGAAAGCTCGTCAGTCGAGATATATTTTCGGCGAGTGGCTTGCTCATTACTCGAAATGCTCGTAACTGGAGCCGCTCGTCACTCGAGGTTCCACTGTATTTACATTTCTATCAAAAGAAAGACCTGATCTTTCCATCTACTGGATATCATTCAATATGTTAGTTTAGTTCATTTATTATGCATCCTATACCCATCTTGTGAGTGGCAGTGGAAAGGGTTACAGAGGCACATAATGGGCTCAGGGACTGAACCCCTACTTGTAATTCGAAGTTTAACAAAAGAAATGTGTTAATTTTCTAATATCATGTAAAGTATGGGGCTAGTAAGTCAATACCAAGTCTTAATTATTCTCAGTACTGTACATTGAATAGCATCATAAATAGTACCTTAATTACCATATTCCCCAAGAAACTGTATGTAAAGTATTTTGCACAATGCAAAAACAAATTAGTTCTGTTTTATATTCTTTCTTTAATCTTTTGGTGTGCTCTGTTTTTCTTATACAGTATTTCTAATAGAAAAAATAATGCTATTTTCATATTTACCATTAACCATCATAGTACTGTACTCATAATTGTGAAACTCTTGAATATGAAAAATGATTAGAACAAATAAATTTGAAATAAAAAATGATTGCCAAGCTTGCAAATAATATAATATAATATAATATAATATAATATAATATTAATATTTTATTCACATAGTAAGCATTGAACATAAAGTGGTTATATATTGTACATAGTAGGTAAATTAATTGTATATTATATAAAGCCACTAGCTAGTGTTTAATTATATTCTTTTCTTAATTTCTTAGTGTTTAATTATATAGTTTCTGCCCGAAACGCTGCGCGTGCTAGTGGCTTTACAAGACTGTAATTACCATAATTGTATCCTCACATTCCTTATGTACATTCTTGTATATGCATAAATAAATAAATAAATAAATTCTCTACTACTGTACACGGTATAGGCATAAAATTCACACACAATGTGTCACAACGTGCAAAACAAAGTACAGTATATATATATGTGTATCAATATGTTTAATAACACAGACATCACATTAATGTGATGTATGTTGACCAGACCACACACTAGAAGGTGGAGGGACGATGACGTTTCGGTCCATCCTGGACCATTCTCAAGTCGATTGTCGAATATTTTTAATGTATATCAATGAGGTGGTCCTATACCTTAAGCCCCAACTTCAGAAACACACAGAAGTTTGTGTGTGTTTCTGCAGTTGGGACGTAAGGTTTAGGACCACTTAACCCTTCTACCCGAGTGTTTGTGGGTCATACGTAAAATGTGGACTGGCTTCAGGAGAGACCTCCAGACTTTGTGATTTCAGTAGAAATTTGGTTGTATGACTTTTACAAGTCAGCGATGGTACTAGTAAGAGTACGCAACTGGTAATGCCAGGGTCGTAGGTTCGTGCCCACCTGTAATCCTGGTGGATTTTCTCGTCAGTGTTTAATCATAGAAATAGGTGAGAGTGTGGGGTTTTGAGGAAGGCTTTCTGGGTGTTTTTTGAGCCATTGCAAATATTGAAGGCCAGATGTTTGGTCGAACATTTCAGAAGGTAAAAAGTTTTTCTTGACAACTGAACACAGGGCAATATCATACTAATTGATCAGTTCAGAAGGTAAAAAGTTTTCTTGACAACTGAACACAGGTCGATATCACACTAATTGATCAGTTGGTGATTTAATGGAGATATAGTTTGATATTTTGAATGGAAGCCAAATAATTTATCAATGACCAAACTTGTTTCTTTAGGTAATTTTTTTTTTTTATAAACTTATTTGTTTACTCCAATAAATCAACATGTAAAGAAACATGGCCAGATACTCAATCTCAGAATAATGCTTATGGGAGATCGGGTAATTAAATTCACAATACTAAAATAAAACTGGCATTACAATCTTTTTGAAAGAAATTTAATGACTTTCTCATTTCTATATGTATTTCTTTGGGTTAAGATTTGTTATTATCTTACAACTGGATTACAGTACAGTACTCTGTAATTTTTAAGAAGAATTTGCCTTGCAAAACTTGTATAAAATCAAACATTGACTATCAAGCTAAGAGTCAACTGTATAATATTTTGAAATATCATGACATTTTCTGACCTTTAAATGTGTTAAAATGTTGTTATATTCTGTATGATATTATACAATTTACTATAAACTTGAAGATTTTTTATTGATAAATATTTTATTTATGTATATGCAGTAGAGTAATATATGTATGTATAGATATTGTATATTTTGTATGTCTGTACAGTATTGTAATTTCTAATCAACAGGGGGAGGCAAGGTACATATTCCATGCTGAATGGTATGATCCAGTCTCGGCAACTGTCAAAAAGTTCCAGTTGAGTTTCTTTCCAAGAGATAAATCGGTAGAAATGGTAAGATGTTAAAAAATCTAAGATAGCTAGAGAGTCAAGAATTTTATTAAGCTTAGCAAATAATATATAATTTTTAATCCAAAACACTTTAGTAGGACATTGTTGCATAATCTTTATGAATACTGTATCTACAATATGGAATAATGTATCAAATTTAAAGGAAATTGACTCTTACTACTTTTTATCATTTACTTACTGCAGTACCTGGTATTTTGCTGTTAAATTTATGAGTCCAGATAATTTCTTGATTACACTTTTAGAGCTGACCGTACTGTTACACTGGACACTCCTGTACCCTGTTAGTCACCTGGCTTCTTCAGTGACTTGTATAAATTATTAATATGAATTTTAAACAATGGAGGAGGTATATTACTTAATTAACAGGGGACTAGTGAATAGAATGGAATTTTATATTAGTACAGGTGTTAGTATTTTTGAGTATTAACTGCAAACCAAACCAAGGCAATCACTGGAAATTTTAAGAATTGGGAATAATTTCAAATTTATTTTATAATGGGAATCAGACATTCTAACTAATATTTCCTTAACAAGAAATTTTAGAGAAAATATTACTGAAATAAAGGGAACCTTGCCTTGCGGTTACCTTGCGATGATTTCGGAGCTCAACGTCCCCGCGGCCAGGTCTCCAACCAGGAAAACATACATGCACTTTCCAGGTTTTCACTCCATCCACTTAGGTAGTCCACAAAGATCCTGTAGCACAGTAGGCTGTGTTCTCAACTCAAAATCGAGGATCCCGGGAACGCTCCCTGAGTTGTGCACATTTCCTTTCACCTGATGCCTCCATACACCTAGCAGTAAATAGGCACTTGGGAACTAGGCAACTGTTGTGGGTAGCATTCTGGGAAGGGTTAATAATTTGCCCTACAGTGGACCTTGATACAAGCATTAGTACATGCTTCCTGTATCCAACAATGGGAATTAAAATTTGTCCTTATAACTATGTCTTAATCCTACATGTCCACACTGTCGCATAGGTTTGCCCATACTCAAAACACATCTAGTCTGTTATATCTATTAAGACACAGTACATGGGTAAATGCCTCTTAATTGAATTTGTTAGGATGCCAGAGAAAGACATATTGAATTGCTTGCTGACTGATCACAACATCCTATGGTCTATTGTTCCAAGCTCTTGTTACAGGGTATCCAAAGCTAGACAAAAAAGGGACATTTGAACAGTGTTATACATAAATGTGATAGAGATACGGAAAATCTTGTTAGAGAGTAGCAAGTGAGCAGAATTCATTAGAAAAGGAAATAGTGTCAGCAAACTCCATATTCAGATTCAGATGCTAATACTTTATGACAAAACTTATGAAGTTAGAAAGGCATCACAAACAATTGAATACTTACATGTTTACCAGACATGTACTCTGCTGTATAGTAAGAAAATAATTAATCTGGAAACATGTTCACCAAGATGACCAACTTTCAGTACGATCTTCGGGCACAACGACTATTCTTAAAACGGCTCCCAGTTGAAGGTGTGGAGGAGAGAGACTTATACCTGGGCAATACTATTGTCGTTCTTTCTCGGCAATTGAAGCTCATTGATTATGCAGATGCAACCACACGTGAACAAATCGGTTCCAGAAGACAGAGGTAATATTCTCTCTTAGCACTTTCTTAACATTATTTTTTATGTTTGTGTTTATAATATATACAAGTTAATCAAAATTAAGACATTTTATTGAAAGATGGAATTATTTCATGAAAGTTTCATATACTGTATGTACACGTATGGTACAGTATATTGCAAATTTTGTTCAGTGTAAAATATAATTCTAAATAAAAGCCCTACCACTGTTAAAATTCTTAGTGGGTGGTTTGTGCTAGAAAATTAATTATAACACTACAGTTTTTGTAGAAAATAATTTTATTTTGCCATTTGCATATTTCATGTTGATCAATTTTTATTACAGTATTCAGTTTAAGAATTTTTGAGAACTATTGCATTCAGTTACTCCCTGAGAAAAGAAATCTCTGCTATGCTATGACAATGAAAGGATTCATGAACAGTTAGACAGGATGACAGGCACTTGTGATGCAGCTATCTTTTTTTTTTTTTTTTTTTTTTTTTTTTTTTAGATATATACAAGAGTTTTTACATTCTTGTACAGCCACTAGTACGCGAAGCGTTTCAGGCAGGTCCCTGGAATACGATCCCCGCCATGAAGAATTGTTACAACCAAGTACACATTTTACTGTTGCATTAAACAGAGGCAGTTAAACAGTTAAGGATTTGTGCCCAGTAAATCCTCCCCGGCTAAGATACGAACCCATAACAAAGCGCTCGCGGAACACCAGGCGAGTGTCTTACCACTACACCACAGAGACTGTCTTTTCAAACATTCTGCAAAGTCTTATAAGGTGATAGGAAGGCACTGGAGAAAAAGCTCAATCCTTCCCAGATCGGCCATTCGAGGCACACTAATAAAATCTTGAAGCTCTACCGGATCTTCACTTTGCATCGCAAGTAAAATCCAAATAAGGCTTCACAATTGCCCATTTTCAAGTTTGGCCAGACTTGTTACAACCACCAGGTAGTGGCACGAATGTCTTCTTAACATTTCCAGACCCCAATCATGTCATATTTTTCATGACCTCATATTCAGTCGACCCTTATGGACCACTCTACAGTAAAATGATAAACTCTGCTATTTGAGTGATTGCCATGATGGAACCTTATTCTTGACAGGCAGCATATGATGCTGCCTAATTACAGGGATTCAATGCAGACATATCAGTAAAGTTGCTCTTAGTATAAATAAAATTGGGCTATGTTTTAGCCCAGTTTTTAGCCCATGTTTAGACTGAGCTATGATTACTCATAGCCCAGTCAATAGAGCTTCGGCCTCACATGTCCATGGTTCGAGATTCCTGCAGCCCAGATCAATGAATTGCTCTTAGTACTCGGCTATTGCTGCTGTTTAAATTAACTTTTATCTGTGAATTGAAGCTACTAGACAGAAAGAATGCTACTTAAAACTCATTGTCTGGCATTTCAGATTGGTGAGCTTTGGCTTCTATTACTTCCTCCAAGTATCTTGAGTTTCTGTTCTCTTCCATTATCTATAAAACCTAATTGACTTTTGGTCCCCTTTCAAGCTGGGGACATGTTGGCCTAGGAATGGAGGCTTTTGAGCTGTGCCTCCTTTGTCCCTTGATGATGTGAAGGAATACAGTATCCCATACCTCTGTCAGGGCACTTGGTTCCTTCTTTATATGGGTGAGAGGATTTTTTTTATTCTTCAGAGGAGTCGGTTCCATTGAGGCTATCTCCTTCTGTCTCTGGTCCGAGACTAGCTTTGACTCTGCTGCAGAGCACAGAAATAGTCCCTTCCTTCTTCCTAATTGAAGAAGAGGTGCTATCTGGAGGAATGACAAGAACTGTCTGGTTTCCATTTGATCTCTCCTGAGTTTGGAGTTTCAGATAAATTTGCTAAGACTTCCTGCTTATGGGGGTGTTTGTTGTAACCCACTTCTCAGTTCTAGATAAATAATTATGTTTAAGAAGGTGTATTTCATGTTTACTAAAAGGTGTGTTATTGTGGAGGCATAAGAAATAAAATATTTTCAAATACTGTAAATCCATTGATGCAATAATTCTAATATTAATCCTGAACAAAAAATAATTAGTAATGGCTTAAAATTTCAGAACGTTTGCAATGGTGAAACCTGATGCTGTGCATAGGCTGGGGGAAGTCGTAGATGTCATTCAAAGCCATAACTTTGAAATTAGTCAAATGAAAATGGTTCAGCTTGACAAGAGTCAGGCAGCCGCTTTCTATCGAGAACATGAAGGTCGGCCATTCTTCACGTAAGTACAGTAGCTAAAGACATAAAGAGTGTGGGGCACCTTTACATACAACCACTTTATGATTGAGATGGGTATACCTGATGTTTCTCCAGCACTCGGATGAAGATGTGTCCACCTCATCACCCACACAATTACCTGCCTTAACCTATCTGATACAGTAATGTGTACATCCTCCTTCTCCTAGGAGGAGTAGCCATGTGTTGAGTATTTTCAAGATATTTCAGATGTCATTAATGTTAATGAGATGATGTACTACTTGAATTATAAAATACCAACAGATATAGTATGTCTATGGAAAAGATAAGTACTTAAACAAAAAAGCTAAAATGTAGGAAAGCTGCAGGTACTGTTGACATTTATACAGATATGATTGAATGCAGTATAAAAAATGAGATACCAGTATAATGGGAGTGGAGAATTTTCCAGGTGTGGGATAGCAGTATTGTATAGTGCCAAATGATTTAAAAAAAAGAGCTGTGATTGTATTATTGAATGCAAATTATGGTGAACATGGTTAGTATAAGAATTTAAAGGCATCGGTCTACTCTTAGTACATCGGTCTCAACTCACAGTTGTGGATCTCGGGATCAATTCCTAAGTAGGACAGAAATGGTTGGGCATGTTTCCTCTCGGCTAATGCCAGTGTTTAACTAGTATTAAACAAGTACCTGGGAGTTAGACAACTGTTGTGGGGTTGTATCCTGGGAAGGGCCAGTAAAGCACAACCTCGATTCAACGAACTATATCGGACCAACCCAAGTCATGGATGGGACCTTGATACAAACCTAATGTATATATGCACAGTCTTCCTGTCCCCAACAAAACAAATTATTATTATTATTATTATTGCACAAGGAAATCACACTAATGTGATGTATTAATGAGAAAATCGTTAGGAGCCTTGAGGAGGGTTCGAACCTAAAGAACCATAGGTTCTTTGCTTGGGAGTACCCAGAACATAGAGTCAATCCCTCCTCACGGCTCCTGATTTATTATTATTAATTATTATTATTATTATTATTAATTGCTATTATTAAATGTATTATTATTATTAATAAATGTAAAGGGCAAGATGTATGTCAAAATAGTGATTGGAAGAACTCAGGAAATAACTGATAATTGGTCCGTGATGATGAGCAAGATAGGTTCCATGGTGAAAGCACTTGTGTGGCTCACATATTCTGTGCATTCTCTTTCTTTGATAAACAGTAAATTTGAAGTGGTTTTACTTAGCCAGAATGCACTTAGAAGCACTTAGACAACCCACCTAATCTATTGGGGCCAATCCTCATTAGTCCGAGGAAGTGTCAATATACCCGTGCATTTAACTTCACTAAAGCACCCTAATTTTGATGCTGCAAAGACATATTAGAATATTTGCATTATAATTGCTTGTAGAGAAGGTATGGAAGAAAGTTGTAAGTGCACAAGATCTCAATTTACCTCGAGAAAACATAAGACAAAGTTGATAGACGAAGACTTTGAATAGTAATGAGCATCTAATAAGGTGTGAATGAGGTGTATGGTTCACCTCGTGGGTTCGTATAACCAGGGACAGAAAGCTTGTTAGACTTATCAAGGTTTCCTCCCCTGGACCAACTACTGAGGACTTTTCCCAGGATGCAACCCAAAACAGTTGATACCTGGTTGATGGGGTTCTGGGAGTTCTACTCCCCAAGGCCAGGCTTGACTTGTGAGAGTTTGGTCCACCAGGCTGTTGCTTGGAGCGGCCCGCAGGCCCACATATACCTGCTTGATGGGGTTCTGGGAGTTCTTCTACTCCCCAAGCCCGGCCCGAGGCCAGGCTTGACTTGTGAGAGTTTGGTCCACTAGGCTGTTGCTTGGAGCGGCCCGCAGGGCCACATACCCACCACAGCCCGGTTGGTCCGGCACTCCTTGGAGGAATAAATCTAGTTTCCTCTTGAAGATGTCCACGGTTGTTCCGGCAATATTTCTTATTAGGTGCCTAATGCCTGGGTATCTATTTACTGTTAGATGAAAGGACGTGTGCCTAACCATCTCTGTCCCACCTGGGGGTTGAACCCGAGATTATCAGTTGATAAAAGTAATTGCATTGAGTAAAATTTTATGTTTTCAAGTGATGCAATTTTTTCAATATAGAATAAGATTTTATGGAGATTAGTTTGAAATTTTTTTTGATATACGTTAGTAGATTGTTAAATGTGAAAGTGGAAAAAGAAGTGGTTAACCATTTTAAATGTGGTGGCTACCCATTCTTAAGGAAAGATACCATACTAGGTGTAGAGAAATATAAAGGAAGGAAAGAAGTCTAACAAATTTTCAGTTTTCTTTCTTTTTTTATAGGCCTCTTTTGGACTATATCACAAGTGGTCCAGTTGTTGCAATGGAGCTGATAACAACAGATGCTGTCAAAAGATGGCGGGAGTTGTTGGGACCCACTGATGCCGAGGCAGCAAGACAAGATGCACCAGAAACAGTTCGAGCAAGATTTGGCCAAGACAAGCAATCAAATGCGGCACATGGCTCTGATTCAGATATATCGGCAACAAGGGTTAGATATATGTTATTTTAGTAGCAACTATGACTCATATAGAGATTAAGGCCTTGAACCAGGTACTGTAACTATTCAGTGCCAACAAATGGTTAAGAAATTTGAATAGTAAGTTATTATTAATTTTGCTTCTCAGTAACTGACATGAAATATTAATTTATTTTAAAGGAAATTGAGTTCTTCTTTCCTTCAACAAGAGTGAGCGATGTGATGGTGCCTCAGACCACTGCCAGCTTTGCAAATAGCACTTGCTGCATCATTAAACCTCATGCTATTGCTAATGGTGAGTCACATCATACTGAAATTATATGTACTATATATTTCCATTAATATTGTTTTCCCTTTATTATTCTTTTTTTTTCTAAGCTATCTCATTCCGTTGTTCCCTAAGTTAAGGATCCGCCATGCCGTGAGAGCGGACCATGTAAGGTCAAGCAGGATGACATGACACGACACAGTGTCACAGAAACTCTTCAAGGGGCCTAGAAAAGGTCATTAAGTTATAGGGTGGAAAATTCAACCCAGCCTAAACTCGAAGCTCCTCTGAATCATCTATTAGCAGCAACACAGGTAACTGTTAGTAGGAGAGTTCTCTCACTAACTACCAGTTGCTCTACCTGACTATAACGTCCTCGCAAAGCACCTATCCTATCTGAAGGGTAGCCACCCACCTGGCTATCACCACTGATAAGCCAGGTGATAGCCACCCACCTGGCTATCACCACTATCACCAATGATATCAACAACCAAGCAAATTGTTACAAACTATGACTTAACTTAAAAGTTAACTTAAAACTACTTAATGCTGCCACCACCTTCGTCTTTGATGAAAATTAGTATTTTACGGTGACTGACGACGAAGGGTACCGGTCACGGGAGAGTTAAAGATGTTAATTACACTAGGGGGGTGGTGGGGACTGTATCCGGTCTGTTGTCTACTGTGACCTATCATATCTATACTGGCGCAGGGGGAAGGAGAACATGGAGAACACTTTTGATAATTACGGGCGGGAGGAAGATAATTTAATATATGAACAATGGTCACCACAACTTAGGGAGATGCCCCACAGGATACTTGGACCTGGCAACTTTCTATAAATGAATAAACAGGAACGAATGGACACACCAGATGAACAGTTTAGTATTATACATTTATTTAATTAGTTCATATAAAAAATTCTAATATTTATCTATTTTCCCTATCAAGGCAATATAATTATCAACACTTGTTATGTTAGAACATTAGGGACCAGTATTCACTCAAGATACAGCAATGATGAAGCTTTCGCGTGGACACCAGATTGTCAGTTTCCCTTCCCCTGTGATGCCCAATACTAGACCCCAGACTCATGTCTCGTCTGAGACAGCACACACACTCCCTCCCTCTATTGTAACCAGCTTTTCTATCACTCATTCCCTGATTTTCCGTTGAATTAACGGACTTGAATCTGGTAACTTCTTGGAACAAGCCTGTCAGCCTTTGAAACTACCCTGAGGTGAGGTTTTGTAGCCTTACTTCACCTCGCTTTGAAAGTCTCCTAAGTCAGGTACCCCCCCCCCCCCCTCAACCAAATTTCCAGTTAAATTTTACTTTACTTATTTTCATTTCTTAAACTTTGTTTCTGGTGTACAGTGAGTTTATATATGATTATACTGTAAATATAATGCTTTCACAGTTTTTGAGTATCTCTAATACTTTCCTTGTATAGTTTGGTAAGCTCATATCACTTAATTCACAGTCCATTGTGGTTTAACCCAGGGACTTAATAGTTTGTAACTATGCACATGGTACAGTATATTCAGCTTCTCTCACTTGTGTATTTGGTATTATACATTTGTATTATGCATGTTTGAATACATGTCCTCCTCTTCAGTGTGCAGTCCAGGCTTCATCTTAGCTGGCAGAAAACCCTGTTCTCTTTGGAGGCTATGGAATGTAAGGAAGCCACCCCAGCTTTTCATGCCTTTCTTGGGGGGGGGGGGCTCTTCCACTTGTGGCTATCAAGAGTGTTGTGTTTGTCTCTGCCCTTTCCAATGATGTGTACAGTCACCTCTTCACGAGTTGTCAGGTGGCAGACCTACTGATGTCACATTTGCATCTTTTGTCGAAGTGGCAGTATGAAATGACTTGATGGGCCTTCCACCTTTTGTTCTCCCTACCCCTTTGGCATCTGTCCTCAGTATCACTTGCCATTGTGATGTTTTTTTTCTTTCTTAGCTCTATAGATTGCTAGTTATGCCTATTTCAGACATCTTGTATCATTCTATTTTGGTGGAGTACCTATTGTTGGTGCTTGGAATTAATTTTTCATCTTTTCCTTTTATCTGGCTGTCTTGGGCTTTTTTTGCACCCCTGGCCAGCTCACGCTGCTCCTGAACTCTCTTGATCTTTGGAATGTATTTTGGTTTTGGTCCAATAGCAACAGCCTATTGGACCAAGCTCTCACAATCCAAGCCTGACCCTGGGCTGGGTTTGGGGAGCAGAAGAACTCTCAGAGCCCCATCCAGGTACAGTTCAGGTTGGTGTTTGTCTTCTTGCATTCGAGTTTCTCTGTCATTTAAGAATTTCCTTTTCAAGGCAGCCTTTGTGTTAGCTTTGGCTTCCAGTGCTCGGGTTGTTAGCTTCACGCTCTTTGCCGGAAGCATGGTTTCTGTTATTTTGTCTTGGTCTTCATTTTCTTCACCAGCAGCCTAATTCCGTGGTTTTTGGCTAAGAACAAGGAAATTATCTTTTTGTTATCAACGTTTGATTTGTCCAGTCAGGGGTGCATCGTACTTTGTCCTGTGTCCTCTGTGTACCTTAGTTGTACGCTACTTGCTCTGTTCAGATCGAGACCCGGGTTGCTAATCCTATCTCACAATGTGGTTTCAAGGCCCTGCTCTCCCAGGTCATCTGGAAGGTGGTTCAGTTCAGCCAGCCAGCTGTCTATCCTCGCTTTCATGATTTGTACGTCACGGCTAATATCTTGACTCAGGGTTTTTGGCAGTCTAACAGGATGTTGATCTCTTGCTACTTGATGGATGTTCCACAGTGTGGATGTATGGCTCACAGCTGATGCTCCTTTGCCTCAGGTCTGCACCCTTTTCATCTTTTCTATTAATATTTATTTGTTGTTTCCATTTCAGAAAAGCAATCTTCTGCCAAAGGGTTGTTGTGAATAAGCTCGGAAAGCTACTGAGGGGATGCCTCCCAAAAATCAAAATTTTAGTACTGTATAATGAAATACCCTTTTTTGATGGGCCTCTCAGTAACTTCCTATTCCCACTGTTTCCTTCTTCACTGTGGGATTTTTGAGGTTCAGTGATGGCAGCTCGTGAATGATGTGGAAGCTAGTTGGGAGTCTGTGTGACCTAGGTTACCATCTGGTGACAGTTTGGTCCCTTACGGTTATGATAGGTAGCCTACGATGATGGTCATTTACTTTGTTTATTGCGGGGTTCATATATTAATGCAAGCAGTTGTTTGTTTTGTTGAGTCTGTCCTTTCAGATGTGTTTTTATTAGTTTTGGATAAATTCTTTGATCCTTAAGCTCCCCTCACCTCAGAGAGAAAGCCAGATTCTGGTCCTGGCTTCCAGTTTGTCAGTGTGGACCTCAGAGGCCTGGTGCAACTTCATAATACTTATCGTTCACTGTGGGCTCACCATAGCCCATGCTACTTGGAACTTTTTGTTCCAGGTAGCGAATCTACAACAGCAACAACATAATACTTAGCAATGGCAGCACATAGTCTCAGGGAGCTGCTGAGAGACCCACCAGGAAAGGTGGTTTTATTACATTCTACACCTGATTTTAATACAGCACCTGGTAATGATATTCATTTATTCATCTTTGTACTAAACTTTAATAACTTTGTTACGGACTCTTTTTGTTATACTCATTCAACCCTGGCCAACTTCTTAATGCCTACAACATTCTACAGTTGGATCATTTTTGTTTTGTTTTTCCCTATAAGTGGCCTACAATGGGATGCTTTTTATTCCAAGTAAACTACTGTATTTTTAGATTTTATCACACACTTTCCAGTTCAACTTTTTTGTGTGTGTACTTTCCCATTCTCTTTCATATTTTGCCAGGACTTGCTAATATATCTTCCTTTTACTCATTCCATTCTTTTGATTGTAACCTATACCTATACTATACTTCCATGTAAGAAGATTGTTACCACATTCTTATATCCTCCTTCATCTACTTTAAATGAGAAGCCATGACCTCTTATCACAATTTCTTCATTAATTGGCTAACTCAAGCACAGTATTGCCGCTTCCATCCTTTACCTTCCTTCTCTTTGTCTTGACTGTAGAGCTGTCAGTCATGTCACAAGTAACATGTGATGTGATACATGACACGACTGCAGTGGTGCGTCCGTGAGACAGGTTCTCCTCAAAGGATGGTGCTCTTCTGAAGACGGTTCACCGGTGAAATCAACAGACAGTAAGATTTTGAACCCTGATGGCATGAGGAGTGGGGCAGCTTTGCACAAATATATGTAATCCCTACCCCAAGTGTCTGTGAATGAGATATTGCAAAAGTTTAGTAATTTTAAGTTTTGATAGGAATTTCATTAAAAATTTTGAGTTCTAAATACTGATGAATGATGATAATGACAAAGTTATTGTCAAACTTAACAGCTGGCAGTGAGAAAGGCCAAGAATTTTTTTTTTTTTTTGCAGATAGTACAAAATGGTTGTGCATTAGAGAGTTTACATCTAGTAATGTAAATGAGGCCAAGTGTTTGGAGCTTGTTTGGAGTGAGTGAATAATAGACATTTTGGGCATGACAACTCTTGAGGAGCACTTTATTCGTAGTTTCTAAAGTGCTAAAATATTGATGTGAATGACTTACAGGCAAGAGGTAGCTAGTTCTCTATGATGCTGAGGGTTGGGCAAAGCAGTGTAAGTAGGCAGGTACAATCGACTTGATAATGGTCCAGGATGGACCGAAACGTTGTCATCTCAATTTCTAGCGTGTGCTTTAGTCAACAGGCAGGGTATTTCTTTGAATATTTCAAACCTTCTTTTCTGGTATTACTTCCTCCCATGCTGACAAAGACTTCTCTACCTCCCATGAAAGTGGGAAACTGGATAATGGTGATTATAAATGATTAGTGAATAAATAACTGCAAGCCAAATGAAGTGTTGTGTTTAACTATCCAAGCTTTCCACAGTGTTCCGCTTCTACATTTTTGTAAGTATAAAGCCTCTTTCTTTATTTCATTTGAACTCATACATTTATAATATTATATTGAAGAGGTTTTACATATAATCATGTAAACAGTGGACTAGCTACAGTTGCCCCTTCATTTGGGTCTCTAAAATTAAACTGATTTTTGCATAATATGTAGAAATAATGTTTGCAATTTGTAGTTGCAAATGATGAGTAGAAATGCAACCTTATAAAATTGCAAGGATTTTCTGTATATGGTTAATTGATAAATACTGGAGGTGTTTTAAAACCAGTTTTAAGTTGTATCAGATTGCATGGAGTCTTAAATTAGGAAAAAAAATTAGATAATATAGACCCATTTTATTAATAGTTACTTGTAGCATTAAGAGCTGAAATATTTTTGCAAACCTTAATTTGATATTTTAAGTGTATATTTAAGATAATTTCATTTAAGTATTTTTAATGAATGGATGATGGTAAACTGGTGAAGGGAGAGTATTAGTGAATTTGAGAGTAGTATAAGAATACCAGCAAGAAGATGGGCAGACATTTTGAGTGTGTGAAGCAGCAGAAATTGCATGTATAATATTAAGAATATGTTATGAAACAAGCCTGGGTGAAAATGATTTGCCAAGGAGGAAGTACATGTATTTGAATCTTTATATTGCAACTCATAAAGTATACTGTATACTTAACTTCTTGATGCAGTGAGTTGCCACTGTGGATGATTGCTTGCTTTTCCTTGATATATTGAATGAATGAAAGTAATTTTTAACTATTGTATAACTAGGAGCCTCCGGGGCTCACCCAGAAACTGGCGTTTCATTACATTCAACACTTTTCTTGGGCTGATGCCTCTATATGACATGAAAGTGAGAGAGAGAGTAAGCGTGATGATTAATAGTTCTCTCGTGCATTACCACCGCCCTAATTTTTCCAGTTGTATGCTTGATAAGCTTAACATTTTCTTTCCATATTTTTCTTCTCGGTTCATTAAAGTGGTGATAACTGCTTGCCCTTTGTGTGTGTCAAACCAGTGTGCCGAGTTCATAATAAGTATTCACTCTAAAGTTATTTAATACTTAATGACAATCAAAATATTTGGCTAAAATTCTTCATGAGACTACACCATTGGAAGGGCAGATCCCAGATGGAACAAATTCCATCTGGGATCTGAGAGGGATCTTGACCTGCCTGAAATGCTACGCATACTAGTGGCTGTACAAGAATGTAACAACTCTTGTATATATCTCAAAAAAAAAAAAAAAAAGATAGAGTGCATGGAACTGGTTCCATCCAGTTCCTGAGTATCCATAGATATTAAAGAGAGGGATTTCATGAAGTTGCTTTCAACTCTTTAAGAGAATTGGAAATACTGCCTTCATTGCCTGCGATTGATTTAGTTATACTGTACAGTACTGTATTTGGCTACTATAAATATGAAAAGTTTGCAATTATTAACATTGTGTATTTGTTATGGCTTTTTTCATAATAATATTGACATGGTGCTTTAATAGTGACAAATTACAGGCACTCATTAGTGAATAACAACCAAGCAATAAAATTGACAATGGTAACACTTAGGAAATGTATTGAGAACAAAAAATTGTCTCAATGTACTGTAAATATAATTGCTGATATATTTGGGAGAATTTGTGAAAAGCAGAATTAGCACAGGCATGTTTTAGCTGTTGTATTCAGTTGCCCCCTAAAGTAATGTCTGTGTCCTATAGACAAGGTCAGGCAGGAGACATTCCAGGCACTGGTGCTGCTGGGAACTTTTAAGTGGTCCCTGCAGGGTTATTAAAGGTCTTACTGGGTTACTGCAGATAAGCTCACTACAGCCAAAAAATAACTAACAGAAGTGCATTCTATGAAACAGTCTAATTATAAGAGTTCTTCCTTCTAATTACACATGACCACTAAAATAGGTTTCAAACTTGCATAGCAACTCGGTACCCCCAGCTACCACCAGATGGCAGCGCCTTTACAACACTATTCCCAGATGTCGTACTCTTCATATTTTTTCCTGTCTGTGCTCATGGTAAGGTTATGGGGCTGGGCCGATCAGATTCCTCTGTGTTGATGGATGTTAGCCATATTCTCTCTTCTGACTCTGGATTTATTCCTTCTCTCCGGTCAACATTCCCAGTAAGTCAAATGTGCTTGATGGTTATTTTCAAGCTTTATGGAGTTGGAAGTGGACGAGTTCTCCTCCTCCTTAATGAAAACACCTCATATTCAGTGTCCCTCAGGTGGACTTCATATCCAAGTGTGTTTTAAATTTGATTGTACCACCATCAGTATGAAGGGACAGATGGTGATCTGCCATGAATCCTTAACCACTGCACTGCACGAAGTGCCTTTAGGCGATCTGAGAGTTGTGCTATTTTTTTTTAATTATGCTATATTTTTAATGTTTTCGTTACTCTTTGTATTTTGAAATGGAAATAGTTGAGTTTGGAAACGTTTTGACATTAACTTTACCTGAACATTTATAAAAACCAAAAAAAATACGTCCTTAACAGTTGCACTAAGAAGTTTTTGCCGAAACCAGGTGCGGAGTGCAGTGGTTAAGGCCGTTATACTGCTGATATGACGTAGCTTGGCATATGTTGCGGTGATCTCTCCTGTGTTTCTACTTTCTATTCTGATTTTTCTTTATTTGTATGTGTTGCTCAACTCGAGGGGCAACAAAATGCAGTACCTCAAAAATATAACTTTTGAATGGATCTTAAATGCACGTTTTTGAGCTGTTTGATTCAGTTAATCCCAGTCCATCCCCTTTCTTTTCCTCGTATTTGCATCATTATTGAGTGTCTCAGAAAAATGTGAAGAGTACAGTACTGTATGTGGTCTGGGAAGCTTGTTATAAGTGCTCTCATCTAGTGGCAGCCAGGGTAGTGGGCAGTCAGGCAGGTACTGGACTGTTTTTTACTTGTACTTTTACACAACCTATTTTTATGTAATGCACCTCTGTTGCTTATTCTCAGTTACACTGAATTTTTTCAGGTGACCCTAGATACCTTTTGCTAACCCAGAGGGGACTACAGGTACAGTACTTGTATTGTTTCCTGTGGTAGAGGCTGGACAGGAGGCAGCCACATGACTTGACTCAGGAAGGTCATTTCCATATTCCCTAAAAGCCGTATATTTCATAGGTAACATGGGAGACATCATGAAGGCAATAAAAGACGAAGGATTTGAAATATCTGCGCTCCAGATGTTCCGTATGGATAAAGTTCAAGCTGAGGAGTTTCTAGAGGTGTACAAAGGAGTTGTTCCTGAGTATCCTGTAGGTATTCATTTTGTGCTTAAATATTTGGAATTTTGAAGTACAGTAATGAAGGGCTCTTGTAATCTGCAAGCATATCTGTATTTTTGATAAGATAGTACCTGTATAGCCTTCAAACCAACTTGTTGATGGAGTTATGCAGTCACTCCCTGATTCCCATTTGTATTGTTAATTTTTAATTAGAACATAATTTTGCTAATATTATACAGCTAGCAGTAGTCTTACTGGGGTGCCAGAAAGAGTGAGATGCCACTAAAGTTAATTTCTGTTCATTCTGTCAGTGTTTTCAACAGGAAACATTATGTTTACATTCACACACACCCATCCATTCACACACACTGTATACCTATAACAAAAATTAAAATATTGCAGGGAATGATACAGCAGCTTGTATCGGGCCCATCACTGGCTATGGAAATAACAAGTATACATGGAGCTGACACTCCAACCAAGTTCAGAGAATTTGTTGGACCATCTGATCCCGTAAGTTGTAGTACATACTTTAATGTACTGTACTAATAACATGTACTAATGTATGCAAAGATAAGAATTATGGAATATATATTTTGCATTAAGGGAAATTCTACCAGTCACTGTATTTGTATTTATTTTATTTCATAATGACATGTTCCAGGTAAGAAGTACAGTAGCTTATTTGTATACTTTTGGGTGGGAGCGAGGTGTGTGTGTGAGCGAGAGAGATAAGTAGTAGACATAATAGAGGAAAAAACAAAATTGGTTAGAAAGGCGGGGTCCAAGAACTAATAGCTCGATTCTGCAGATACAAATAGTAAATACACATGCACAATTGCTCACTCACTCACAAAAAATGTGTGCTTTTGAGTTGGAAAATAGTATTTTCCACTCTATGAAAAGACAGTAGTTTCTATACCACGACTCCCCCCCCCCTCTCCTGCTTTCAATATTTCACTGTGAATGGATTCTGTTCTTTGGCAGGTCTCATTAGCTTGTTGACTTGCACCAGTCCACAGCATTGATTGAGGATTCAATCTGGTTTCCTTTTAACCCTTCTTAGGCAATGGTTCCAATATCAACTCTCACATCTCTCATGGTTGAGGGATTATGTATTCTCCAGCTCAGTTTGAGTATGATGTTTCCTCCTATTTTCTGGCTAGCTGGTTCAGTGTTCCCATGGTGAAGGATGATGTTTCAGTACTTAAAATATTTGTTTAGGTCCTGCCTTTCTGCTGTTCAGGTTAACTTTCCTTATGATGGACAGGGAGGATGTATTTTAACCTAACCTGGCTCTGCTCGAGGTGTGTTCTATGTCCAAATCCTTGCTGAAAAACAGTGTTCTTGTTTTCTCCTAGTTTGTGGGCAATGCCTTTTTTCTGTGGGAAAATAGCAGGGAGATCTCTCCCTATCTCCCATGTGGTCCTGGCATCAGAAGACCTAGATTTCTGAAATTGTACTCCCATTTGATCCCCATCTCCAGCACTCCATTTTCAGGTTTTCTGTTTTGTTGCAGCACTTCCTTTTGGCAAATTTGCTAATTGTGCACATGCCTAATACAAATGATTTTGTTCATTGCCTGTCAGAAACTCATCTCCTGTAGGCTAATATAATTTCAGCAGGCTAAGCTGCAGGGTTTGAGTGAGTTGCTTACCTTTGTTTCCCGACCAGACTCCTGTGTTTGAGGTGGGGTGTCTTATGAGCCACAATCTTGTGTGAGTGTAGTTCCTGCTACTCTGAGCAGGCAGGATTTGCCTGTTTTGCGAAAGCTGTTTGTGGCCTTTTAACTGTCCTTTCAAGGTAAGCCACAGTAACTGTATAGAGGTAGGGGGGGTCTGCAAGCCTGCCATCAGACTTTGAGCCAGGGATTTCTAGGATTCACAAGTGATGCATCTGAGGTCTTGGCTGAATTTGGTTTCTTCATCCCCCCAAAAAAAATTTCCCTTGGCATAGGGTATCTGGCTATCAGAATCTTTGGCACCCACATTCAGAGATTATTTGCATACTTATTCTCTTCGGGTCTAGTGTCTTTTCTCTGGTTGAAAAGGATTCTTCCGAGTACGAAATGATCGTAAAATTTTCAGGGTTCAACTCGTACTTCCCTTTGTACTTCCAAACCATATCCATAGCTTGACTGCTATGGATATGGTTTGCCAGGTGGTTTCAGTGCCTTATGTCTCTGCTGTGTCTGAATGGCTGTAAAATATCTAGTAGTAAATATTCTTTACAGTTTCTCGGTGAGCAATTTCAGCAACCTTAAAAGATTTTTATCAAATATACAGTATCATCTTCCTTGCAGTTGTGAGTTATTCTAATGTGGTCTTCAAAATTAAGACCATTTGATCTGTTTACACCTTTCTTGTACATATCCATTTCACTCTTTGATTTTGATATAATTTGACTCGCTATCATAAAATGTTCTGGTATTCTTTTTGTAATTGTATGCCTTTTTGTTTTATTACAGTTGTACTGGTCATCTGAATTATTGGCAAAAACAATTTTTTATTGAGAATTAATGTTTTAATTATGACATCTAGTATCATTCAGAAGTAGCAGTATAAATCTTTGAACAGGTTGTGGCCAGAGAATTGCGACCCCATAGTTTGAGAGCGCGGTTTGGAGAGGACAAAGTAAAGAATGCAGTGCACTGTTCAGACCTACCAGAGGACGGCCCACTTGAGGTAAGAAACATGAGGACTGTTGACTCATTTTCATCATTTATTTTTTTGCTCCTGGCAAACAATAAATCCATTTGTGCAAAAATATACAGATATGTTATGCTGAACTTGTTCAGCAGATATGCACAGATATCTTTGAAAGTAATAATGCCTGTGTTTCTAATAAGGTAATAGGTCCTTCACATTTAAAGTTTTGAATGGATTTTCGGAGGTGCTTGTTGCTAATCTCCTGCGAGACCTGGATTCTTTCTCCGTGATGGAACCGTCCTTGTTTGAGTTCGGTTCCTCTTCCTTGTACTAGGTGTGTTTGGAAGTTCCAGAGTCTTCCTGGCTGGCAGACTGCTCATTCTTTTCATTGGGGGTGTGGCTTGGGTTCTGTTGGACCCCATGCTTGAGTGGCGAGAAACTTCTACCGTTTTGCAGGTTTACCAGGGGGCGGGTTTGAGCACCTTAATGCATGCTTGTTTGCCCCTGTGCCCAACCATTTGGGGTGGAAGGTAGAGTGACGGTCTTGCTTCATGCAGGTCGGCGTTCAATTCCCGACCGTCCAAGTGGTTGGGCATCATTCCTTTCCCCTATCCCATCCCAAACCCTTATCCTGATTCCTTCCTAGTGCTATATAGTCGTAATGGCTTGCCCTGATAGTTCCCTTCCCTTGCCCCTGTGCTTCATATTGGCACGTTTCTATTCATCCGGCGTCAGGGACTGGCTAGGTTTCGGGGTGGGGCATCAGGCTTACTGCTATCATTGCCCCCCTTTTGACTTGAATCTGGCACCTCGTGTATTCACCCATCTTTCCCGGGTCATGGTGACCCATCTGCGTCTGCTAGGGATTCGAATTCTGGCCCACATCGACGTCTAGCTGGTGTGGGCTCCCAGCCGGTCTGTCTGTCTGCTCGCCAGGGGTGTGGTTCTCTCCCAGCTCGCTGGGTTCGGGTTCCTGGTGAACTGGAGGAAGTCCCATCTGGTTCCATCTCAGGTTGGGACCTTGCTGGGTCTTGTTTTTGATTCTCAGACTGCTTCCGTGTGTCTTCCTCCGGAGGCGTTGCTGCGGCTGCCGTGTTACCTTCAGCTGTTTCTGTGGGATTCCCAGGTCACTCAGCTGTTTCTAGAGTGGTTGCGCAGGAGTCTGAACTTTGTCGTGTTGGTTTATCTGCTGGGTTGGGTTTGGTTTCGGCGTCTGTTCTGGTTACTTCAGGGACGCCCCTTCCGCCTCCCTCACAATCGCTGAGTTCGGCCTCCGGGAGACCGTGCATTGATTGCTGCGTCACCAGCTTCCTCTTCGGGTGTTTCGGGGTTCAGTACCTTGGCGCATACCCGAGCCCTAACTCGATGTGTTCATTTATGCATCGTCTATTGACTGGGGCTTTGTGACCAGTGCTCACCAGGCCGGCCAGGGGCGGTGGGATCCGTCTTTCCGTCAGGCTCACAGCACGGTGCGGGAATTTGCGGCGGTCTGGCTGACGCTTTGGAGGGTTCTGATCGCTTGGGGTTCGACCCTTTGGCTCCATTCGGACTGTTTTCCGGTGGTTCATTGCCTGAACCGGGGAGGGGGGTCCCATTAGTCCTTGCCTTTTCGGGGCTGGTTGCTTCGAGTGGCTCATCTGTGGAATTCTCAGGGTTTGGCTCTCCGTGTGGTTCATATCTGGGGAGTGTCCAACATCCTGGTAGACGGCCGGTCTTGGTTCATTCTCCTGTCCACGAAATGGACAGTCGACACCGATTCAACTCCATCAGTTGGATCTACCAGACATACGAGCTCCCAGAGGTGGACCTCTTCGCGTCAGCTTGGTCAAGGCATCTCCTCATGTATGTGGCGCCCTTCCCTGACCGTGGAGCATTTGTTGTGGACACCTTTCGGCAGGACTAGTTGAGGTGAGGTTACCTGTACCTCTTCCCCCTCCCGGACTAGCTGTTGCTTCAAGTTCTGGCTCAATTGGAATCCTACCATGGAAGAGTAGTCCTCTTGGGCCCTTGGTGGCCAGCCCAGCCTTGGTTTCAGGCACTGCTTGCAGCCAGTTGTCTCGCCTTCGAGTTGAGGAGCTTATGGCGGCCACCTACCGGGTAAATCCCTCTCTTCCATATCTTTCTTTGGTTATGTAGCTCCAGAGAGCCGGGGGAGCTCCCCTCAGCAAACCAGAGTTGAATGTAATGAAACAGTATTTTCTGGGTGAGCCCCGGAGGCTCCATGGCACCCTCTCTCCCTCCCTCCGGTCAGCAGTTTTTGCATTGTTTTAATACTTAGCCTCCGAACTAGAATGACTGGGTTGCTGGCATGGGTGATCTGGATCTCCCCCTCCCCCTCCAGGGAAGGGGGCTGCACGGACGAGCAATGCGGCGGTGTAGTGTCACGTTTGCTGGTTTCCTTGGGTTTGGAGGGAATTCTGCCTCTCCATTTGATTTTTGGTTGCAATTTTCTTACCATGTGGGGTCTGTTTTGTTATGCCTACCTTTCTGGGTGCCTAACCCCTGGTTGATGGCAGGTAAGGCAACCCCCACCCACAATGGGGTTTTCCAGGGTCATTGCTCCCTGTGCCTCTCTGAAGGGGCCAGGTTCTGGCTCATGGTCCCCAGTAGGTTGAACTCCTATGACTAATGCCCTGGTCTAAAAGAGTTCCATATTAGCCCAATAGCTCCACTGAGCCTCCGGGACTTGCCCAGAAAATGGCGTTCCATTACATTCAACACTGTTTTTTTTTTTTTTTTTACTCTTTCAAGCTGTTAGCCCTTCTCCTAGACTTACTGTCATATATTGTTCCATTCTCCCCTTCCAAGACATCACGTGTCTACCAGTGTATGAAAGTTCCATAGGTACAGATAATTCCCATTGTCTTGGGAATTAGAAGACAGGAGTATAACATTTTCAAGATATGAGGGAAAACAAATAAAAAAAATGGATTTCAAACACGTTATGAGAATTCAATGAAATTTTGAATATATTTTTTTAATTCGCGTGTAAATTTGTCTCATGATCTGATTTTTTTTTATTTTTCAGGTTGAATATTTTTTCAAGATTCTTCAGTGACCGGCCTATTTTTGTGTTGTAAATTTTGTATTAAAATGATAATTTATTTATCGTTAGTTTTGGCATTTTGGTATATGAACTTCCTTAAAATTTGTCCGAGGCTGTGTTACAACATAACTGTAAGCTCTTATGTTTTTTATATTTTATTTACATATTGAAATGAGATTCTTGTCTTATAAAAGAATTTTTCTTTTCCCATCTGCCAGTATTCCTCTTTCTTGAGAAACAAGATTTGTGTGTTGTTATTGTGGAATAAATTAGCTCTTGCTTCTACATGACCAATGATTGCTTTTTAATTTTTTGCTCTAAAAGTTAACCAATTCTTGCAGTTATGTATAAAAATTATATATAAATTATAAACACCTTAGCTCTTTATTTTCACCTTTCCTTATTTCCTTATTTTTTTGCATTTTTACTTTCCTTATTTTTTCACCTTTCCTTATTTCCTTTTACCTTTCATTAACACCTTTATTTTCTTCTCCGAGGCTATGGGTCCCTACACTTGTACCAGAGGTGGTACCCCTTCTAGGTTTTTAATTATAAATAAAAACTATGCATAAATTCCAATGCCATATTTCAGTACAGTATATAATGGTACCTCAGTTTTTGTATTTAATCCATTCCCAGAGACGGTACGAAAACCAAAAAAATATACGAAAAACAAAACAAATTTTTCCATAAGAAATAATGTAAATTGAATTAATCCGTTCCACATCCCCAAATACATTAACTAAAAGTACATTTTATACAGAATAATACTCTTAGGTACCTTACCTTTATTGAGGACTCTTGTTAGTGTATGGAAGACAGTGAGGAAGGGGGGAGGAGAGGTGTTAAGTGTTTAGAAGGGACGTCCCTTTCCATTATAACAGCAGTGATGACATTTCTAGGGTGCTCTCTCTCCTACGTTTTGCAGGCATACCACTAGTACCTGGTTGTGGCTCACCGCTTGTTTGTCTTACTAAGAATCTGTCTATAGACACTTGTTTTTCCCTACATTTTAACACTTGTCTGTAGTGAGACATCACATTGTTTCACTATGAATGATCTCGTTTTCCTTTATTGTCATCCTCACAACTATTTTCTTAGGTTGAGCTTTACCACTGACTTTCTTGGAACCCATGGCGTGATATATAATAAGACTTTTTATGTTTAGAAACCAAAAAATCCCCAAAACAATTAAATTCTTCACAAAGAATTCAAACATGATCATCACTATGCAAGAGACACTGGTAAACTGAAGTACCACGTGCTCAGTGGACCCATGACGTGTACAAACAAATTCTGAAAACCAAGGCAAACAACAAGTATTGTATTGAATTTTTTTAAGAAATTGAGTACGAAGTGAAAAATACGAAAATTGAGGTTCAACTGTATGTGAAAATTCTCTAATAATAAGCCTAAAGAACATGGTTGCTCCTGCTGAAAATATTGACAACATATCCATCACTTGGGCTTAGAATGTCATCAAAATATTCATATGTATTTTTTATATAGTACAATACTGTACTGCTCAATGTAATTGCACTCCCACTTCTCATAAATTGCTTGTTCCAGTAAAATAGAGCTTTACTGTTGCAAGTCTCGCTAAACCTCGGTGGATGCCGTCAGGCCTTCGTTAACTATTACCTTCCAGATTTAAAAAATGAATAAATACTGGGGGCTAGGTATTCAATTTTAGGGTTCTTAATTATGTAACATGAAGTTGTTTGTAAATGCACGCTTCCATTATATTGTCTTCTATGATCCCTTTATATATTTCACATCCAGCAAAGAATAAAAGAAAGAATCATTGCAGAAAAAGCATTACATACATGTAATTATCCATTTTTGTTGCTGGAGCTTTCAATTACTCAGTATAAATCTTGCATCGGTTAACTTCACTCTGAAGTAGAATAGAAACTTCTACTTTCCTAGAAGCTTCATGAAAATCTGCAAAGAAATTAATTATACAAATTGTAAAGAGCAAAATAAAAATATTTCCATAAAAAAGTATAAGAGAACGGGAAAACGTATTTTCTCGCCGTTAGGTTTTCATAAGTTATTATCAGTCGCCACCAACGTTGTTTTTCTTTGAGTTGCCAAATGGAGTATATTTGGTACAACTTAACACAGGTTCTCATTAAAAATTGGTACCTGCAGTATGTCGGTTTTCAGAACATAAGCAAATTTATTGCCAAATGATCGTAAATCTGATGAAAATATTGTGATTACTTGGGTCTCACCCTCTTTCTTTGAACTCATCCTGAAGACCATATTTCCTAATATGTAGTGCTTGCTATGGCAGTAGGATCAGTGAGCTTGAGTTCTGCAAGAGGGGTGGGATTTATGTGCACCATCCTAATACAGATTTCCTTGCAAAAACACTACTCCTCCACTCACATGTATGCACTCACATCTTCCCATTATACAGGTCATACTCCATAGGTAGGACAAGACAACATTGGGATCGATGTATGTTATTAATTTGATTTTGAAGGAATGAGAAATACATCTATCTTATATGAAAGGCTTGTATAGTATATCAATGTGAGATACCCAGACATATTTGGGGTATTAAATTATCTAGCAATTACAATTGAGACACCATTTATAATTTACACCATTATAATTATATAAAGTATTACAACAATGTAAAATTTCAAGCTGATAATTGATTACTTTCTTACCATTCATCACTTTCATGAACTTCAATATACCATAGAAAAAATATGAAAGTAAATGTTTTCCCAACAGTCTCACTCTATTCGAATGACATTACGACATCAATAATATTTATCCAATGTAGTAGTGTCTGCTGTTTTATTCCATATATCAGATTTAAATAAATTTGTTTTATTTTGTTCTTAAAATTAGGATTTAAAAAATGTGCTAATGTCAAACTAATTAAGATATGGTGTCTTGACGAGGAAAACCATGCACTAACCTCTTCACACTTATATATCCTGTGTACGTGATAATGATGTATTACAGAATACATCTGCAATACATCAGATGTATTGATACTTTGGTCTCAATCACAGTATCAGATCGATACTTTGTATCAGATCGATACTTTGGACAGTATCAAATCGATACTTTGGTCAATATGTATTGCAGAATTTACCTGAAACACTTTGCTAGACATATTAGTACCAAAGTGTTTCAGGTAGTATATTCTGCGGTACAAGACTATTGTGTACACAAAGTATAATCTGTATTATTAAGATGGCTAACTTACTAACTAAATTAAATCATTAATCTAACCACTTAACTCACTAATACTAACTTAAATCACTGAACATGTAGTTAGCAAACCAATAAGTTCAAATAATAGGGTTTTTATAAACTTAATTAAACATTAAAATCCAATTATTTTTCGGAATTATAATACAGAAATACATTTTCAAACCATAAAGTTATTTTCTAAATCATAATATGCTCAAACTAAACATTTATAATCTTAAATTGTTCCAAGACAATTGGGTTACAGACAGCACACTGAACATTTGTGCTGCAAATGATTAGCAAATTCTGCACAATAGATCATGATGTTCTCTGATGTGGAATGGGTTGATGTGTTTGGTACAAATAAACAACCAGTAGCTGTGGTAGATGTTTTGTGTAGACATATCAGTCCTCACTCCAAAGGGAAGAAAGTAACAAAAACGGATAAAACATCTACAATGTTTAACTCGTTAAGATATTTGTCAATGCCTTAATTATTTCCCTAATATCACCTCCTCCCCACCTTTCTAAATTGGAGTCCCAGTGTATAAATATAATAAATAATAATACATTTCATTTTGTTAGCGATAGGCAACAGCAGCAGCATCCATACATGCATATACATGTACATATATAGATTCATGTACTTATATATATACATGTAAATATGCATATACATTATGTTAGGCTTACAGCTGTACTCCCATGGTGGAAATACTCACCCTCCCCATCATGCAACCCTACAACCAGTTCATAGAATTACCCAAATCCTGCTAGCATTACGTAAGTAATGGAAAAATATGGTACATTTACTCACTGTAATGTTGGTGCTGAATGCAGAACATGATCAAACCTATTTTTACTCTGAAATAATCTAATTTCATAACGAAATTAGAAGTAAATACATAGCAGGTGACGCCATAGGAAGTCGACGGTCCAAGCAACAATGTTGTGGAGCGACTTATCCAAGCTACATTGTCACCTGGAGTGTGTTTGCTGCCATATCAACCTCCTGTACACAGTGATCCAGTCGTTGCACTTCTTGGCTCAAATTGTCGCAAATTTAGGTAAGGTTAGTTTGGGTTAGATAAAGTTAGTTTGGGTTAGGTAATGTTGGAGGCAACTTTTCAAACCCATTGGCAATATATCTTGGATAAGTCGCTCCACAACATTGTCACTTGGACCCTCGACTTTCTATGGCATCACCTGCTACGTACATACTGTATTTACTTCTAATTTCATTATGAAATTAGATTATTTCAGAGTAAAAATAGGTTTGATCATGTTCTGCATTCAGCACCAACATTCTAGTGAGTAAATATACCATATTTCTTCATTACTTACATAATGCTAGCAGGATTTGGGTATCTTAAAACACTCAAGAAACTGTAAAGAAAAAATGCTCCTAGAATTTAACCCAGGTAACTGTAAAGTTCTGTAGATGGGAATATGAGTGAAGAAAAGACAAGGATGGAAGGTGGTGTCGTGTAAGATCTCCCTGAAACATTTTATTTATCTCGAACCCCAAACTTTTCCTAAAAATATTACAAATGCAGTACTTCCCTCAAAACATTTCAGGCATCTTCAACTGTTAACTAATGTGATTAAAAAGATCCCTCAATCTTAATTACAATGAGTGGAAAAAAATTTGGATTATCTCTGCGAGATATATGGTTATTACAAACAAGAAGTTGTGTACTATCAAATGCGACCTATTTCAATGGCCTTTCTCTTGCCACTGTAATTTCAAGTGGGAAAAATTTCTGGCTAAGTAACATAATGGCCAAATGCTATTAACTCATGGGCACTTATGGAACAAGATCTGCATCTTAATGTCACAATTGCATTGTCTTGGTAACAGTCACACACCTTCTCATAGAATATCCTGATTTTCATGATGATCGAAGATATTCGTAATGTTCCTTTGGGTTATTTGTCCCATAATGAAATCCTTGATTATGACTGAAATTTTTACTCTTGTTTCAGCATCTTAATTATCTAGGAATCTTTTATTGTTCAGTAACAGATGATGCTAAATAGTCCTCTAGGCCTGGAATCTGCCTTTTTTTTATAATTATGTACCCAAGGGTTTGTCATGATTTTCAGTTCTCTGTGTTTGATATTTCCTCAGGTCCATTGTCAACACTCTGCTCTTCAGACACTCCCCTGGCTATGAAATAATGCTAGTTAATTTACAGTGGTACATAAAGGGAAGAATCTATACACAGTTTGTATATATCCATAAACATTTAGCTGACATTATATTTAATACAATTTACAAAGACTATAACAAACATAATCACGGAGGAACGTACTACAATGCTATAGTGCTTGAGTGAAGGTGAAGAAAAGACCCAATACATGTGTAAGTGAATTAGAACAGAGTTTTAATACACTTATACATGTATTGGGTCCTTCCTTCACTTCCATCCATTAACACATGACCGATGGAGTCTCATACCCTTTAAAAAAGTCTGACCTACATCAATGTATATTTAATACACTATCTGTTTAACAATACTCATGTCCCTTAAATTCCGCACATTTGATGGTGCTATGTAGCCCTCCCGGCTTGGTGCCTTCTTTTGATAATTACTTAACTTCTCCCTTCTCCATTTACCATGCAATGTCAAATGCAATTTAGCACTGCAGGAAGTTGCATGTTTTGAGGTAAAACTCTTAATAAAGTAATTGTGATGGGACGAGAATGCAACATTATTATTTCACCAACCTGCTAAAACTGCTTTGCATCCCTTATCTAATCAATTAACTTGTATAAAAAAATCCAGATGGGGAAAACAAATTGCATAAGTTATTTGATACTGCACTGGTTAAATAATAAACAAGAAATGAACCTTGCCTTAATGTTGACCTGGCACATAAACAAAGGTGTAAATATAACGTTATTTTGCTGTAGCAGCTCTCTATTGATCCTAAAATGATTGTATATATTGAAGGAAGGAACTATCAGCGGAAAAGCGCCAAGCCTTTTGGTGCTTTTTTTGGAAGGAAGGGGTCAGGATAAGAATTTGGGATGGGACGGGAGGCAGGAATGGTGTCCAACCATTTGGACGGTCGGGGATTGAACGCCGACCTGCATGAAGTGAGACCGTCGCTCTACCGTCCAGCCCAAGTGGCTGGACTTGTATATATTGAGTGATAGTTCTGTAGTTACCCTGAAAGTAACTGCATGTTGTAAATTAATAATTATTGTTTTAATAATTAATGTTTTAATTTAGCATGTAAATTAAATATGTTCTCTATTAGAAATCACTTGGTCTATACAGTACTGTATATTATTACTATTGTATTGTATTTACAGAAAAAACTTAGCCTATATATAGTCAGTTTAAAAACTTTTAATGAGTTACATATTATTACTCATTAAAAGTAATAATATGGGGCCTGACAGCTGAGTGGACAGCGCTCGGCGTTCGTAGTCCCAAGGACCCGGATTCGATTCCCGGCAGAGGCAGAAACAAATGGGCAGTTTCTTTCGATTTGTCTGTTCACCTAGCAGTAAATAGGTACCTGGGAGTTAGAAAGCTGCTACAGGATGCTTCCTGGGGATGTGTGTGTGTGTGTGACAAAATTAGGATTAAGGACTTGCCCAAAATGCTATGCGTGCTAGTGGCAGTACAAGAATGTAAGAACTCTTGCATATATGAATAAATAAATAAATATATTATGTTTGTATAAAAGAATGAGATTTTTGTTTCGGTGATATATTTGAACTTTAATTCAGAGCCATCCATTGATGCCACGAAGAACACTTCATAGCCTAACTGTTCCATGTTGCTAGACACATCATAAAGCATAACATCACATACTCTGCAAGCCATACATTCCCTTGAAAAAATCTGCAATATCACATACTCCACAGCTTAAGGGTTAACTTTAAATGTGTTGAGCTTGCATAACTATTGCTTATGTCTTTACTATCTCAATACTTACATATGGCATTTAATTTATGTAGAGTACAGTACACTGTTTTCATTGTGTAATTGTGTATATGAAACCTACAAGCCAATATACTGCAGACTTAAACAAACTACGTATGCACAACTACACATATGTATTTAAACACAAACACCCATATACTACATTAGGCATTACTTTACACCAACTGAATTTTAATGCATGTCCACTTACATCAGGGCAAATTCCAATAATAGCATCAGATTTCTGGTAAAACTCTTCCTTTAAAGAGATGATGATGATTTGTACATTAGACTTCATCTTCGAAATATAGGATGTCACCTTTCCAATGTTGGTTTTATCCAGGGCAGCGTCAATCTCGTCCAATATTAAGAATGGAGCAGGATGATAACTGTTGATGAGATATTATTAAGTAATAATTATAATTATTATTATTTTAGGATAATACAAAAAATGAAGGAGTAGCCCATTAGGCATTACTGTATTTGATCACAGTAAACTTGTATGGTTCCTTCGTAACCATAGATCTAGCATACCAATAACTGTTGATGTGATAACAAGCATTCAAAATATTACCATTTAAAAAAAAAACTGAACATACCATTATCATGTGCATCATGTGCTGTCCTGGAAGATGGTGATGTGGTGTAGACAAAAAATAACAAAGAGTAGAGCAGTAGAAAGAGATAATCAGAGAAGCCCCAACCACACTACACAGGTACCCCAGTAGAGCAAAAGCCAGGCACCCTCCAATTCCTGACGTTTCCAGGACCCACTAATCCCTAGTCACCTCTTGTCCAAGCCAGCTGGAGACCCCAGTTAATGCCCCCAAAGCAAACCCGGAAATGACAGAGAAAAAACAAACGGTTTCCCCTATGACCTCGAGCAATTTATGTGCCGTAACAATCTGGTCTGTTGAATAAAATTGCCTGACAGCAAAATGTAACCCTATGGGTAGCAACTGAAACCCAGTTTTTCCAGCAACTCCCAGGTGGAGCAGAAGCCAGGCATCCGAACAGCATCAAGGTTAAACCGAGACTCCCAAGCCATCGTTACCTGTGGATCCCGAAGAGCAGTGACAGAGCAGCAATGGTTTTCTCTCCTCCAGATAAATTAGACATTGGCTGGAACCTCTTCCCAGGAGCTACACAGTTATAGTTGATACCACCCAGGTAAGGCTCTTCTGGATTCTCTGGCCCTAAAAATGCTTGAGCAGAGGGATTCTGGGCCAGTGCCTGTAGGGAGTAACAAAACAAGTTATACAAAAGCCCATAAGTGTGAGATCCCCATCAACAGTGCTAATTAAATGGCACTATACAGTCAAGTTGGAAAGCTATTTATGGACGAGAATTTGTGCTGAAATATAGTCTGAACTTTGTTTTTGGCAGTGAAAAAAAAGCACAATTTCCCAGACTGTATACTGTATGTCATACAGACTGTATGTCATACAGACTGTATGTCCCAGTTTAGGGTAAGACTTCCTTGCTTATAACCCTTATAAATATGTATATGATTCATGTTCAGTATATTTAAATGTTGTCGATTCATTCTATAGTTACCATTAAAAAAATGAAGCAGGTATCTTTTTTTTATTAGCTTAACATAAAACAATCATAGTTCCCTCTAATGGTATATTTTAAAATATAATCCTTAGACTAATTTTCTGCATTAATAATCAAACAAAAACCTAGAAATACCTTGTAAATGGTATCAATCTCATTTAACACATGCTCAAAGAATGTCATGAAGAGTTCGTAACGTGTCTTCTTGAGTTTTTCAAATGCCTGTTGCATTTTCTTAGCTTGTTTTCGGGCTGTGTCAAGATCGTAATTTGTCTGCTGAAGTTTCTCTCTCATCACATCCAGTTGTTGTGTTGCTTTCATGTTTGGTATCTGAGGTAAGTTTATGAAAAGTAAGTAAAATATCTCGATAATCAAATTACATATCGTCTCTTAACAAAAATTAGCTGGTGATAAAACAAAACAAAATTCAATGCACAACTCCTGATGAGTTGGCCTGTTTTTATATGTCTTATTTTTCTATTTATATATACAAGAGTTCTTGCATTCTTGTAAAGCCACTAGTACGCATAGCATTTCCGGCAGGTCCTTAATCCTAATTTTTCCTAATCCTAATAATTTTCAAGATATCTAATGCTATACAAACACGAGACCATCTCTTCAAGTTTGAAAAAAAGGTATCTTGCAGAATTGACAGTGGGAAGTACTTCCCTACAGGATAATAAAGTGTAGAACAGTTAGCTGCTAAATTAGATGAAGCCATTACAGAATCTACCTAGAATTAGAAGCTAACAAACAATTTGTTAGATCAAACATAAAACACCACAGATGGGGCTTCCTATAATTACCTTAATAAGATCCAGGGTTTTCTTAAGATCATTAATGTGTCTTTGCATGTGTTCTCCAGTCTTGCGTATATCATCCAAGTCATCAAGCTCCTTGCGGTAGTTTGGCAGTGAAGAGTAGTCCATTACGATCCTTGCCTCCCTCTCGTAGATGACCTGAAATAACATTACACCACCATTCGGGCGACCTTTGACAAGCTGCCAGCTTCTTGTCCTTATCAAGGCCACTAGAGAGAGAGATGGTGGCCCTCAGATAAATTTGGAAAACTCAGAAGGGAAGGGAACTATCAGGGGGAAAGCACCAAACCATTATGGATTTGGGATGGGACAGGGGAAAGGAATGATACCCAACCACTTGGACGGTGGGGGATTGAACGCGGATCTGCATGAAACGAGACCGTCGCTCTACTGTCCAGCCCAAGTGACTGGGCTAGACTCTAGAGATGATAAATCTTAAAAATGTTGACCACCATATTTACCAAATAAAATATACATCTCAGTGGTTAGAGCTACGGGCTACCGTTCCGGTGGTCTGTAGTTCAAGACTCCTATGGCCCAAGTGAATGAAATGTTAATGTCTACATTTACCAGAGTTTATCTGAGGGGCCACTAACACTAGTGGCCTCGATGAGGATAGGAAGTCGGCGGCTTGTCAAAGGTCCCCCCCCCATTTACCCTGATGCAAATAACCCCTGATTTAGTGTAGTAAGCAGTTTAATTGACTAGGACGTAGATCACCTAATACCTCCATGCTCAAGTGGCATGCCTAGTCTCAATTGCATACCAGTTGCAGATCTTTTGAGATCCTTCTTTAATGTGGGTGTTTAATGGTTAGTTAGGAGCTACTGCTCTAGTGGTCTATTGTTCGAGGCTCCTACTGCCAGAGTGAATGAAATCTCATCCTGTAAATATACTTAGGTAATTACCACTATTATCGATTGTTTGGTACTCAAACACGGCCTAGGTACAAATAAGAATATATCTGACAGCCTAGAGAACGTTCACCTCAGAAAGATCATTGGAATATTATTTAACACAGTGCAGAGTTACAAACCAAATAAGATTTCAAATGACATTTGACAGCCCAGAAATTGTTGTTAAAATACATTAGCCATAATCTTACTAAAGTCAACATACGAGTCATAAATACAGTACTCATTTACCACAACACTTAGTGAGACAGCCAGAGGCCCATGCAGGAACTTCTCTGCAAAAATAAAGTTATGCTAGTTTCTCAATGTGAGTGACAGAGTGTGTGGCAGATATGAGAGGCAGGGTGTCACTGGCAGACATGAGAGATCACTGACCTGACTGCTGATCTCGGAAGAAAACTCCAAGGTGGACTCTGACTCCCGCCCTTCTCGCTCAATATCGTCCATGTTGCCTCGTATCATAGGCAACATGATGTCATCCATCTTGCACTGCTTCAGAATCGAGTGTCTGTAAACCCAAGTGAAAAGGATATAACTATCAGAGAACATACTGGCTATACAGCTGTTATCCCTGCATTACCAGTCAGTGATTTATTGGAGTCAGTACAAACTATATAATTTGCATTGGCGCTAATACAAACTTTACAGGCTGAAGCAGGTAAACTGGCGCCAAGGCTAGTTTTAACTTCAGATGATTGAGTACCTGGTGCAGACCTTGTACCTGGTGTAGTCCATAGGAAGTGGACAAGGAACAACGTGTTAGGAAAGAAGAATAAAGAGATGAGAGATAATATCCGTGGTTTCAGAAAGCACGTTTTTTCTGTATGGGGGAAAACGAGTGAATGAGACGTGAGTTGCTGCGCGCGCAGCGGCTGGGGAGGTACTTAGGTTAGCCCAGCTGGTCTACTGCCTCGCCCCGCCAGGTGTTCCAGACACCGTCGCCACCACCAGCCACGCCGTCAGGACTCGTCATAAGTCTATCCAGATGAACCTCCTTGCCTCGCCTGGCCATAACTGTCGGCCTCGGAGGAGGCGCTGGGGACGACCTCGGGCTTAGCAACGCCACGCGGCCCCTCCCACCCCCCGCCAGGAACTCTCACAGTTTTCCTTCACTCAGCAACGTTGTATCTTCCGTACCCCCTCCAATGGCACAAGTCCCAGCCTGGGTGCCTAGTCGTGGCGTCAGGTCCATCCTCTTCAAACGGCGCCCTTGGGACACCCACGGACATCGCGACCGCCGGCTTCAGGTACAGTCTGGTTACTTTCGTTGACGCCGTCCCACATCTACCCACTATTTTGGTCTAATGATAAATTCTTCCCGCCCCCCCCCTCACCCCCATGCCGGAGGTGTGCCCAGCCCCCGGCTTGCCCCTTGTTACCCTCCTTCAGCGTCCCCGACGCGGTCCACCCCCTTCCCCTTTCATCGCCCTTCCAGGTTATGTTAATGTTAATAACATCCAATAGAAGAGTGAAGGCGCTAGAGTCGGGTAAACTACACTCTATGGGAGTGCTTGCATGAGAATCTAGTTGAAATGAAGTGTAAACTGTGGGGGACAAAGACACGGAGACACACTATATGGGATGCACAAACTACCGCCCACAGGATGAGTATGGGGTGCACAAAAAACTACCGCTCACAGGATGAGTATGAAATGAACAATAAACAAAAATTTATAATATTGATAACACTGGTAACGTCTTAAGTACTAAAATTAGGTGAGTGGGTAGTTTACATTACTTATATGTAAATGTGAGTGGGTATAACATTACTTATAAAAAAGTCGCAGTAGTAAGACACTCGCCCCGCGCTTCGCAACCGATTAGGCCTGGGTTCGTATCCTGGCCGAGAAGGATCAACTTGGCGCCAACCCTTTACTGTAGCCTCTGTTCACCCAGCAGTGAATGGGTACCCGGTTGTTAAACGATTTGGCGGATCGTATTCCGGAGAAAATTAAGATTAAGGACCTGCCCGAAACGCGATACGTGTTAGTGGTTTTACAAGAATGTAAGAACTCTTGACTATATAAATAAATAAAAATAAACCACGGGGATATCTATAAAGCTTAGATGAGCCTAGTGTAATGTAGAGAACTCACATTAAACCAGACGACACACTAGAAAGTGAAGGGACGACGACGTTTCGGTCCGCCCTGGACCATTCGTAAGTCATTCTTAAGCACGCTGGAGTACTGCTTGTGGGGAAGGGGTCTGACGCCCCCCCACACCCCACAATGCCAGGAAGCCCGGGCGCGGAGTCCCCCTTTTTTTATTTTACTTTTGAATACAGCATAGGTTGCACATTTTTCTAATTCATTAGGGAGTGATGTCCATAGACTGGGTCTTTTTACTTGCATGGAGTGTTTGCAAAGATTTCTCTGACTCTAGGGATATCAAGAGACACTTATTTCCGGTGTGGTACTCACGGGTTCTATTACATATCTCAAGGAAGAGTTTCAGAAACAGGAAACTGCTATTCTCTTTATGGGCATAATCCACTGGCACAAAAGGAGTTTCAGAAACGGGAAAATGCTATTCTCTTCATGGGAATAATCCACTGGCTCGCCTGGCGTTCCGCGAGCGCTTTGTCATGGGTTCGTATCCTGGCCGGAGGAGAGGATTTACTGGGCGCAAATCCTTAACTGTAGCCTCTGTTTAACTCAACAGTAAAATGTGTACTTGGTTGTAACAACGATTCTTCGCGGCGGGGATCGTATTCCAGGGACCTGCCCGAAACGCTACGCGTACTAGTGGCTGTACAAGAATGTAACAACTCTTGTACAAGAATGTAACAACTCTTGTATATGTAACAAATACTAACCTTTCCAGATTCTTCTTCTCTATCTTGGTCTCGGTGGAATTAATATGTTTTTGCAAACTGTGGATGCTTTTGTTGATAGCGGTTAGAGCTCGACGTAACTTGCTAATCTCCTCGTCTGTTTGATCACAGTCCGATTTCTTGGCCAATTTTTCATTTCGTAGTTTCTCCAGATTTTGCATACATTTGTCCAGTTCTGCAATCTGTCAAGTGTGAATCAAGACTTCAAGCAAGTTTTATTTAAATGAATTAAAGTGCACGCGCGCGCGCACACACACAGGGTGAACAGAGACAAACTCTTCAGCACGGGTGGAACACGAACAAGGGGACACAGGTGGAAACTTGGTACCGAAAGGAGCCACAAAGACATTAGAAAGAATTTTTCAGTGTTAGAGTAGTTAGTAAATGGAATGCACTAGGAAGTGATGTGATGGAGGCTGACTCCATACACAGTTTCAAATGTAGATATGATAGAGCCCTATAGGCTCAGGAATCTGTACACCAGTTGATTGACAGATTGAGAGGCGGGACCAAAGAGACAAAGCTCAACCCCCGCAAGCACAAATAGGTGAGTATACACACACACACACACACACACACACACTTGTGGCTCATTTGGAGAACCAAAATGAGCCACAGGGACGTTAGAAAGAACTTTTTCAGTGTCAGAGTAGTTAACAAGTGGAATGCATTAGACAGTGATGTGGTGGAGGCTGACTCCATACACAGCTTCAAATGTAGATAAGATAGAGCCCAGTAGGCTCAGGAATCTGTACATCAGTTGATTGACGGTTGAGAGGCGGGACCAAAGAGCCAGAGCTCAACCCCCGTAAGCACAACTAGGTGAGTACACAAACACAAACACACACACACACACACACACACACTAGGTGAGTACACACATGATCGAGCTACAGAGATTTTACAGGAAAGAGGTGGTTGTGTTGACTGCATCTATATGGACCTGAAAAAGACTTTCGTCAGAGTACCACATAAGAAGAGGTTGTTCTGGAAACTGGAATACATTGGAGGGGGGTGACAGGTAAGCTACTAACATGGATGAAAAATGTTCTGACTGATTGAAAAATGAGGGCAGTAATAAGAGGAAGTGTATCGGACTGGAGAAATGTCACAAGCAGAGTACCACAGGGTTTAGTTCTTGCACCGGTAATGTTCACTGTCTACATAAACGATCTACCAGATGGAATATAGAATTATATGAACATGTTTGCTGATGATGTTAAGATAACAGGGAAGATAAGTAACTTAGATGATTGTCATACCCTTCAAGAAGACCTGGACAGAATAAGTATATGGAGCACCACTTGGCAAATGGAATTTAATGTAAATAAATGCCATGTTATGGAATGTGGAATAGGAGAACATACACCCCACACAACCTATAAATTATGTGAGAAATCTTTAAAGAAGTCTGCTAAAGACAGATATCTAGGGGGTGGTTCTAGATAGAAAACTATCACCTGAGGATCACATTAAGAACATTATGCGAGGAGCCTATGTTACACTTTCTAACTTCAGAATTTTTTTTTAAATACATGGATGGTGAAATACTAAAGAAATTGTTCACGACTTTAGTTAGACCAAAGCTGGAATATGCAGCGGTAGTATGGTGCCCATATCTTAAGAAGCACATCAACAAACTGGGAAAGTGCAAAGACATGCCACTAAGTGGCTCTCAGAACTGAAGGACAAGAGCTACGAGGAGAGGTTAGAGGCATTAAATATGCCAAAAGTAGAAGACAGAAGAAAAAGAAGTGATATGATCACTACGTACAAAATAGTAACAGGAATTTATAAAATTGATAGGGAAGATTTCCTGAGACCTGGAACTTCAAGAAAGAGGTCATAAATTTAAACTAACTAAACACAGATGCCGAAGAAATATAAGAAAATTCACTTTTGCAAACAGAGTGGTAGACGGTTGGCACAAGTTAGGTGAGAAGGTGGTGGAGGCCAAGATCGTCAGTAGTTTCAAAGCGTTATATGACAGTGCTGGGTAGACGGGACACCACGAGCGTAGCACTCATCCTGTAACTACACTTAGGTAATATTGCGTAAAGATATTGCGAAAGCTTGCAACATATATGTTTACAATTAATATGAAATAATGAGCTGTACAAGTAACCTACCTGAATGATTTCTATTTGCTTGGCCTCTTCTAGAGCATCCTCATCGTGCTGCACAGAGCGTTTCCATTTGTCCACCGTAGCATTTGTGTCTCGTGTCTTTTCATATTCCAGCTGGTTTAAAATATTATTTTTCTGTTTGTCAAATTGTAAACGTCGGCTGGCATGATCAGAGTGGGCTTGCAACTCTCGCTTCTCATACTGACGAATGTTGGAGACCCCAATAGTCTTGCAAAAGTCTGCAAAGACGTCATCTTCTACAGTGTTTGTCTTCTCTTTTACCTGCCTTATGAGGACCTCCCTCTCCGACATGGTTTTCTTTATATCGTCCAGCAGTGGATGAACGGTATTCAGTTCATCCTTCATGTTATCCAGTTCTTTCTGCAGTTGTGCAATATGCTTATCTGTGGCTTCCTTATCAGTCTTTGAGTACTTAAGTCGAGTCTCGTTGCCACGGATCTGAGATTCCAGTGTGTTAAGCTCATACTCCTTACGCAAGTTCTTCGTCACTTCTCGTAGTTCTTCTGACAACTTGACACGGGACGACTTCATTTTAGACAGATGTTTGTCATCCCATCTCCTTGCCTTTTTTTCTAGATCATAAGTGCCACCAGAGATAATGCCAGACTTGGCGAAGAATGTCCCATCCAGAGCCACGGCGTCGTACCTGTTCCTATCCTCCATCTCGAACGCTAGCTTGGTGGCATCCTCCACAGTCTCACACACGAGAACATTATTGGTCACGAACAAAACTGCCGGCTTGATCTCCGGCGGACTGTACTGCACCAGATCGAAGATTAGCTTTACATTTTTTGGGTCTGTGATGTCTCTAAGCCTTTCCTTGAGAGGCTTTACGGTGATGTAATCTAAGGGGAGGAAGGTCTCGCGCCCCACCCTCTGCTCCTTGAGGTACTGTATACACTGCTGTACTGTCTTCTCACTGTCGACCACAATGGCATCCATGTACTTGCCAAACACCCTTGTGATGGCCACTCTGTATCTGGTCCACACAAAGAAAGTATTCCGTTAACCTATCGACACCAGTGATTATTTTTCTATATAAATACATTAGAATACAAAAAAATATTTTTGGTTTATTCCACGCAATATGCAGAAAGGGTTGAAAATTTATTAATTCGTGGATGTGAACTCGCAGTAGGCCTACGCATCTAGTTGCAGGCTAAGTTACGACTAAATTATGATAATGAAGAAATTTAACAAATTATTATACAATGTTTAAAATGTTGTTATACAGAAAAAACAATACAATACATTCATCATAATAATTCAATTAACAAAGGTAAATGTGGAAAAAACTGATGATGTGTATATCATAAAACATGTTCGTAAATTCCTTCAAGGTCTGAGTAGAAGACGATAGAAGAAATGTAAATTACGAAGAACAAACAAGAGAAAGGAAAATAAAAATGCCAGTAGTACAGTCGGGTTCGTTCTCGACTCACATTCGTAGAATTCCGGGTTCGAATCCCGAGCGGAACAGATCGAACTGGGCGCATTTCCCGTCATTTAATGCGCCTGTTCACCTACCAGTAAATAGGAGTGAGTTAGTTTGTTGTGGGGGGTTGCATCCTGGGGAGGGTCAGTAATTCGACCTTGGGTGGACCTCGATATAAGACTAACATATATGTATACGATATATATATACATACGATATAAGACTAACATATAACAGGCAGCATATACTGCCTGTCTGTCCCCTGACACAATGAGTTGTAGAAACTATGAATTAAAATATAAATATGGAAAAGAGACTATGGTTAATATAGCAAACCATCTTGACTCTTCCGAGCTACGGTTCTTCTCAATAGAACACTTGCACAGTTTCCCTTGTTGTGTACCCAATGAAGGAAGTATTTATACCATGAATATTATTATACATTAGAAATGTTGTGCATAATTAAGTAGATCTAGGTTAGGTATTTTTGTTCCGTGGGCATTTATTTGTATTTTCAGTATGTGGGTGAAGCATTCACCCCACGTACGAGGTGCGATTCAAACACAGGAAGAGAGTGAATCAATGTTCGAGAAAAGTTCGAACATCATTTGTATGTCTTGTGTAAAGCGTTTTTTATTTATAAACAGAGGGTTTGGGAGCTGGAATAACGAGCATTTGGCCTTTGTTGATGAAAATAGGCTGTTATATTTCGAGTACATAGTTTTTAGTTCATTTATTATGCACCCTATACTCATCCTGTGGAGGGTAGTGGAACGTAGGTAAAGCGTTTACAGTTCACTCTATTCGAGAAATGTTCAAAAGTGGTCAGTCTTTGAGAAAGGGGGGTGACTTCGACGAAGGTTCAGTAAAGCGAACAACCTTCTTGGTTGTATTCAAGCAGGAAATGGAACTGTCATCAGTTGTTAAAATCGAGTCGAAAACTTACCAACATAAAATTCCATTAATATCAGATGAAGATGCTGCAACTATCTCCTGTGTATAGATTTGATGGAAAAGCTGTACATGATATTTACAAGCTGACAAAAGTATGTTGACCAGACCACACACTAGAAGGTGAAGGGACGACGACGCTTCGGTCCGTCCTGGACCATTCTCCAGTCGATTCGATTCTCAATCGACTTGAGAATGATCCAGGACGGACCGAAACGTCGACGTCGTCCCTTCACCTTCTAGTGTGTGGTCTGGTCAACATACTTTAGCCACGTTATTGTGACTCATCGCCTGCAAGCTGACAAAAGACCATTAATATTCGGCAACACACAAACCTTTGATGAATGGGTTGACACATGTTAATCACGCGGTCGTACACCCCAGAGAACAACTCTTTAAGTCTCTCTACAACTTCCTGTTTTTTCTCCCTGGATGTGGCATCCTGTTGGGAAACCCGAGCCTCGTATAGTTCATTCGTTACTCTCTCCAGCTCTTGCTGAAGCTCTGTCAGCCTTTCCTTGCACTGTCTCACTTCTTCTGACAATTCCTGATGAAAAAGGCGAAAAAAGGCTAAAATGCACGTAAGTCTTTTTTGCGAAAATGTCACGAAAGATCATTATTTTACGTGTACTGTATTTTCATTAGCATAAGCATTCATATACAATATGTGTATTTTTATTAACATAGGCATTCATATACAATATGTGTATTTTTATTAACATAGGCATTCATATGTGTGTATTTTCATTAACATATGCATTCATATGCACAAAGAAATCCTACTAACGTGATATATACAACCCGTCCTCGACTCAAGTCCATTACATCCAGCAATCGACCCCACAGACGCATTCATAAATCTTTACATGTTGTTCATTCAAAACGGGAATTTTCTCATATAAATTAATATTATAAGATATTAGCACATTGTGCATATATAGGCATAGGTTAGGTTAGGTCTTTAGGTTCTGTAGGCGATTATTTGTATTTGTAATACGTGGGTGAAGCATTTATACAACCCGTCCTCGACTCAAGTCCATTACATCCAGCGGTCGACCCCACAGATGCATTCATAAATTTTAATATGCTGTTCATTCAAAACGGGAATTTTCTAAAGTATAAATTAATATTATAATAGCATATTGTGCATATATAGGCATAGGTTAGGTTAGGTTAGGTGTTTAGGTTCTGGTGGCGATTATTTGTATTTGTAGTACGTGGGTGAAGCATTTATAGCGTTGTGATTCGAACAAAATTCGTCAGTGAAACACTTGTTCCGGATATGTTCGAACGTCAGCAGTTGTGAGTCGTGTGTAAACCGCTTTTCATTCATAAACAGGGGGTTTGGCGGGTGCATGGAATCACAAATAGTCGCCAACAGACCCTAAACACCTAACCTATGCCTATGTATGCACAAAATGCTAATATATTATAATATTATTTTATATTTGAGAAAATTCCTGTTTTGAATGAACAGCATGTAAAAATTTATCATTTTTAGCATGCTGTTCATTCAAAACGGAAATTTTCTCAAATATAAATTAATATTATAATATATTAGTATATTGTGCATATATAGGCGTAGGTTAGGTTGGGTGTTTAGGTCTGATCTTTTGAATAAATGATCTTTTCTGTGTAACCTACTGCAAATTAATTATGGAAGAGTTTTTTTTACCAGAGTAACCTGCCACAGTGTGTGTGTGTACTTTTGCAGTGATAACTAAGAATGGCATACGCATTGGCCAGGATTTCATATTTATTTTGTACCTACCTCCCTGGTCCGATTCTGTTCCCCCAGCGATGCCTCAGCTTGGCTTATGTACTCCACCAGCTTCTCTGACCTCATCTGGGCCATCTCTATCTCCTGTGTCTTTCGCTGCATTCTGTGCTCGATATCAGCCAAGCGTCGGTGGGCATTATCTAGGCGATCCTGGTCAGATTTCTGCTCGCGGGTAATCGAGTCCAGCTCCTGTGTGTATCTGGCCGATTTGGATATTGCTTCATTCTTAAGCCTGTGGTACTCGTTGATTTGCGTATCTTCTAGCTGGACACTTAGACCTGTGAAGGATAGTAAAGACAAATATTAAGATACGTGGATTGATGAGACATGAAATTTGTACCCAAGGTATAAGCACTGAAACGAGTGCTTACTATTCAGCAATGTATAAAATTAGGAAACTGTGTCTTAAACTGCAATATATAGGTTATCTTATAAATAATAATAATAATTATTATTATTATGTACTCAAGGCATTAAAGTTAGCTGATATTCATATCCTGAAGAGTAACCAATGTGTATACCCTGAAATCTACCCGGTAGAATACATTTCCTAAGGGATAGCCGAATAGGCCTATACATACCCCTGAAGGCTGGTCGGATAGGCCTACACATATCCCCGTAGGCTACCTACCTACCTTGAGGTGCTTCCGGGGCTTAGTGTCCCCGCGGCCCGGTCGTCGACCAGGCCTCCTGGTTGCTGGACTGATCAACCAGGGACATACATACGATATAAGACTAACATATAACAGGCATGTCTGTCCCCTGACACAATGAATTATAGAAACTATGAATTAAAATATAAATATGGAATACATACCCTGGCTTTCAAAATCCATCGCAACACTCTCTTCAAACTCGGCTCTTTTCTTCTCCACCTCCTCCAGCTTGGTCTCCAGTTCCTTGATGCTGTCTTGGTGTGTGTTGTTTTTGTTTATGGCTTGGGTGAGAGACTTGCGGGCCAAGTCGGCACTTTTCTGTAAGTGCGTCGTTTTCACCTTGGCCCCAATGACAGCCATTCGCTTCTTATTTACTTCAGTCTCCTGTAATATACACAAGTACATTATGCATACAGAAGTAGCCATTATCTTGAGCTCACCTTTTCACCAATCAAAAGCATTTGGACTAAACAGCAATTATCTTGAACTCGCCTTTTCACCAATCAAAAAGCATTTTAATTAAACAGCAATTATCTTGAATTCACCTTTTCACCAATCAAAAAGCATTTGGACTAAACAGCCATTATCTTGAGTTCATCGCTTAATCAATCAAAAGAATTTGTACATAAATGCTACACAAACATATTTATTAAGAAATACTGAAGCTATGAAAAAAAGAAGCTAATTCTCATTAGCTTCAATATAAAGTTTCTCGACGTTCAGGCACTGTCATTCATTCGACATTGATTTATTGATTTATTTATCTATTTATTTATTTATATACAAGAAGGTACATTGGGTTTGTAAGAATACATAGCATAGTATTTACAATCTTGTAAAGCCACTAGTTCGCTTTACAATCAACAACTGTTTAATAATTGTAAACAAAGCTGCCAAAGATTGAGAAAAGATGGACAGGTTCGTAAGTGTTTGCGTAACTGCTTCGTGAATCTCGCCGAAGGAATCTATACAGACAAAGTCACAATAACGTGGCTTAAGATGTAAAGACTAAACCACACACCAGAAGATGAGGAGACGACGTTTCGGTCTGTCCTGGACCCCTATCAAGACAATCGACTTCATAATGGTCCAGGACGGACCGAAACGTGATCGTCTGCTCATGTTCTGGTGTGCGGTTTAGTCTTCAAGCTCCGTATATGCTGTATGTGTACACAAACCAAACCTGTCAAATAATAGCTTTGGTTTTTGCAGTGTACTTATACAATGTTGCATGGGACATGCTGTTGAGTATCTGTACCAGAAAATCTGAGCTTGATTCTTGCAAGGTCGGCGTTCGATTCCCCAATTGTCCAAGTAGGTGGGTATCATTCCTTCACTCTTATCTTCATATCTCAGTTCCTTGTTCTCATATACCTTACAAATACTATATATTCACACTAGCTTAATGCTCTCTTCTCATAGTTCCCTTTCCTTTTTGTTCTTTATTTTTAGGTGACACTAAATTCCTTTAAAACATGACACACTTACCAGTTTTCTGATGTCCTGATCAATCTTGTTCACTTCCTCAGACACTGGAGTATGCTGTTGTATCATCTCGTTTAGCAGCGCCTCTGTTTGATCTTTACTAGTTATCTTTTTCTCCAACGTTTTCTGCGTTTTACGTACTTCTTCTTTCAGATCACTAATTTCATTTTGACTGTGGTACAGTCGGAACAGCTCCAGCTCCAACTGCTTTTCTTTCTGGGGGGAAAAGTATATTTTGTAATGGACACGTAATGCAAGTCAGATAGCGCCTATAGTGTCAACAAACTACGGTTTACATATACTACGCATCATTCGCGTGTCTCACGACTTAAATTCGTGCACTGTGTATTGATAAATTTCCCCCAGAATAGGTAATAAATACAGCCCGTGCTCACGATTTGCCACTCTGCAAAAAAATAATGCAACTGTTTTGTCTAACGTGCGAACCTAAGCAACCCACCTAGCCTTTAAAGGCCTATGTATAGATTAAATATGTACGTGTATGTATATATGTATATATGTCTACGTATATATATATACGTACATGTATGTATGAGAATGTGTACATGTATATATAACAATAATAATTTTGTAACTAGCGTCAACAAATTTTATTTGCTTAGCTAAACGAACTAGAGGGTTCAGTTCCTGAACCGATTATGTGCTTCTGTAATCCTTTACACCACCGCCCACCGGATGGGTATGGGGTGCATAATAAAAAAGAATTGATATAGAAAACGATGATCCGTTACGGTGCTTTCTGTTTAAGTAATACGTCGAATTTGTAACAGATTGTTTTCGTAACAAATTTGACAAGTTGTGGGGTGAGTGTAGCAGAACGAGATCATTGTTACCTAACCTGAATTTACCTGAGGGCCACTAATACTAGTGGCCTCGATGAGGACAGGAAGCCGGCGGCTTTTCAAAGGTCTCCCCCCCCCCCGCCCATTTGTTAGTGCTAGTGGCTTAGCAAGAATGTACTACTCACCGGGCCAGCACTTTTACCCCTTAACAACTCATTTATTTATTTATTTATTTATTTATTTATTTATTTATTTATATACAAGAAGGTACATTGGGTTAGAGAGAATACATAGCATAGTATTTACAATCTTGTAAAGCCACTAAAGCTCATTGTATCTTCATGTATATAAATAAATTAAATAAATTCATGCAGTTGAAATAAATTATGATTGCAATTAAATTAAATATGACATTCAAATGGAAAAAATGCAAATTTCATAAAAGCTTTCTTACTTGCCTAAAATAATAATAATAATAATAATTTGTAAAATATCATACAGTGGTTAACTGATTTGATCTAGCCATTAATATGCAAAGCGTGTCAAGCCAAACTCAAAATAATTCTGAAATTAAATTATTTATAGATTTGATTGGGTAAACACTAAATACCAAACGAGAAGTAACGTACTATTATACAAATTATCTGAACAATTGAAGGCGAGATACTTGAACAGATTCATTGGTGGTAAAGGAACGGAAAGATCGACGTATGACTTACCACTTCATTCTTCAGCTTCAGGTATCTTTCAGCTTCCTCCTTCTCCTGCTCAGCTTCTTTACGTTCAGCAGTCATGCCTTTTTTCTTCTTGAATGCGAACTGGGTATTCTCCTCCGCCTTCAGCATTTCAGCCTTCAACTTGTCGTACTCCTCCTTCAGTGCTCCAGACCTTGGATTGTTGTTGTTATTTTAGATTCAGCTACTCGGAACAAAATGTTCCAAGTAGCACGGGCTATGGTGAGCCCGTAGTGGACTTACCTGGCACAAGAGCGGGGCAAGTAGCACGGGCTATGGTGAGCCCGTAGTGGACTTACCTGGCACAAGAGCGGGGCAAGTAGCACGGGCTATGGTGAGCCCGTAGTGGACTTACCTGGCACAGAAGCGCGGCTGAAACTTTTGACCTTGGATTACAAACGACCCGATAATAAGTTCATGGGGCGTCTGGTGCATTTAAACACATCACAAGTCACAATAACGTGATGGATCCATGAGAGAATATCGAGTCCGTATAATGGTATAGAACTCACGTTCTCAGACTCCCTAGAAACACCCCTTTTAAGCCATTTGAAATGCCTAGGTCCCAATGGTTTTAGCAGTTTTTTTAGTTTAGTTCATTTATTATGCACCCCATACCCATCTTGTGGGCGGTAGTGGAAAGGGTTACAGAGGCACATAATGGGCTCAGGGACTGAACCCCACAATTCATTTAGCTAAGCAAGTTACAATCTTGATGAGCTAGTTGATAGCATGTGGTTAACCTCTCAGAGATGGAGAGGCCTCCAGGGGGAGCAAATCGTCATGGCTATTGATGATGGATATAGATTGATGATTGACTGGTTGATTATCTGGACTGACTGACTGGCAAAAAAATAAAGCACAAGCAAGATATTACTCTAATACATAAAAAGTTTTATATTACTAGGACACCAAGTAAGTTTATATTCACATAATACACGTTTACCCACTGATCTCAAAGAACTTACCCCACTGATCTCCTCAAAGAACTTACCCACACTGATCTCCTCAAAGAACTTACCCCACTGATCTCCTCAATGAACTTACCCACTGATCTCCTCAATGAACAGATCTCCTCAAAGAACTTACCCACTATTCTCAAAGAACTTACCCACTGATCTCAAAGAACTTACCCACTGATCTCCTCAAAGAGCGCAGTTCTCTCCTTAGGATTCTTAATGGCAATGCACTCGACAGCTCCCTGGAAGACTAGGAAGTTCTTCGCCTTCACGTTAATTCCCAAACTCTCAAGTTCCTGCATGTATACCTTCATGCTCACAGTCTTGGAGGAAATAGAAAGCATTACATTTTTTTACGAAAGCAACTAGTGTTAATATAAGGCAAAATGTCCCCACGATGAAATCCAGCCACAGAACATGCATAAATAGGCACCATACACGTAAGCTCAATGAGGCTATCTTTTATGCCATTTTAAATTGAAGGAAATGCGGTATAGCCAAATTAATGTTACTGATGCAGGCGATGAGACGCAATAACGTGGCTGAAGTATGTTGACCAGACCACACACTAGAAGGTGAAGGGACGACGACGTTTCGGACCGTCCTGGACCATTCAAGTCGATTGTGACAATCGATTTGTCCAGGACGGACCGAAACGTCGTCGTCCTTTCGCCTTCTAGTGTGTGGTCTGGTCAATACTGGTTACTGATCTTTAAAAAGCTATAAAGCTTGTTTTACCTCGCCATTGATTTTGTGATCCGACGAGGAGCCATGAACCAATCTGGTGAACCGCATCTCCGCGTCGTCATCCATACTGAAGACGGCCGTCACTTGAGCCGAGCGAGAGACCGGTTGACGAACTGAAGCGCCGTGGATAAGATCACTCAGCCGGCTGACTCGTAAGCTGGAAGTCTTTTCTCCCATAACAAAGGAGATGGCGTCCATGAAATTGGACTTCCCTGGAAAAGTCATTGCTGAATTATGATCTATGATGTTTTAAAATAACCGCAATGCTCTTATTACAATTTATAACTTCGAATATCACTTAAGAAACTTTGATGATATCGATCATTATCATCAGAGGAAATGAAGAACAATGGATATTAACAAAGCTTTCAGGCATTCATGAATGAAGGAAAATATGGTACCGTTAAAAAATATAGCAGAAAACAAAATATAAAAGGAGACAATCATAAACTGAAATACAATATTGAACAATTGGATGAAATGGAGGGTGTACAGTTGGTAAACAATGGATACTTTTAGTTCAAATACACAATCGTGTAGTGATTTATCGATCATTTAATAACTGCAAGTTGTGGTTGTGGTTTTTAGATTTAGCTACTCAGAACGAAATGTCCAGGTAGCAAGGGAGCCCTTGCTACCCTTGTAATATTAAACCTTGTAATATTAAAATATTAAACCCTTGTAATAACTAAGACAAAACAATGTTTATATGTGATAACGTCTTCCTCTCTTATGAGTCACTTCACTCTATTTCCAGTTATATACAGTACCTCTGTAAATAAAATATGGAAAGTACCTCTATAATAAACTATTGTAAAAAAAAATTAAACCCTTAATACAAGATGAAGGGGGAGAGGGATTATCAAGGAAAAGCACCAAGCCATTACGACTATATAGCACTGGGAAGGGGTCAGGATAAGGATTTGGGATGGGACGGGAAAAAGGAATGGTGTCCAACCACTTGGACGGTCGGGGATTGAACGCCGACCTGCATGAAGCGAGACCGTCGCTCTACCGTCCTGCCCAAGTGGTTAGGCAATGCAAGATGAAGATGACGTGCTAGGAGAGAAGACCCCTCGCCTGCACAGCTACCTGAAAACCGAGCCTGTGTGATAAAAATTAATTACAATTCTGCCTAATCTGAGGAATTCAATTTGGTTTTATTAAAGTGAGGATAATGCTGGTATTCACTGTCACACAGGACAGAGGATCATACACAAGTCAAGAGGTCTAAACTGTAGGCTGAAGCACGTACATATATCATGGTTACAATCGACTATATTAGACAGTATACATGTTTCAATTTACGAATATGTAAATCCAACTTTCTATTGTGCATTGTATTGTGCATTGGGATGGGTTCATAAGAGATTCAGCTTAAAAATAAAATAAATAAAACCGTTCTTCATTTTTTAAAATGGACAAGCAAATTTAGGTTAAATTGTTAGGATGCCGCCCAGTAAACCAGATTCAATGAAATAGTTACACAGTTGGTGATAAAATAGGCCAGGAGGTCTAAAAATCTTTTACGGTTTCACATTCAGAATTGATCATACTACAGAGTGGTAGACGGTTGGAACAAGTTAGGTGAGAAGGTGGTGGAGGCCAAAACCGTCAGTAAGTAATTATCAAAAAAGGCACCAAGCCGGGAAGGCTATGTAGCCTTCCCGGCTACATAGCCTTTCCCATTGTAGCCTTTCTAAGCCTTGAAAGGCCTTTATAGCCTTTCTAAGCCTTGAAAGGCCTTTGTAGCCTTTCAAAGCATTATATGACAAAGAGTGCTGGGAAGACGGGACACCACGAGCGTAGCTCTCATCCTGTAAGTACACTTAGGTAATTACCTAAGGAATTACCTAAGTGTACACACACGTAGTGTGTGTGTGTGTGTGTGTGTGTGTGTGTGTGTGTGTGTGTGTGTGTGTGTGTGTGTGTGTGTGTGTGTGTGTTTAGTGGGGGATTGCCTGTCTATAAGGTTCGTGAAACTCTTGACTAAATTGAACATTAGACAAAAACGCCCTTTGCCAACTAGGCCTAGTATATATATATATATATATATATATATATATATATATATATATATATATATATATATATATATATATATATATATATATATATATATATATAATTATGTCGTAGCCAGAACGCACTTCTCGGCCTACTATGCAAGGCCCGATTTGCCTAATAGGCCGAGTGATTTTTTATATTTTCAATAAATTGTTTTCAATTAGTTTATTTGAATTATTATTATTATATTAAGAACATAAATTATTGACTTCGTTGTGTTAGTTTAGGTTAGGTTAAGATTGGTTAGGTTAGGTAAAGATAGGTTAGGTAGGGTTGGTTAGGTTTGGTCATATATCTACGTTAGTTTTAACTCAAATTTAAAAAAAAATTAACTCATACATAATGAAATGGATAACTATCATTTCATAAGAAAAAAAAAGTAGAATAATATATAAATTCTGGAAAATATGGCTTATTAGGCAATTCGGGCCTTGCATAGTAGGCAGAGTAATGCGTTCTGGCTACTAGGTACAACATATATATATAATATATATATTTTATTTTTTTATTGTACTGCCTAGCCTAATGTTTATAACAATCACATATCACCCGATATCTTGTCAGATATATAATATTACTCAAATATTAATTACATTTTTTTACAGTATTACACGTATGGGCAGGGTGGAAAACCTTCCATATAGACTCCCTGGACATAGGCATCAGTGGAGATTTAAGAGGCTTGGAGGTCGTCAAGAAGACACTTATGGGGTCTCCTTCATCTTCAACTTACGTAGGTCCCCTTAATTTGGCTTAGGAGCTCAAAATCAACCAAGGAATCTTTACACTAATTGATAATTTAGGTATCAATCCACCAGACTGGAAAATTCACGCCGCAGTGAGTTAGTTTCTTAATGACGGCTTCTCCGGCTCCTTGCTTAATTACGCCAGCTTATTAACACTTAGCGTAACTTTCAAGCCTCAATGACATAGAGCTAATAGCATTACCTCCGGAGAACTAATTGAAACAATTAGTCTGGAGCGCTAACATTTCCCTAACGGCTCCAGTTAGAAAAGAAAAAGATTTCCGGTGGGTTGCTACGGCTTCCTCCGGAAAATCTCAAAAAGTTCTCATTTACCTGAGCCATTGGGGCCGATGACAGCCGTGAAGGATTCCAGCGGCCCAATGCGATGGAAGCCACTGTAGGACTTGAAGTTCTCCAGCTCTACGAACCTCAGTATGGCCTTCATCGCCAGTTACTGGTCGAAAAGTTCACCCAACACGCGGTGGTCTCACGCGCGACACGTGGCTGGCCTCCTCCTCCTCCCATACTCTCGCGGATTCTCTTTTTCTCTATACAATAAATTTTTAAGATTACGTGAACGCTATGCATGGTAATATTGTAAGAGTGTTTTTTGCAATTAGATATAATTCATGATTCAAAATATTTATGTGTTAACTCACAGGATGCTTTTAATGGAATAGCGAATTTCAATCTCAACAAGACGGTATTCTCAAACTTTTAAGCCGCAGTTTTGAAGTGAATAACAGATATTGATAAATTTAATACATTCATTTAACAGACATTTATAAATTTAAAAAACTTTCAATACACTTTCTGCAAAGGAACATCGTATACAAGTAATCATAGAGCTGTGTAACCCCAAATGTTGATAGCTAGGCTGTTCATTAAATTTTAAAACATCATTATAGTTTTTACTTAACAATTCGCTATACCATTGTAATCAAAACTATATATTTAGTAAATTAATTCGTGAGGGCAAATCAATAACAGTTAAATTAGTAAAATAACGGGATTTCTATCATTTTAATGGACAGAAGTGAGCAGTTATAATTTTAAATTTTAGTCGTAAATCCAAGAATAATGTAATAATTAGACTTGATGTTCATATAGAAGTATATAGATACCGGTGAGTTAGTTGACTGTTGTGGGTTTCATCTTGGAGAAAGTCAATTGTTGGTTATAGGAAAGGGGGAAAGAGATCTCGATTAGCCTAACAATTTACCTTTGTGTTGAGCTATTTGCATCTGGTGTATGCACAATGAAATCACAAAATACGTGTTATGCCTAGTTTACATTTGGATATAATTTAGCTCACATCCAGTGGGTGGCATTTGAAGGTTTACAATCACACCTATCCAGCGTTTGATTGGTCCCCATCACCAATCATTAGATATGAAAGAATATCCTCAAACTCTCTCATTCCTTTCTCATGTGTATTTAGTCCAATGTTATACCTTATAGATTCATTCTCTACCGTAAGATGTTACAGAAAGGAACGAAAATAAAGAGTTCTCAGAGAAGATCTTGTAGATCCTCACTGAACACTAATATTTTCCTCACTGAGCATTAATATTTTCTTCTCCTACCACCCCTATTTATTTTGTATATATACATACATATATATTTAATGTTGTTACAAAAAGGAGTTACATATAGGGTAGAAAGATGATTGTCACGAGTTGTCAAGTTCCTCCAGCTCTACAGATGGCGGGTAGGAACCCTGAATGCAGTATTTAGTTAATTTAGTTCATTTATTATGCACCACATACCCATCTTGTGGGCAGTAGTGGAAAGGGTTACAGAGGCACATAATAGGCTCAGGGACTGAACCCTACAATTCATTTAGCTAAGCAAGTTACAACCTTGTTGAGCTAGTTACAAAATTCAGTATAAGTCGTCACATCATCATTGGGTTCGAGATCGACCACATGTACAGTTTCCAAATTAAGCAACTGACATATGTGAAGAGCTGGTGTCATAATTGCTATGTTTGTCCTGCACACCGTCCCTATCCAGTGGGCAGCGGTGGATAGGTTACAATCACTCGGTTATTACCTTCAGTTAGCAAACTGTGGATATTTGGCTAAAATTGACTCCTCCTGCTTCTAATGCTGCTGGTGTCTACTCTATTTCCTGTTGAAATTGAAATTGAAATTTCCTGTTCGTCTTGTCCTCTCCAATACTTTGGCGAAACTGGCCGTACACTGAATGACAGACTTAAAGAACACAAGAGAAGTGTTAAGTCTGCAGACACTAACAATGCTCTCTTCTGCCACGTGAGGGATTCTAATCATCCCATTAATTGGTCTTCCTCCAAAATAATCTTTCCTGTCTCTACTCTACACAGACGCCGTATTGTTGAATCGGCTCTAATATACAATGTACCCAACATGAACTTGAGTCCTGGCTTTGTTGCTGTGGGCTCTTCCCTTTCACAGTATATATTCAAATGCTCTAACAAACGTGACCTAACATATGCTTACCCCTTCCATTTATCTTTCTTTCTCTTTCCTTTTCTTTCTCTCTTCTCCCTTTTTCTGTTCATTGTCTTCTCCTACGCTCCCTTGCTATCCTCTTCTTATTCCTATAGGAGCTACCTCGTATGGGCCAATAGACCCTCTGCAGTTCTTATTATTACTACTATCCCCTCTACTACACCTTACTTTGCTCCTCAGCTCTCTCTTGCCTATGTATCGCCTGTCTCTACTTCCTCATCACAATCGACTTAAGAATGGTCCAGAACGGACCGAAACGTCGTCGTCCCTTCACCGTCTAGTGTGTGGTCTGGTCATCATTACTGCAATATCACTGTCACTCAGAATGTGTCACTAACAATAGTGTTAGTGGCCCTTAGGTAAATTATTATTATTATTATTATTGTTATTGTTGTACAGTAAACGTTCAATTCAAGTTCAAGTAGGTTTATTGAGACAAGAAAGAAATACATCTCAAAGAGATAGAGTAGCTTAGGCTATTTCTACCCCCTTCTACTTCAAGTCCCTCAAGGGGGCGCACAAATCCAGTGAGTACAACTACACAAATCACAATACAAGAATCCCATTTAACATTGCAGGTTAATATAGTAAGCTTAGCATATAAGTGTTACACTCTTGGGGCAAAATTCTTGTTGCTCCTAAGTATACTGTCTATCATACCATTATCACCCATCTAAGCAATTTGATGTGGTACACTACTTATTTCCTTATATTTATCAATAAGTTGACACTCTAAGTCTAATACATAATGTTCTAAGGTGTGGGCGTGCGGCATACTACATAATTTACACCTTTTTCATTGACATCAACACCGTATTGCCAGATATATTTGTATCCTAATCTTAATCTCATGTAAATTGAATCCTTCCAAGTAGACTTTCCTCTACCATAGGTGAAGGACGAATTTGTATTTATTATTGAATAATTCTTAAGTGTGTTACTACTGTCCACCATTGCCATTCTCATTACCATTTCTTCACTCTCTTGGATCATCTTGATTCTTGTTTTTATTTGTTTCAAGGTTATCTGACATACAACATCAACAAGACACTGATTTGAAGAGTTTTTTCCCGTGGCTCTCTTCGCTATCTCATCAACTACGTCATTCAACAGTATTCCCACATGCGAAGGGATCCACATGAATCTTACTTTATACCCAGTTTTTTCTAATTTCTTAACATTCTTTCTACACTCAAAATATTCAAAATATTCTGGTATACTGGGCATACATTATATTTAAAGACTCTAACGCACCTTTACTATAAATAAAGAAGCAGGCATTTTTACCACATTTGACTGCTTCCTGTAATTCTGCTAATACACCTTGGAGTTCAGCCTGCGTTGAAGAGACATTGTCAGTTAAGCGGCGTCCAATAACAGTATCTACAGTGCCGATGTCAGTGTACTCCCTGATCAAGACTCCACATCCTGCCTTCCCATCGTTAGCTACCGACCCATCTCAATATACATGTAGAGTGTTTTCTGTAGGTTATTTTCTAATTATACAATCATATGTTGCCCTCTGCTCTCCTATTTCATACATACTTTTTTTCTTTTGCAACGGAATAATTACTACATCTACATTACAATCCTCTCCTGGTGGTGTGAATTGCCTCTTAGGCACAGCAATACACTCTGTAATAACATCATACTTTATAACATTAGAACATAAGGTACTCATATATGCTCTCTTCTTTATCATACATTGTTCATTACTTCCCACCTTTTGAACCGAGAGGATTAATTCATTAGCTCCCCACCTCTCATTAATCTAGTGGCAAAGGCTACATTTATCTCTGAAATTCTATCCCCAATACTCTTCAGATTCAACTCCATCCTCATTATCTCAATCAAAGGAAATGTAGATGTTTATCTCTCAGAATGTTTGGTAATATGTTTATTGTTTGTGATGTGTTTATATGTATGTATTAACACGATGTACTGAACGGGGTGAGAATAGCTTGAGCTACCTCATCCCTTTGTGTGTATTTTACCTCAATAAACTTATTTCAATTTCAATCTCAATCACAGCATTTCTTGGGCATCCTAAGATAATTCTCATGGCTTCAATAATAATAATAATAATAATAATAATTTTTATTTAGGCAAAGGTACATACATAAAGAGATTTTACAAAGTTTGTTGGCTTTATAGATTTTTGTACCTTCTCCAACTTGTCCATCCTACCTTTACCAACACAAGAAATGACAGGTGCAGCATATCAATAAGAGATCTTACAGTACTCAAGTATATCATTCATACACGTACGAATGATATACTGTACCGTTTAGTTTAGATTAGTTCTTTTATTATTCACCCCATACCCATCTTGTGGGCGGTAGTGGTCCGGTTAATGAGACTAAAAATTTATTATTGTTTGCAGTTATTGTTCTAAATAGTTGGTTTTCTGTAATTAATTTTTATAAACATAGTGCTCATACAAAGTATATACTATGATAATTACTCTAAGTTCATCATGTAAACAAATAATAATGTAAACACCTGCGGTATATTTATGTATACAAATTATGCAACTTGAAAATACTATCATACCCAAGAACCTCTTCCTTGCATTAAGTAACTTCTACTATGAACTTTCACAAAATACTTATAAATATTTATATTTTTGTGTTCAATAATTTGCAAAAAAGGCATATAACAAAGGAGTATACATTTTTATTGGTGAGTGTACACTTGGGAACTGTGAGCGCTGCCTATTCCAGCGACCGTCGGCCAGCACCGTCGCCATTTTTGTTGTTCAGACGCAGGAGAAATTTCGGGGCAATATTTTTCTCCTAACTTCAAAACCCTTTCAGGTAATATGGTCTAGCGAGGCATAATGTGCCCATACGGAATGGTGTGGTTGTGTAGCGAGTGTTATTGACCTATTCGGCCGGTGGTGAGGGGGGGAGGCTTGAGTAGTAATACTTTATATAGTCTCTAAAATTAGACGGGCTCAGATTCTCTCAAGATCTGTTTCTTCGTCCTGATATATTAGTGCCAAGTAGGGTGCTGTAGACGACACGGGAGACATCTCCCGTCACGCAGGGTGCAGTCGCACCTCCACAGATCTCCAGTATCATCTATTGATACTGGTAATGGCTCAAAAGGGCCACCACTTACGGGCTATTCATGCCCGTGCCACCTTTTGGGTGGCGTAATCTTTATCACTCTTACTGTAGACGTGATTGGTCCAGTCTAGACCCCTAGAGGATCTTAAGGGGGCAAGAGTTCACTTGTGACAGGCCAGGTAGCGCACCTTTAAGGTCAAATGTTACAAAGAATCCCGAACGTCAGAATAAATAATAACGCAACGGGTACACCAGGCCTAGTAGGCAGGGTATAAATCGCTAGACCTCGCTCTCCCATAGTCATTAATAGGTAAGTACACCTAGATTTGCCACAAGGCTACTGGGGGGGGGGGGACCTTCGACAAGCCGTCGGCTTCCTGTCCTTGTCGAGGCCATTAAGGTTAGTGGCACTTGGGTAAATCAGATTGTATCTGAAGTGGGCTCTATGAGTTCCTACGTTACAAGCCCGGCCTGAGGCCAGACTTTAACTAGTGATAACTTTGTGCAACAGACTGTTGCTTGCAATGGCCCAAAGTCCATATATCCACTATAACCCTGTTGGTCCAGCACTTGCTGGAAACTGAAATGTTTTGTTGGTTTCCTTTTGTTCTGGCCTGCTTGATACCTGGTTGATGGGGTTCTAGGAGTTCTTCTACTCCCTAAACCCGGCCCGAGGCCAGGCTTGACTTGTGAGAGCTTGGTCCACCAGGCTGTTGCCTGGAGCGGCTTGCAGGGCCACATACCCACCACAGCCCGGCTGATCCAGAACTGGCGGTATTTCTTATGCTAGATGGGAGGATATTGAACAGCCTTGGACCTCTTATAATGTACAAATAGTGCTCTCCGATTGTGCTTTTGGCACCTCTACACTGGCTCTTATTTTCTCCTTTCGTACGTGAGGTCTATGTCCTTGACACAATCGAGGGGCCAGAGTTCAATCTCTAGTTAAAACTTTCGCGCTTTGGGCGAGAGAGCGCCAGACCACCGCAAGGTGGGGCCGAGTATATGTATAATGTGTATACTCTTTTCACTTTGGTCACCTCAATTCTTGTCCTAGGTCTTTCATTTTGATATCAATGTGTTCGCAATAAAATTCCATACAAGAGTATATACATATAATGTCCAAAACTGCAGCGCGCCCCACCCGCAGTCGAGCCAGAAACGGGTCAAATTTTAACATTTTTGACGCCATACTGCGTCATTCCCACAATGACGCCATACTGCGTCATTCCCACAATGACGCCATACTGCGTCATTCCCGTCGTCTTAATAAATTTTTTATGCCATACTGAATCATCACCGAGCGAAAGTGTTAAGACAGGAACAGTTAGGTACGTTTCCTTTTACCAGTTGCCTCTGTGCACCTAGCGGTAAACAGATACATGGGAGTCAGGCAACTGTTGTGGGTTGCAACCTGGGGAAGGTCAGTAGTTGGCTTTGGGAGACCTTGATAAGCCAAAGTACAGGCTTTATGTTCTCAACAATTAGAATTATAATTCGAGTGGTATCCCAAAATATCTCCAGGGATGTCGGGAGGGTAGAGTAGAAGGGGAAAAAGAAGCAAGCCAATGACAAATGACATCCTATATCTTGTACAGAGTTTGGGTTTCTATGGAAACGAGAAACCTGTTATGTTAAGTACAGGAAACCTGGCATGGCCCCCAAGACCAAGGAGTGCCAGACCAACCGGGCTGTGGTGGGTATGTGGGCCTGCGGGGCCACTCCAAGCAACAGCCTAGTGGACCAAACTCTCACAAGTCAAGCCTGGCCTTGGGCCGGGCTTGGGGAGTTGAAGAACTCCTAGAACCCCATCAATCCCCAAGGCACTCTATTTGGGGAGTAGAAGAACTCCCAGAACTCCATCAAGCAGGTGAACCAGGTATCAACCAGGGTGGCGAACATAAGACACTAGTGCCCAGGGTGGCATGCAAGTAAATTTTGCTGGTACAGTATTTGCAAAGACACAGGTGACCCTTGTTAAAATTGTGCCCAGTCCCTGTGGCGCAGTGGTAACACACTCGCCTGATTCTTCGCAAGCGCTTTGGCCTGGGTTCGTATCCTGGCCGAGGAGGATTTACTTGGCACCAATCCTGAACTGTAGCCTCTGGTCACCCAGCAGTGAATGGGTACCTGGTTGTTAAACGATTTGGCATGTCGTATTCCGGGGAAAATTAGGATTAAGGACTTGCCCAAAATGCTATGCGTGCTAGTGGCTGTATAAGAACGTAAGAACTATTGTATATATAAATAAAAAATACAAAAAATATTCCCTAATAACAGGAAAAAAAAGAGACTTACCATGGCTGTCTTGAAGTAAAGAAATCTCCTGATGTCATCAATTCATGCTCACTCCTGCAGCTAGTAATTAACTAAGTAAATTAAATAAATAACAAATATTTATAAATATAAAAAAATAAATAAATAATAAATATAATATAAAAAATTTAAATGCAATAATTAATTAAGTGTAGTTGCAGGACGAGAGCTACGCTCGTGGTGTGCTGAGTTCCCAGTACTCTTTGTCATAGGACGTTTTGAAACTACTGATGGTTTTGACTTTTCACTTAACTTGTTCAACTGTCTTCCACTCTGTTTGCAAAAGTGAACTTTCTAATGTTTTTTTGGCAGCTTTATTTCCTTAGTGTGAACCTTTTGTCCTCTTGTTCTTGAAGTTGCAATGTTCAAAAATTCTTTGTAAATTTTGTTGATGCCTTACTATTTTGTACATAGTAATTATATCGCCTCTTTTTCTTTTATCGTCTAGATTTGGCATATTTAACAACTCTAAATCTCTCCTTGTAGGTCTTGTTTTTCAGTTCCTGGAGCCATTTGGTTGCATGTCTTTGCACTTTTCCAGTTTGTTGATGAGCTTCTTGAGATATGGGCACCATGCTACAGCTGCATATTCTAACTTTTGGGCACCATGCTACAGCTGCATATTCTAACTTTTGGGCACCATGCTACAGCTGCATATTCTAACTTTGGTCTTACAAAGGTCAAGAATAATGCCTTTAATATTTTCTCATCCATGTGCAAATGGATATTTTCTCATCCATCCATGTAGTTGGATTGCATAAGGATCATTATTCAGAATGTCTACGTCGGTACCAGAATATAATGCCATGTCAGTGACCATCCTGTTTCACAATCAGAGTATGAAGAATATAAGTCCAAAACTGTGGCATTTAGAGGGGGGGACACTGCTTGAAGGCAAGATGTCTTTTGAAAAGCACAAGTGATTTGTCAGTCACCAGCTTCTGACCTGACGTATGTGTAGAAATCTTTGAACTTCCCAATCAGTTCACTGAGGCATTGCCTCACCTTCCACAGTCTATCATCTGTATTCTGGTTTTTACTATTCTCAGAACAGGTGATTGGGCAACAGTCTTTGTTCCAATAGTCCTGGATGACATGATTCACTGAATGCAGACAATGTCACAAGACATTGGGGAGGGGGGGGGGGGGGTTGCGCTTATTATGAGATGGCTAGGAACAAATCCACAAGGGCCATGACGAGGATTCGAACCTGCGTCCGGGAGCATCCCAGACACTGCCTTAATCGACCGAGCTACGACAGGGTTAAAAGGGTTGAAACCGAAGTTCTACTGAACTTAATGGATCCCGTAGCCTCTCCGAGGCACAAACCAGGATTTTACACCCCCCCCCCTCCCCTTCACCCAAGCTATGTCAATAGGCCATTCTCCCTCTTCGGCCTTACATCATTACACATCAATATTCATTTGATGCATCACGTTAGTGTGAGATGGTTAGGATTTTCTATTTTTAAGATTTATATTGTTTGTATTTGAGTGAAATTGAGCGTGAACAGTACACAGAATATGGTATGGGGGACAAGTTAGGTGAAAGCAGTAAAAATAATTGTGTGTACTGTACAGATAATTTATAAGAAGCACTGTATACCAGGACTTGCCAGTACGTAGCGGTGAGGTATTCCAATGGGTAACTGCTGAAGTGTGGTGGTGGTAATTGTTGTAAATGCAGTACCAGTAATGGTGAATTATATTTTTGTGAAAGTTTTAACCTCCTTCCACAGGGTAATAGAAATATTAGAAATATAGAGTAAGTATGGGATATAATATGTTTATATTGTGAGGGATGCCTGGATAAGAGGCTGGGGGATTACCACCTTCCGTTGGATGAAAATAAGAAAATATGTAGTTCATTTATTTTTAACAGTGTGCACAAGATTGGCTTCAATATGAACAACAGTCCACATGGGATGGCCCCATGGCATGGAGGCAGTGGACATGCACAAGGGGGAGGGTGGTATGCTGGTCCACCTGGACACTATGGAGGTTACGGAGGCTCGTATAATGGTCCACCAGGACCCCCTCCACCTGGCTGGAATGGTTACGGACCTGGTGGAGGTGGCAATGGTGGCGGCAATTATGGAGGATATGGTGCATATGTAAGTACTGTACTTTCCTGTAGTTGTATTTGGCATATTTTGTATAAATTGTAATTGTCTTGTTCAGTAGTTGTGCTGTAACGTCCCTGTTCAATAGTAGTTCTGTACAATATTTTCAAGTGTTAGAATTAGATAAATATAGAAGCTGTGATTTTTGTTTGATCTGTAGTTGTCTTATAATTTATATGAATTTTTAATTAATTATTTTATTGACCAGAGAAATGGATTAGCAGTGAAATGCAGTACAGTATTTATTCACTTGTAGAGTGGGACATACTATATATTCTAATATTTGAGAATATATATATCGATTGATAATATGCATTAAATTCTGTGCAATAATGAGAGTACAGTACTGTAAATAGTTTCACGTCATACGTATACTGTACAGTAAATGTACTCCAGGGGCCAGATTCACAAAACAGTTATGCAAGTAATTGCAAAAGTATGTACGTACTTACGAACGTGTACGTACATCTCTCCTCAATCTTTGACGGCTTTGGTTACATTTATTAAACAGTTTACAAGCATGAAAACTTCACAATCAACTGTTATTGTCATAAACAGCCTCCTGGTGCTTCGGAGGTCATTAACTGTTTAATAATTGTAAACTAGGCTGCCAAAGATTGAGAAAAGGTGTACAGGTTCGTAAGTGCTTGCATAACTGCTTCATGACTCTGGCCCCAGGACACAATGGCAAACTCATCATCTGAGCATAATTTTTGCATGTGCCAGATGAGCATTATACTGTACTGTAGTCAGGAGAATCCCTTTAAATTTGTTTCCTATATTTTTCATATAATTTTCTATCACAAAATAAAAACAAAAAAGTTTTTGCACATGGGTTAGCTGCTGAAAAAAATATTTGCTTATAGTACTGTAGGGAGAATTTTGGATCTTATTATATTAACAGGATGTAACTCATTGCTAGAAGCTACAGTTTTGCTAGATTAGTATAATTTTGTGCTAATGTACAATGTTTAGAAAAAATTTCCATTTAATACATTTAAGATATCTTATAATATGCACGAGGCCTGTGAGTATCTTGACTCATACTTATAATTTTAGCAAATTCATTGTGTGGAAATTTTTGCAGGAAAATCTTATAAGATTGCTCAACTAATAGTTAAAGGTAAAACCTTTACCCTCCATTGTGCCTCTGATTATAAAGGAAAACTAGGAATATAGAAGCTAAGACTGGAGGATGGGTACGGTTATGTGCACATGATGTTATTTTGTATGTATAGTTGAACCTAATAATGTTTTCCCCAACAGCAAGCCTCTTGGGGATATGGTGTACCACCTGGACTATCTGGCCCACCTCCACAACAACCACAATCTGACAATGGTAACAATAATAAGAACAACAATAGTTCTGGAAATAGCAATAACCCTCCTCTTCCACCTGGTCCTCCACCAGCTGGCCAGAATCCAGAAAGTGATGGACAGGATAAGATGAATAATTTAAACACAACCAGCAACAATTCTCCAGGAAAACATCAAGATAGCAGTAATCAACAAAATGCTAATGTTCCACCACCCCAACATTATGCTAGTCAGGAATACAGTCAGGGTTATAATCACAACTATAACCAGCCGTATTGTCCAAGTTACGATAATTATAGCGGCTACACTGGTGGATGGTATGGCCCCTCTGGGCCTCCAAGAGGGCCGCCATCAAACTACAATCAGCCACCTGTGGGTCGAGCAAACTCGCCAGTTGCCTCTGGTGGTCCTGTAAAATTTAATCTTCCAAGTAAAAAAGGCCTTGGGTATAATGTCTTGCAGCAACAACAACAGGCACAGCAAACACAACAGCAAGCACAGCAGGCACAACAACAAGTACAGCAGCAGCAGCAGATACAACAACAGCAGCAGCAGCAACAACAAATACAACAACAACAGCAGCAGCAGCAGCAGCAGCAGCAACAACAACAACAGCAGCAGCAGCAGCAGCAGCAGCAACAACATCATGAACATCAGCAACAGCAGCATTATCAGCAACATAATACTAGTCATAAGAGTAAGAAGAATAAAAAGAATAAAACTAATATAGTCATGTCCAACAACCCATGGAACAAGATGCAGTTTATGAATAACCAGCAACAGCAGCAGCAGCAGCAACAGCAACATCCTTCCATTAGTTCATTAACTGGAAAAGAAAATGCAGATGGGCAGCCTCCATCCAATAACGCCTCAGTTAATGAAAGCCAAAATGCAATAAACAATACTCAAGAAACAAAAGCAGTCAAAGATATAAAAGGAATGACTGGATTAGTTGCAAGTGGGGATTGGCCTGAAAGTCTGAAGTAAGTGAATTTTAGTATAGTCATTAGATAATATTTATCGTTTAGTCATATACTATTTTCACCTGCTTTGTGTCCAATATTTTACATCCTAAATCATTGGTCATTAAGTAAAAATAAACAAAGATTTTTTTGAAGTTATGATCATTACTGTATAGATAACATGCTACCTTCACAGGGCTTACGTTGGGCGGTGTTTTGCTCGCTGTGTCACAGAATTGGACAAAGACCAAGTTGAAATATGTCTTAAGGGGAAGCTTACACAAGCAGCAAATAATGGAACACTGTGGACTAAAGTAAGTTTTCATTGATCATTGTTTTAAAACTATTTATACACAATTTAAATTTGTTTTGTTTTGGTAATTGGCTATTCTTATTCTCATATTAGGTAGAGTATTTACCTTGAAAGGACTCCATTTCAGTTTGTTTACCGTAGACCTATAGTTGTGACACGGTGTTACCTGTGACTGTCTATTGCATCCATCATTAACCACTTAGGATATAAATTAAAAAGGCTTGTCTTCTGCACTACTGAAGAATTAAATGTGTTTAAATTAATATAATTGTAGAAAAGCAACTTTTATATTGGGAAAATATACTTGAAAGAAAAATTTAATTTTGCCTAAAAATGTTTATATAAGCAGGGGTTTCCCATCTGTTCAATGGGAAGTGTCTGAAAATGCAAAAACATGATGCAATAGCTATACTGAATTTATATGAAATATACTTCAAGTTTAAGCTTTACTACTCGCATATTAAAACAATTTTATGATTATCATAAGAATACTATTACTGTAATTACTTTCAACACTCAAAATCTGAATGGCTTCCATTCAGTACTTTTTATGTATAGCGATCTTGCGCCACTGTTCACTCCTCAACGTCTGTGTGGACACTGCTGGGGTAGAAATAATTTTGCTGACTGGCCTGTAATGATGCCATATATTCAATGATTTTATAGGGGGGAATTCACCCGTGTCCTACTTCAAATGGCGCTCGGAAAATCACAGAAGTATTTCAACCCCAACTCCCGGTTGTGCAGGTACGTTGCTCAACCTTTGAGAGATAATAAATTTAGTTTTTGGTAGGTAAATTTTGAACGGGTTGATAAATTTAGATTTTGGTAGGTAAATATTGAATGGGGGTTGATAAATTTATTTTTGGTAGGTAAATATTGAATGGGGGTTGATAAATTTATTTTTGGTAGGTAAATATTGAATGGGGGTTGATAAATTTATTTTTGGTAGGTAAATATTGAATGGGTTGATACTTTATCTTAGCATTTTATACGAGTGTGTCATGTCTACTCATAGGTAGTGTCAACACTGGGCTACATGGAAAATACATGTGACACTCGGACAGTCACGTAATAAGCCTATGGATGGGATCAAGTGTCCCATTCAGACCATAAAGTATGCCATGACTTGAAAGATTGAGAAACATGCTCATGATAGTACAGTATAATGGATGGTTGGATAATGATGAGAGTGGTAAGGAAGTAGGGTTTAATGAATTTCCGGGTTGCAGGAAAGGAGGAAAGCTGAGAAATATGCTCAAAGTTATTTATTTTTGTATGTGAACAACACATACACAAAGTAGAATGAACAGGTTTGGGTGGATATAGTTAGGAGAGAATAGAGGATTTACATTTTACTTTTAATATGTATTTACATATTGGGTATTCCTAATAGGAGTATAATCTAGGCTTGTTTATTTAGTACTCCTATAGGTTTCCATTGAAATACAAGTACTCAAATTTGAGCAAAAAACAGATATTGATAATATTGAAACTGATCATTGTAACTGGAGAGCAATTTAGTAGATGTAGAGCTGTGTGTCCATGTGTTAGATAGGAATAGAGTGGCTGTACAGTATTATGAGAAATTATTTCAACCCTCGGTGTTCACAGACCTTTTGTGGTGTGGGTGGGTGTGTGTTACCTGCTGCTGTGTCATCCCATCAGTACCCTATGCCTTCAGTTTTCCTCAAACAGCATAGTAGTAGTAGGCATCCATTAGTCTCGGGAGACTATGGAGTGGCGCTCTGGTTGTTGGTCTGGAGTGGCATCTCCAGGGCGCAAAGTCAGGGTAGGTTGGTACGGGGAAGGAAGCTGTCACCTGTGCAGCAGGTCCCTCCTCTCCACGACGCCGAAAGTCTCCAATGGAAAGGCAAATGCCAATACGATTCGTTCCAGTGCCATCACAGGAACTGTCAGAATGAGGTTGAAGGCAACAACGAAATGCCCTAGGGGCTCCAGCTCCGGAGTTTACCTCAAAATTGGTAAAAGAAGGCACAGGGGCTCCAAACCTGGAGACTGCCGTGGTCGTGGCCGGAGAAGAACCACCACAGCAAGGGCAAGAATGACCCCAGCCTCCTGAAGCAGGGCTTGGGCTGCACGAGACCCAGGCGGTGGACATCCGAGCCCCGCATCTACACGGTTCCAAACAGAGATCATCACAGCCCCCCCTTTCATCTGAGGCCGGCTTCCTTCATGACACTGGGCAAGAAGAGCCAGAACCAAGGCTAACCGGCTATCGTGGAGCCAGAAGGATCACTCTTCCTGAGGACAACTCCAGACTGGACTGGACTAGACCCAGACCAACAACAGAAGAGGAAAAATGGTAAATGCACTACCACCTTGACCAGTCTAGTTACAAGGCATCCACCGTGAGTGCCTTGTGATCAGTGAATGGAGCCACATAAGAAGGAAGTTGCCAGTTCCATGCCAACATGAGGTCCACTGCAGGTCGACGAAACATCTCGTAGAACCAGCAGAATGTTGCATCGTTGATGCTCCATTCTTCTTGAAACACTCCAGCAATCACAAGTCTATTGTATTTCTATTCAGACCAATATATGTCATTGTAATTTCTGTCACTGAACTTATCAGTTTGTATCCATTATTTCAGTCCACGTGAACCACTCGTAGAACTAAACCCCGAGAATCCAGAAGACAAGCTACATAAAGAGTCCAGCTCCAAAAGATAAGATCGAAGTGGCATCTCTTTTCCCTGAAGTACAAAGTAAGAACCACTGGGGAGCAGTTGGAATGGAGATGCAGAACAGTGCCCAAAGAAAGCCAAATCCTTCGCAGAGCTTGCCACACAGCCCAAAATCATGCACCATACTGTGTACCTGACAGAACGGTCCTGATCACCGACCTTGGAAGGCCTGGTGTGCACTGGTCATAAAGCCCCAATCAGAGCTTGAGGCATCCATGAACACACCAGATGATGGGAGGATGTTACCATGGAACTGAACCCTGAAGAACCAAAAGAGGAAGATGACAAAGAAAGAGCTACCAAAAGGGCAGGCAGGGCCCTGGAAGTAGTAAAATGTGCAGCACAGGAGGATGGACCCAATGACCAAGGATGAACCACAAGTCTGCCAAATCCTACTTGGAAACTGGAAACACCCAGGAGACCCTCCAAAGTGAACACATCGAGTGACAAGGAAGAATGGTGCCACAGAACTGAACCCTGAAAAAAAAACAAAAAGGAACTAGGTGAAGAACTAGATGCCAAAAGGGTGGCAATGCCTGGTAGTAGCAAAACTGGTAGAAGGAACTAGAGGATGGGCCCAAAGACCGAGGAAGGACTGAAAGTCTGTCACCTCTCGGGAACCGGAAACACCAGAGACAAAACTGGAAACAACCATGCACAGGGCAACTACATACCAAGGACCATGCACATGAACACGACCTGACAGCCCCAAATGCAGAAGGAAAAGGAAGACCATCCTCACTGCAAATCGAGGGGGGGGGGGGGGGGGGGGACTTGAAAGCCATACAAAACTGTGGGATCAGGAGTAAAATGGACCAAAAGCCAATCCCCCGCCTCCCCCTTAGCACCGACCAAAAAGGGAAACCTGGAAAAAAAACGGCCAGTGTAAAGAATCACAAGGGACTGAAAATCTGACTTTGTTGAAGGCCTCCAACAGGAAGAGAGGCCCTAACCCTACTGGACTGTCTCTTGAGAAAAATGTGGACAGAACCCTGATAGAAGAAATGGAACAAATAGAGCGACATCTACTGCTAAGGGGACCTAAGCACAGTGCCCATGGGACAGAGGAATGGCAAAAAAAAAAAGCACAAAAGGGATTATGGACTAGGCCGAAACTATGTTAAATTTTGTATGCTCTTCGTTAGCTGCTGCTTTCATGTCAATATTCCTGTGTCATTGTGGTTGATTCTGTGTTCTCATGGCTCTGGAGTCATTTAATCCTGTGGTGATCAAAAGTATTGTCTATTTCATATCTCTAGCAAATATTAGACATTCAAATTTGCTGGGTTCCCAGCCATTTTGGAGTTACCTTGAATGAACTTTGGGACACTGCCATTAAGGTTATCCATACTTGCAATATTTCCTGGAAGAGCATGTCTTGTTCAGATTTCTACCCAGTCATTCATTCTGCAGTCTGCGACCTTTTGGTCCGCAGACTGCAGAATTGGGTCATTGGGCTTGCATTACAGGTTATATACTACATGCTCTTTAAAGTGACCTTTTCCCTTCGCCTTCCTTCAACCACCGTAATAAATGGTGGGAAACAGCTTTGGCTAGGTTGCGTATTGGTCACACCCAAGTGTGACCAATTTATGTTATGAGTTAAGTGTTAACTCATAACACTTAGTGGAACAACATCCTGCTTCTTTTTGTCCAAACCGCATTGTCCCACTTGCAGTCATGCACCTCCTTGTGGAATGTTTCGATGAAAAGGAAGATCATTCGTTTTGCTTTCCTAGTGTTCCTCAGTAAAATCCCTGGTAAATCTGATATCTTTGATGTTGCTTTGTATATATTCTGGCAACCAGTGATATTTAGCATGTTTTGCATATCGTGTGACACAGTGAATGATATATACTGTAGTCTCTGCAGCTTAATGCGTTCTTTGGATAATTATTTTTGTCTGGGCCTATTACTAGGGGGTAAATCCCCCCTTCCTCAGTTTACCACATAAAACTACAGTATAGCATCTAGAAGTGTTTGCTTAATTGTCCCAAACTTCCCATCATTGTATAACTTATTAGAACAAATTATTCTCTGAATTTTGTCAGCAATGCAGTTCTGAAAGATCGCCAAAATAATACAGATGCTAACTAACTCTCCTGGAAAATTATTTAAGCTAGGAAAATTTGTATACATATCAGTAGCTAAAGTAAATGCACTGTATATTATTATTTTATTTTTTTATTTTTTCAGAATTGGGACGAAGAATCTCTTCCCAGCATACACAGTGCATCCGCAGTTAACTTGGTGTCACACGTGAAGACCTGGAGTGCTACCAGTGATGCGGGATCAGACACAAGTTCCACTAGTCCTATGAAACAGCAAAACAAGAAGTCACCTTTCAAGAAGCAAATGGTGTCTCCTGGGTACTCTGCCCGAGGATTGAGGTACTGTACTTTGAAATATCTATTTATCAGTAGATGATGATTTGTGAAGTTATCTGAAATAAGATGTTTTATAGTTAGCTGGCATACAGTTATCCAGCACAGTGTTATACTTATAATCTTTTAAAATAGATAGTGTATTTTTGGATTAACACTTGCTTACCATCATAAGACAGTAACATCTTGATGCATAAATATACAAGTTTGATATGCTAGGTTTATACAAGGCAAAGCTGAAAGGAAGCAAAAATAAATATTTAAATGGGATAATGATTATAAAGTCAGAATGTATAGGTGGTTTTTCTGAATGTATTCAGATTGTTTTTAATGAAATAAGTGTGATAAGTGGGAAATAAGTGTCATGATTTAGTTCGTGGATGTGCATGAATTTCAAATTTGAAGGTGTGCCTAGGTAGCTATTTTTTTGGGTTGGGAGTGAAATTTGTATTTTTTTCCAAGAATCTGAAGAGTGATTGTGATGGGTGATTTCAGTAATAAAGTACAAATAAGCCTTGAATATAATATATATATACATGGCATTCCTGAAGTAAATGGTAGCAACTTGGCTGAAAGACTCGTGTGGCAAAAGGTTATGTATTACTAATACTGATATGCTCTGTCTTTAGTGACTTCATGAAAAATATTAATATTTTGTACGTAAAAAAATTTTCCTCGGGCCCCTTGTAATATTTTTTATTCGTAAAATAATATTATATAATTACAGGATATATGATATTGGATGAATGATGAAAATTTTACAAAAAATGCTGATTTGACTACATTTATTGAAAGAAAATGTCAAAAATGTGTATTATCTTTTGACATAAATATGTCAATATATCATAAAACATTTCATGTCTATGATATTTTGACATATATGTCAATATATGATAATTATATGAAGAATTAAATGGTGTGGGGTTGATGAATGACAAGGGAACGAAGGAGAGAAGTATTTGTATTAAAACTTTAGTAATGTCGCTTTTATCGTATTACACTCTAGCATAGGAGACAAATGATTGTTTATTGAGCCTCATGTGATCAGATCATTTCTACTTTTTTTTTAAACAGAACACATCGATCAAAGTCTCATTCAAGATCTCACTCCCGATCGAAATCTCGTTCCCGATCAAAATCCTATTCACGGTCAAGATCACGATCCCCTATGTACAGAAAAGGAAAACGTGATGGTAAACGCCGCCACACCTCCTCAGATTCTGAAGATGAAAACAAGACTTTTATACGGCTGAATTCAAAGAAAGGACGAAGCCCAGTGAGTAGTCGAGGAGGAAAAGGCAAGAAGATTAAGGCAAAGAACAAGTGAGTAATGTACATTTATAAGTCACTTAATTATGGAAGTGTATTATTATAAAGTTGTGTGAGATGTTAACTGGTAATGGTACAAGTGAAAGGTGAATTTTCAGGTTTATATGAATTACAGAGGCTGAGTACTATTAATACTAATGAGGTGTAATGTGGATACAAAAATTTTTGTTGGGAAGGATTGGATCTTTAGAGAAGTTTAATGTTTATTGTGTTTCATAGTGCAACTGGTCAACAACACAAACGTCCCACATAATAATAGTATTTGAGAGTGATCAGGAGTCGGCACTAGTTTCATGGAAACCAATGACTTCCACATCCCAGGCCAACATGGATTTAGAGCGGAGAGATCAGGTTTCTCGCAGCTACTTGACCACTTTTAACAAAATCAATGAGGTATTAGAAGAAAAACAAAATGCAGATGTGGTATACATGGACTTCACAAGGGCGTTTGATAAATGTGACCATGTATTGGTAGCACACAAAATGAAGTAAATGGGAATACAGTAACACAACCCATTCTCCTGTTTAGAACAGTAGTTTTTGTAACTATGTACACCATAGTACAAAGATTGCCATTCTAAGCAATTAGATAGTCGAATTTTGTACTATTCACTTTACAGTCGGAAAACATTGAGCTAAAATAACTTACTGAACCAAACCTCGTTCCTAGTTACCTATGAGAGTACGATTGCTGAACCAAACCTCATTCTTAGTTACCCATGAGAGTACTCTTGCTGACTGAACCAAACCTCATTCTTAGTTATCCATGAGAGTACTATTACTAAAGATAACCTTATTCTTAGTTACGCAGGAAAGTACTATGTCTGAACCAAGCCACATTCTTAGTTGCTTAGTGCTGGGGACACTTTCTTAGAAACAAAGAGTGGTAGCTTAATTAGTATTTTCAGGGTCATTATGGTACAGTGTTGTCCATTTGGTTAGGGTTTCAACATAAATAATTTACCCGAGTGTGTTTGTGCTTGTTCCTTTTTTTCTTTGGTATGCTTCATAGTGAAAATGGTATATTTAATGAATGAGTGCATTGTATCTAATATCTGTGCATTTCTTTCCCACTTCGGCTCCCCTTGTTACTTAAGGCTGATGCGTCCCCATTCCGTAAAAGTATAAAAGGGGGGGGGGTAATGACAATGATGGTATTGGAATGTGAAACTCATTAATTAAACAATTAAATACTATCTCAAATTTCTTAGCAACAATTGAAACAATGAAGGTGAAGGAAAGACCCAATACATTAGTATGTGTATTAAACACCAAATTTTTGGATGTAACTTACAATGTTCTGAACATTGTATACAGTACCTTGAGAAAGGATGTAGGTTACATGTGAAAATTTGGATTTTAATACACTTACACATTTATTGGGTCTTTCCTTCATCTTCATTCAAGCACTACAGTATTGTAGTAAGTTTCTCCAATTGAAGCCATACTAATAAAAGTTCAAATATAATTAGTTGAAATCTTTGTCTTTGCGTCATGTAATCACTGTTCTTTTAACAGGTTAGCGGATTCCCATTTCTACTCAAGACATGGTCGTATGAGTCTTGATCCCGAGTTCAGTACCTCTGAGAGGCTGCAGAAGAGAGCTGCTCGTTTTAATGCTAATGAAGTTGGAAGTCCAAACATAGGGGGTCCAAGAGTAGGGGGTCCAAGAATAGGTGGTCCAAGAGCAGGTGGTCCAAGAGCAGGTGGTCTGGGCCTAGGGGCTCCAAATCCAGGATCTCAACGGAAAAAGAAGCAAATCAATATTACTAAAACTATTAGTAACACCTTTACAGTGGATGGAGATGATATTGACTGGACATCAATGCACATTGTAGGAACCTCAACTGCTCTTGAAAAGCCTTACCTTCGATTAACAACAGTAAGTAAATTTGTTTGGACAGCTCCTTGACGAGCTAATTTTTAACTTGATATGATGTTATAATTTGTGAGTGACTTAAATTATGTAGCAATTTTTTAAATGAAGCATTGGGATTTTTTACATTTACATTTAATTTTTTAGGCACCTGATCCTTCTACAGTCAGAACAGTGGATACCCTGAAGCGCTCTTTGGAGCACATCAAACGTCAGTGGGTGCGCAACCAAGATTACAGATATGCCTGTGACCAGCTCAAATCGTTACGACAAGACTTGACCATCCAAGGTGTCAGAGATGACTTTACAGTTCAGGTGAATATTAATATAGAAACTAGTTGAAACCTCTTGGAGCTTTCCAAGAATTTTTTTTATTTGATGTGAAAGTATTTACTAACATGTGGTGGAATAAGTCCAAACCATTAAGGGGCCGGGAGTTAAACAAATACTGTATTCAAATTTAATGAAAATTACTTGAAAATGTTATGCAAAACTCCAATTTTTTGGCAACAGCGTCGTGAAAATTTCATCCCAATATGTTAAGAAATGGATTTGATATGAATGAAAAAAAGAAAGTGTTGATAAGAACAGCTCCTATTAATTGGAACTGAGGGATAATGCAGTGATAAAGAAATGCAAGCACCTGTCCAATGCACAAAGAAGAAGAAAGCAGTAAGGAGGGTTCACAAAGTGGATGCAGCTGGTGCCTTTCTAACATTACTGAGTAATACATAATAACACAAATAATAATGAATAAGTGTTATTATGCTGTATTTTGTTATATATCATATAAATACATTGCCCAATGCCAATGTCTTTGTGCATTGGGCAATGTCATTGTCCAATGACATTGTTCCAGCAATGTCCAAAAATATATATTTTTTTTTTATGGGGGGGGGGCCAAATTGTAGTTTTTGTTTTTGGCTTCTACATCTTGGAGAATGCATATCCGTCACTAAGGATGTGAAGTTGAAACGAAATTGGTCAACGTGTAAATCGGCCACAGGTGGTAGAACTTGCGACTTAATTTGTTTTGGCCAATTTTTTCACAGATTTCAAACACTATTTTCTAAGTGTGTTTGTGATTTTTTTTGTGACTTTTACAAAAGGGCTGCAGGCGCAGTCTTTCTATGAAGTCCTGAGAGTGACGAAGGTGGGCAGGGGAAAAGTGCCAAGGTAAGGTGTCAGGGTTTTAGCGAGCCAGGAGGCAAAAGGATAGCTGACAGAGCCCCGTTTTTTGTGACATTTTTGTCTACCTTTGGTTGAAAACCATTTCAATCCTGATTGTTGTTGATATATGTACTGTAGTAGTTACTTGACCACAATTTATGCTAACAGTGCAATAGAGTAGGAGTTTAAATTTTGAATGATTACCATAGATTGTTTATAACTGATAGCTTTTTATTACTGTGGAACTATATATTTTTCAATACCGTTCACTACCACTGAATAAACTACTATAATTAGAATTTAATTTACTGCTTAGATTCTTTACCCATTTCTGAAGGAATCTTCCCTCATTATTGCAGGTATATGAAACACATTCTCGAATTGCCTTGGAAAAAGGAGATCACGAAGAGTTCAATCAGTGCCAGAGTCAGCTAAAGCAGCTGTATGGTGAAGTGGGCGGAGAAAACACACTTGAATTTATAGCTTACAGACTCCTTTACTACATCTTCACCAAGAACACCCTAGGTAAGTTGACTACTCTGACAGCAGTCTTGAAGATACAGATAAGCCATACACACACATATCACAATAATCACAATATCACAATAGTATCACATATCGTGATACTATACAGTACAGTATATCAAATGAACTAATCCATAAGGACTGCATTACCACCCTTGTGGGTTTGTTCAGATAAGCCATGTCATGGCTTTGTATGACGTGGCTTAAAAACCTTCATAATTTGAGCGTAACCCTTCCTTCTCTCTTCTTTAATCTTGTGGTTTTTACAAACTGTCTATTCTTTAGTGAGTACATTTCATTTTAAAATTATATTTTTATTTTATGTATCTCCTTTTCAGACATAACATCTCTAATGGCTGGTCTTACAGTGGAGCAGAAGCAGGATGAGTGCATTGGTTTTTCCCTTAAGTTACGTGCAGCATGGTCACTGGGAAACTATCATCGTTTCTTTCAGCTTTACCGAAATGCTCCAAAGATGGCCGGATATCTTGTCGACTGGTTTGCGGAGAGGGAGAGAAAGCAGGCATTAAGGGCGATGCTTAAAGGGTTTGTATATGTTTGTATATTAAAATAATATTAAGATTCTTTTTATTAACATAGTTCAATATGGCTTTATTAACAAGCACACAATTTCTCTTTTTCTCTTGTTGAAAGATATGAGGTAATGCTAATGATTTTCTTTTGTATGGTATGCTAAGTAATTGTACCAATAAGTATACGTTTTTGGTCGAGAGAATCGTAGAGCAAAATAAGCTTTTAGCATTAGTTTATTATTAGCAGAACAGTGAAAGATTAGATTATGATCTATCTACTCTCTCTCTTTTTTTATGGCTCTCTTGTTATATTCTTTCAGCAGTTGTCCTTTTCTTATCCTACTTTTCAATTTCCTCCTTCATATTCTAGCTAAAGCAACTTTTGTGTCCTCGTGTCCAAAATAAGTAGCAACTGGCAGGCTTATATGGTAGACAGAATAGTATCATGGAGTCCTTTTGTAAATGTTTCGCTTGATGCTGTTGGGTCTTCATCACGTGTGAAGCTTGCTGCTCATGGGAATATTTGTGAAGGGTTCTGCATGCTCTACCCTGCTTGAAATGCAGGAAATAGTAATATGACAGAATTGCTTAGAAAATTGGTATATTGTGATAGCATTTTTATTATTTTAAATCTTGTCCAGTGTACCAGTCATCCCTTTTCTTTATACTTATGTATTATTATTTAATTTCAAAACCAAGAAATTAGGTGTTATAGTTGACTACCTAATACTGTTTATAGATCACTAAAGCACCATATTAAATTTATTTATTGAATACAGTACTTTAAAGGATGTTCAATGTTGATACATATATATTTTTTATACCTTAATACATAAATTTTAAAAACTAATTTGTCACCAATTGAATAGGTAGGTGTGAATATATGCAAATATATTCTGGGATTACTAAAGTTTGTATTTTCAGAACACTTTACCATTAATTTTGGTTATCGTGAGTATTTTAACAGTTATCATTTCAGAAACTTGAGTGAAGAATTCAAATTCCTCTGCTAAATGTCTGCATAAACTACAAGAGAATGATGATGCAGCTTCTTAATCCCCTCCTCTTGTTTCCTTGTAGCTATCGGCCGGGTAGTCTAGATGTCAGTTTTATTAAGTCGGAGTTGGCTCTCGGAACTCAAGAGGAATGGCAGAAATTTGAAAGCAGCATAAGTTTAGTGTATACCGATGTGTCAAAATCGAAAATAGACTGCAAACAATCTACCGCTGATGTTATTGCAACATAGCACGTTATGCTTGAAAGAGGACAATGGCAATGATATATTTCATTGGAAACCTAGTGGAAGTGCTTAAAGACTGGTGTCAAACTGAAGATTTGTCTTTAAAAAGTTGAGCATTGAGGGGTAGGTGGCTGGTGTGTGTATGTGATGGCTGTTTATTGTATTTTAATGACAAGATGGAGTTCTAGACTTGCTCATAAATATTTGTAAGTATTTCCATGAACCTAAATTGGAGTGCATGCGTACACAGTGGATGCAGTTTTTATGCATCAAACTCACTTCTCTTATGAAAAAGGAGAGATGAATGTGGATTTCTCGCTACTAAACATTCCCTGGTGTATGGAAAACTGAAAAGTACAAAGTAGAATTGAACTAAATTGAAGAACAGTGACCTAATGTTGTAGGGAATGCACAAACTTTAACAAAGGGACAGAAAAACTTGGAGACAGACAAAAAACTAATGGAGGTGAAACTCCTTAGAAGAAGACGAAATTGAATTATCCTGTTGCTTGGACTGTATTGGAGAACACCCCATGCATTCTGTTAACAGAACTTTGTCTTCACTTTTGATATAACCTTTTTCCCCATTAGCCCCAGGCATTCTTCCTTCCCATATCAACATGAAATTACAGTTTTATTTTGTTTTATCCTTTTCTATAACATTTAGTTTATGTATGAGTGAAGATTGTCATGCAGTCCTTGACATTCATTGTACATAAACAGGCATGTCATCCTTATCATCATCATCATCATCATCATTATCATCGATTTGAAGTCTGCAACAATAACACACACGAAAACCTACGATCTGAATGATTATTGGGGAAGCTCAGTCATCGGAGCCTTCACCTAGTGTCAGGCATGTAAGCTGTGATACATAACCACAGGACCGTAGGGAGAGTGCAGGGCATTAGACGGTGCAGGATCTTCACGACTACTCAGGATCTTCAGGATAATAACGGATCTTCACGACTACTCAGGATCGTCATGGCACCGAGGAATGTTTAAAGGGCTAATCATACAGTTCTCTTGAAATGTACCTTATCCTATACCATTTTCAGGTACGTAAAGAATGAAGCATGGAGAGGGGATATTGCAGTTTAAGAACAAGATAATATGCATTTATATTGTCATACACTGTAAGAAGAATTCATTTACTCCAGCATAATATGAGTGAAAGTTTGCTTTTCTAAATTGGCAAATGTTCCTCGTCAAATCACCTTTTCACATTTGCAGTTTTACATATGGTGGTGACATTCCTTTACAGTTCCAAGTAGCAGGATTCACAAGTGCAAACAGGGAGACTAAAAGTTACAATACAGTTTTGAACTCTTGTGGAATAATGCATTCTGGAAGTCAAGATAAAGCAGTACACTCTATGGACCAAAGCAGTGAAGTGGACAGTTTAGAGTTGTTTTTGGCTTCCATTTATTGGTTGTAGAGTCCTCAGTTTGCTGGTATTATCTGAAAGTTTTCATACTAGGAATTCCATCCTCATACATGTAGGTTTGGTGTAAATGAAAATGCCAGAGGAAGGAAGATCTTCGGACCAGTTGGGTTGCAGCTCTTTGATTTTCATGCCGTCATTCGGGTATTAGGGAATGACAATACTTTCTACTGGTTGACTGAACCAGTTCTACAGTTGCAAGTTATCCTTTGAACAGCAGCAGCAATAGCAGCTTGCAATGCTCCTACACCCTCCACTCCTGTAGGATATCAGATTGTGGAACATTGTCTTGTTCCAAATTGATCCAGAATTGTTCCAGTCTCCACCAGTATTTTACCAGCAGCATTTCCAGTGGGGCCCAGTATCTGAAGCAGTGTTCCAGTCTACAAGAAAAGCAGCAGTTCCAGTTGGCAGCAGAGAAGCCGTGGGACAGTTCATCGGCAGTGCGAAGTGTTCCGGAGCAGCCTTCGAGAGGTCCAGTGTTCAACATTCAGCAGTTCCAGGATCGTCCACGAGTGCCAGAATCATCACCTACTCCCATGTCCCTTATCCCTCTTCTTGCCCTTTCCGTTCTTCTGTCTCCTCTTCGATGTCTGTCACACTGCTGTTTTCACTCTCACCCCATCTCCATATTGATCTCTCTTTTCTCAATTCCCCTTCTCCCTCTTTTCACTCTCCCTATTTATCTTCCCCTAAGCTCCCTTTATCTACTGCTCTGTGTTTTTCCTTCCCCCCCCCCCGTCCCCCACACACACACACACACAAATCGCCTCCGCTTCCCTTTCATGTACTTTCCCGTCCTCTTCCCCCCTCTCATCCTCTCCCACCACCATTATTTTTCACCCCCCATCCTCTTCTTCCCCCTCCCATCCTCTCCCCCCCTCCCATCCTCTCCCCCATCATCCTCTCCCCCCCCCAACTGCCTCCCCTCTCCCTTTGTCATGTCTCTTCCCCCCCCCCCTCCTTTTCTTTCCCTCCTCTCTCTCATGTGTCCTGTCTTCCTTCTCAAGGATCTGGATTAAGGGCCTACTTGGTCTGAAGCTGAAGGGAAGGGAACTATCAGGAGAAAGCACCAAGCCATTAGGACTATATAGCACTGGGAAGGGGTCAGGATAAGGATTTGGGATGGGACGGGGAGGGTAGGGAATGGTGCCCAACCACTGGGACGGTCGGGGATTGAACGCCGACCTGCAGGAACCGAGACCATCGGATCTGAAGTTGAGCCATTATTTTGGGCCTACACTGGTTACTCAAATATAAAACAATAGACTTTGTTACGAGCTCATAGTATTTTTAGGTAGTAAGGCTCATATTTTTTTTTTTTTTCATGATGGAAAATTTGTAAGAACAAGATCTTGATTTATTATGTATGGTAAATCATCTTTCTATAGAGAAAATACTGTGCTTTAGCCTGAAGTTTCAGTACCCTCGGTACTCTATTTTTTAGCCTCTTGCCCCCCCCTCCTTTCTCTTTCTTCACTATTTTCCTCTACACATCCCTGCCTCTGTCCACCTGCCACACCTCCCCTAGCTTTTTTTTTTATATAAATTTTTTTTTATAAATTATATTTTGCAATTTGAATTGTGCAGGCTACCACATTTTTCATATTTTATTACAAAACAGCACTTCAACACACACAGTGTGTTCCTCCTCACATAGACAGACATTTTTAAGATTAGCGTATGTTCAATATGTTGCAGGAATCCACAACCTGTTCAATATGTTGCAGGAATCCACAACCTGTGTCTAGTGTGCCACTCTTCATTTTAATTTTGTTTGCTATCAGCTCAATCATGATCATGTAATGCACTTTGGTATAGTATAAGGTCATGAGTCTCCCATGAGTTGTTGTTGGTTAAATTTGAGGTGGATTAAGTTGTAGTGTATTTAGGCCCCCCTTCTGTAGTTTGAGGAAGTTGCACAGAAATCTAGTTTTGTATCAAAGATATAAAAAAGAAGTGTCTTTTGTATTGCTTTGTCATAAGATTCCTATAGGTAGTAGTCTAGTACTATGTTACCTATTAATATATATATATATACTTATTAGTTTTTAACTATCAGTGGATCATTTTCTTTGTTAATAATTTAAAAGCATATTGTCATGAAATAACTCAGTGTGAAACCTGTGACTGTTACATTGACAATTATTTGTACATACCAATGACTACTGTTGTTAATAAATTAATCAAAATAATTAATATTTTCTTTTGCATAAATGAATTTGTGATTGATTATCCTCGATGAATACAAGAGGTGAAATCAAAGTGATTCTGGTTTGGAAATGGTGGTTGATTTATGGAACAAATTACCGGGTAACATAATAAGACGTTATATTACATAATACAGTATATATTGGATTGCTGGATTGTTTTAAGTGTAGGTTAGACAGTACTGTATATGGTGGAGAAAGTGTTTCGAGCAGGACAAGGAACCAGCACACCAGCGACCTAATTAACCCCAAATGGGCCCTCTTACCCACGGACAGCGTTTTTGCGATTTCTTTGCATATACAAATGAGTTTGTTTAGTTATAAAATAGAGGAGCTGCCTCATCGGGCCCACTAGACCTGCAGTTTATTTTCTTTTTTATTAAATACTGTATATTCTTATGTGGTATTGATAAAGTTTGGAAGAAACAGGTCAACTGTGGGTTTTAAAAAGAGTTTGTAGGATGGTTTAAAGGATATGTTTTTGTATTTTTTTTTAAAGAATGTGTTGTGAAATAAGGAAATATAAATTGGCTGGGAGTGACTAGATAGATATAAACGTACATGAAGTTTCTTAATTAAATTAATTATCGAGGACATTGGGTGTGCCATTAAATGTAGAACGTAATGGTTATCTAAGAAGGCTAAATGTAAAGTAAATTATAAAATAAATTATTCAAGAATGTTAAGAATGCTCAAGACTTGCACTGATATAAGTAATGGAAGAGCAAATATATAGCTAGTATATACCATTTAGATAAAGCAGTTGTACACGTTGTTGTTGATAAATGAATATGTATATGAAAGTTTTTGATAATTCATATAATAGGAAAATGAATCAAAGTATATTATCAAGATAGTTTAATGTACAATAAAATGGTCTTATGGCTTGCGTATAGATTGGATGTCTAATGATGGAAAATAGAAGTTTAGAAAATTTGGTTAATTGGTAATACAGTGGTTTGGGAATTGTAGTGAAAGTTCAATACACATCTTTTGAAGCAAATCTGATGTAAGTAATTAAAGTGTAAATTATGTTTTGATACATAAAATGATCATTTACATGCCAGCAAGAGTTCATTGTTTTACATTGTCAAGCTTCAGAGAAGCCGGGTGTTTAAATACAGTTAAGCACTATGAGGGGCCCAGTTCAGAGTAGTCATACCTGCTTGATGAGGTTCTGGTAGTTAATTCTTCTCCCTAAGACCGGCTTGAGGCCAGGCTTGACTTGTGAGAGTCAAGAAACATTCATGAGAATGTTTTGGCATCAGCAAAACAGATGCATGAAGTTGTCAGACTTATCATTTGAGAACACTGCCTTCACCCATGGTCACCTTGGCAGGTGCTCCTGTTCCTTGGTGTGACACTTGTCTGGGTACAAGTGACAGAATGAACAACCCAGTGGGGGTGTTCTTTCTATTGGGGGTGTTTTACATGCTGCTATGGCGGTATGCCCACTCACAGGATGAGTGGTGCTGTCCAGTAAACTCGCCCCACGAAGCAAAATTAAAAATTAAATTGCTGTGTGCCTCTCTGCGGGCATAGTCTCGTCTGCTGGGCTTCTTGATTCCCTCCTAACGTTTACTGACTGAGCGTATTAATATCAACAGTTATATTCGTTACCTTAAATGCATTTATTTTTCATGTAATCTCCACCTCCAACTCGAATTTTCAGTAAAAAAAAAAGCCCTTCCCAATTGTGACATTCACTGGCACTGAATGACCTCCCGGTCCCAATACCAAGCTAAAAGCCTGCACTCTTTACACACACACTAGCTAATTAAAACTTCAAGATAGACTTTGAGGTGAACTATATGGTTCCAGTGCTTGACCTCATAAAATCTTGTATAGTACTCAGATTTTAAATTAAAAGTTGAGCTATTTAAGTAAGAAACATATGAGTTGATAAAGCCCAAACAGGTCATGTGGTTTCCAGTTGTCTCGGCCACGCCTGTATTTAGGCCTATCGATTTCCCCCCCTCCCCCCTTAGGCCAACTTCTGACCATCACAATGATAAAACCAAAAACAGTTGCCTAACTCCAGGTTTATTTATTTACTGCTACGTTAACAAGAGTCATCATTTTTTTTTTTTTTTAATTATTTTTCTACCACAGACGTGGCCACACATTTACAATGCTGACCAGCCTATATACATTTTCTTCTGTCCTCCATGGACAGGGGTTAGAGATGTGTTAAACATATAGTTCAGGGTTAAACATATAGTCATCAGGTAAAACATGCTGAACCGTCTGGCTTAGTGCTGGAATCGAACCTGTGGGCTGTAACCTGACTGGGCTTCCCACCGCTTCGCCTGTTCCCTCCGTTGTCAGTGACGTCCTGGAACTCTTCCACCACCCAGGCATTTTCCTGACCTGTTGCAGCTGATACTGGGTCCTCTTCCGTCATCCTAATCCATCTGAAACTATCGACTACATGGATTACATCGAATCTGTGAACCTTCTACACCCTGTACTCCGTCTCCTAGTCAAAAGAGGAAAACTGATTTATCCTCCTATCCCCAAGGGAACTCATCGGTATAGGTACGTCCTCGCTTCTTGCAGATCTGTGTTCGATCCCCGATGGTTTAAGTGGTTGAACTTCATTCCTTTCCTATGTCGTATAACTCTTGTCCTCATATCGCTTCTAAGTGCTATATAGTATTGGCTTAGCGCTGTTTCCCCGTTACGGGCTCACCATAGCCCGTGCTACATGGAAAAATTGTTCCAGTAGCAGCTACACGAACCACGGTCACCTGATAATTACCTTACTTTAACTCTCCCGTCACGCCCATCCTTATTTCAGGGCCTTGTGACATGCACGTGTAGTAACTCTTGAAACAGAAGAAGAGGCGTGCCGCTGCTGCTGTAGCTAAATAAATGGTATCATTACTTGGTTAATCATCTTGACATACTGTATGACCGGATCTTGACGGTTCTGCTGTATGATTATATCTTGACGATCCTGGTCGGTAGTCTGACCTCGATAGTCTAGTAATGTCATTTTTTGTTTATACGGGGGAAATGTGTCTAGTTCGGTTATGTATTGGTCTCACAAAACTAACTCATTGGCATTTAACTCCACTTAATGAAACAGTCCTGCGTCTTTTTGTCAGAATTAGCAGCAATATTCTTTTTGCGATAACTTATCTCAGTTTTGATTTGCCTATAATATATACAAAAAGGTACAATGGATTGTGAAAGTATAGATATTTTGCTGATTAGGTGATACATTCTTGAAAAGAGACTAATACACAATAGAATATCCGGATTTTCAAAGCTATGGTAAATTTAGCTTTTCTATTGTTCCTATACATTATTGCATGATGTATGTTCACTGTTAAATATGCTGTAAGAACACATCACTTACCTACAATATGGAATAAATCACTAATTTATATTCTGAATAAAATCGCTATATGATACTAGGTTTAATAATAATAGTAAGAAACACTTTACTAGCTAACAAGTCATTAATTGTAACTGCCGGGACTCTTTAGTATTTTATATACATGCTAAACAGTAGTTATTCATTAGCGTATGTGATTCAATATATGAGTTCGTATCCTGGCCGGGGAGGATTGACAAGGCGCCAGTCCTTAACTGGACGCCTCTGATCGTCCAGCAGCGAATGGGTACCGGTTGTTAAACGACAGTAATCCAGGGAAACTAGTGGATAAGGCTTACCTTGAGTTATGGGATGAGGAAGATCTCAACCTGTTAGCAGGAGTTTGTTCCTGTACCCTCCTGTGTACAATTACAAATCTCTGATTTTTGTTTTAACACTGAAGGCCACAGCAACAAATAAGTTGAAGGCATTTCAAAGACAGATAAAACTAATAATAGTTATTAATTTCATTTACATAGCAAATTGTTCAATACACTACTTCGAATTAAAAGGAGTAATGTGCCTTTTGACTCGCTCTTGGCAGCAGCAGCTAGGGGGTCAAAGACCTCATAAAAGTATGGGCATTTTCATCGCTACTTTATAAGGAAACCTGAGCTAACTTAACCGATCTTCTCCAGACTTTTCATAGTCACACCGAAAGAAAACAAGATACAAAATGTTGTGCGTTGTATGCGGTGTGACGTCATCATTTTAATGACGATACAGGTTTTTGAAACTAAGATTGTTGGGGCTGTGGCGGTCCCACTCACCCTCCACACCACTCGCCCTCCACACCACTCGCCCTCCACACCACTCGCCCTCCCCACCACTCGCCCTCCACACCACTCACCCTCCCCACCACTCACCCTCCACACCACTCACCCTCCACACCACTCACCCTCCACACCACTCGCCCACCACACCACTCACCCTCCACACCACTCACCCTCCACACCACTCACCCTCCACACCACTCACCCTCCACACCACTCGTCCTCCACACCACTCACCCTAAACACAAGGTAAACTCCCTATATCGAACTGGGCAAAAAAACGGGAGGAGAAGGACCCTTGACAAGTCGCCGGCTTCCTGTCCTTGTTGTGGTTATTGAGTAGATGGCAAATATAACTCGTCATGTGTGGTTCTGATATTTGATTAGCATCCTGAATGCATTGTAGAATTGTTTAATATTATGTTACTGACGCCTGGTGGTAAACCGTGCTTTAGGCTTCACGCCATCTTCTCCACAGCTATTTTGACCAAACTAGAGGTAATATAGAAGGAAGCCATGAGCTACGGTGATTCTTGGTGCCCTTAGATGTATCAGAATCATTATCATGAGGTCAGAAGTGAAGCTTCTCAACATTCTAAGAATCATACAAGTCGATACGACCTTTTGCATTAGTCACGAGAGATCCTACATCTCTAGCATTTCTCAACGACCCTTAACACCCCCTATTTTGTGCCCTTAATACCCTAATGATTGACGCTAACATACCATCTCACTCCTTGTATGATAAATGGTTGAATAAAAATGTCTACAATCTCATCAAACTGAACATGGGTATTAAATGACGATGATGTTTCTCTTTATGTGTGCCCCCACCATTCAGGGTATCATACCCACCATTCAGGGTATCATACCCTCCATTCAGGGTATCATACTTACCATTCAGGGGTATCATACCCACCATTCAGGGTATCATACCCACTATTCAGGGTATCATACCCACCATTCAGGGTATCATACCCACCATTCAGGGTATCATACTTACCATTCAGGGGTATCATACCCATCATTCAGGGGTATCATACCCACCATTCAGGGTATCATACCCACCATTCAGGGCATCATACCCACCATTCAGGGCATCATACACACCAGGGCATCATACCCACCATTCAGGGTATCATACCCACCATTCAGGGGTATCATACCCACCATTCAGCGCATCATACCCACCATTCAGGGTATCACACACACACCCAACACCAATAAAGGCAATGAAACTTGCTTTTCGAAAACCTGTTACACTTGAAACAATTGCCTCCTCCATCAAAAAATAACAATATAAGGTGTCACGAGTATTATGTCTTAAGTTCAGTTATAGGACGCACTCCAGCAGGTTGTATAAGTTCAAGTATGTTTATTGAGCCAAGAAAATATATCCCAAAGTAATACAGTAGCTTAGGCTATTTCTACTTCCCTCCTATCAGGCTGTAGGATTTATAGAAATAATTATACACTGACTATCAGGCTAAAAAAACTGGCTCAATTCTACATTAACTAAACTAGCTGCACTAGAACTAGTCACTAGTACGCTAAAAAAAATAATGGAGTTATTTTATAGTTTCGACTGAAGTAAACAGCTTTATAGGCCACAGTAGGGAAGGTATACAAGGGTCTTGTGGTATAAAACCGGTTTACGAATGAATACCACCCGTGTATTTAACACCTATTTTCTACTGTAATAAAGTGTTCAGCATTACAGAAACCAGTAAATAGCAAAATAATTGTAGTACGTAATTAGATTTTATTAATTTTAGAGTAATGTTATTAAATAGCAGAATGTGGAAACTTTTCACATTCATAATTTGATACACTATAAGAATGTTATAGTCTATAGGGGTAATAAACGCATATTTCCTAACAAATTTCATCCATATTTTGAGTGCATTAGCCGTATTAAAAGTAGTTCCCAGAACCCCCACACATGCGTGTTGCGACTTCACGCCAGCCACGACTCCGCCCTCCTTTGACGTCATCGAGTGGGCGCCTCATGCACCCAACCACGCTGCCCAATCAGCAACAGCTCCTCGGCCTGGAGAGCCTCTGATTGGCGGAGAGGAGTTTCATTGAGAACTCTTGCTAGGTTGCCTACCCCGTGTAGCATGTAGGAGTGTTAGCAGATCGCCGTCGCCAGGTTTGAGGTACGGAAGGGAAGAATCGCAGAGAGTTACAGCTCCTCTGGCGCGACTTGGAGGTAGTAGGCTGCATCAGTCTCTCCGGTGGCGGCTAAACACACAGCAGCTATACAAGAGTAAATAGCAAGGTAAGTGGCTATGCCAAATACTTATCTAGTTTAGGTCACATCAGTCAAAATTGCAAGGTATGTGAGAGGTGAGGTATTTGGTACCTAGTGAGTTTCTTTCCCAAGAGTTTACCATATACAGGTAGCTATCACACGCGGCTTGACTGTAGCCTAGTCTAAAAATATATAATGAACTACTGCTGAAGAATTATAGGCCTTGTTATCGTGGTAAACCACAACTTTATGTCGACATAAAGTTTCAGCCGTAAAAGTAATTTACAAAGAGGTATCACCTGTATTGTGTAAATTACTTTATAAGAGGAATACGCGACACAGCAGACGCCAACTGCTGTATTATATTACAGGAGTAGGTGTTCCTCTCTGCTCTAAATCACTGTAGAATTGTGTACAATTGAATTTCTTTATATACACATTTAAATCTTATCATAGAGGTCATTGAAGACGGCCGTTTTACATTACACATCATAATGTAACATTAATCCTTGTTTGGACCGCTGTAGAGCGTTAATTACATTATGGTAATCGGCTGGAACTATGTCGCGAGGACCGCGCTCGTTAAGGTGTTGAGTGAAGGCCAAATACGTAGTCATTAACCTAATCTCTCTGGCTGAGACTCTTGACATTTTCCGGCCACTTTACATAGCATTAAGGCGGGAACGGCAGAGTCTATTATTCAACTGTAAACGGGTTGAGGAGTGTTGATAAATTGGTTGTTACCGGGCGTTCACCTGTCGGTGTATCTTGTATGCTCATCTGCATATTGTTGGGGGGTGGCTGGGGAAGGGTTTTGGCGTGGGGAGGGGGATGGCGTGGGTGGATGTGGGGGAGGAGGGAGGTGGGGGATTTGTGTGGGTGTTCGGGGTTGGGGGGGAGGATTTGTGTGGGTGTTCGGGGGTTGGGGGGGAGGATTTGTGTGGGTGTTGGGGGTGGGGGGGAGGATTTGTGTGGGTGTTCGGGGGTGGGGGGGGGATTTGTGTGGGTGTCCGGGGGTGGGGAGGGGGATTTGTGTGTGTTCGGGGGTGGAGGGGGATTTGTGTGGGTGTTCGGGGGGGGGGAGGATTTGTGTGGGTGTTCGGGGGTGGGGGGAAGGATTTGTGTGGGTGTTCGGGAAGGGGGGGGGGAGGATTTGTGTGGGTGTTTGGGGGGTAGGGGGTTATGGTGGATTTTGGAAGTGATGATGGGATTTGTGGTGAAGGGTCTTAGACACTTTCCTGGTGACATGAAGAGACGTGTTAAGAGGCATGTGGAGGGAAGGTAAAGAGGTGGAAGATCAGAGACGAGGTTTAAGGAGAATGAATTGTGAGGTTTCAAATGTAATACTGTTAGGTTTGAGGAATGATGAGCAATTGAGGTTAAAGAAGGCCGAGGTGAGGTTGTGAGGCTTAAGAAGGTGGCTATTGCGAGGTTTTATGAGTGTTTATAAATGAGAAACTGAGATTTTGAGGTTTAAGTTAGAGGCTGGAAGTTTAAGGATAAGAACTTGGGAGATTTTAGGATGAATGTAAGTTTTTTGGCAGACAGGTTCCTAGCAATAAGGTGAAGTTGAATGGCGAAGGTTTGGTAAGTTGATGGTGTGAGTTTTAAGAATCGGAGGTTTTGAGGGTCAAGACAAGCGCTCTTCGCCTGTACAGATAAGTTAGTTTGAGGTTGAGTGTGGTTGATGCTCGGGGAAGAAAAGACACGAGAGATTACGTCTTAACGCAAATAAGTCTCCTCAGAGGTTTTAAGGTTGATGATAGGTGCCAAGACTTGAGGAGGTTGTGAGGTTGAGGAGGAAGGCTGATTGGTTTTGAGGTTTAAAAGGTAGAGATGAGAGGTATTTAATGTTACACGCTGGGGTTGGGAGTAAGGCAGGCAATAGGCGCATTGTTTGTGATTGGCTAATATGTTTTGTCTAATGAACACCTTTAATATTGTGTGCTCGTTCTCCTTAGATGTTTGAGGGGTTGAGCGTGTGCTCTAAAGCCCCGCCATTCGGCCATCAGTTAATGCAATGACTTTTTACATTTTTCTTGTATTTCAAACAATCGATTTGGCTTGGACAGCTTCGTCTAGTCTGTACCATTTATTTAAGACTCTTAAAATGGAAAAAGTTTGACAATAATTTGTCTGCAATTTCCCTTCTTGTCCCTTCTTTCTGCCACCCCAATCTGTTTTGTGCTTCGTTCTTTGTATATTCTTCCTAGCCTCTCTGTCTGTCTCTCTCTCTCATAAATAAATATATAGATATATTATATAGAGCAAATAGCTTTTGCTCTTTGGTCCCACCTCTCGACTGTCAATCAACTAGTGTACAGATTCTGGAGCCTACTGGGCTCTATGAAATATACATTAGTAGAAACTGTATATGGAGTCAGCCTCCACCACATCATTGCTTAATGCATTTCATTTATTAACTATTGACGCTGAACAAATTATTTTTGTCTGTGGTTCATTTGGGTACAAAATTTCCACCTGTGTCCTCTTGTTTGTGTTCCACCCGTGCTAAATAATTTATTTGTCCACCCTGTCAATTCCTGTGAGAATTTTGAAGGTCTGTTATAATTACACGAGAAACGTAATGTTTTTTTCCCTTACTCTTGACATCCAGGGACGTGAGGAAGGCTTCGCTCCCGTAGTCTTTCCTCGTAGCTCATACCTCTGTTCTGGGACTAGTATGTTGGCATGCCTCTGAATCTTTTAACTTTGCCTTGTGTTATTGAGTCCTAAGTATGGACTCCATACTTAGGCCGGAGCTGCGTACTCCAGGATTGGTCTGACATAAGTGGTATAAAAGGTCCTTACACGTTTCTAAAAGACGGTTCTTATGTTGACCAATCTAGCATGATGATGATATCCTTTTGATATGGGCTTTTGGGAACAGATTCGGTGTGATATCCGCCTGTGCATGCCGGGCTCCCGTGTACTCGCCTAGTTGTAATCACCTAGTTGTGTTTGCGGGGGTTGAGCTCTGGCTCTTTGGTCCCGCCTCTCAACCGTCAATGAACAGGTGTACAGATTCCTGAGCCTATTGGGCTCTATCATATCTATACTTGAAACTGTGTATGGAGTCAGCCTCCACCACATCACTGCCTAATGCATTCCATTTGTCAACCACTTCATCTGTCAAACACACACACACGTGTGTGTGTGTGTGTGTGTGTGTATGTATACGGTATTGATGAATTTTCGTTTTAATTATACTAAACATCTGCTTTTTCCTCTTGCTCCTCGTTCTGTAGTTTTTTTTTTGTTATCCTCTTTCAATCACTGCTAGTTGTCCAATCTCTCTTCCTGCTCCTCTCTTCCTCGTCATCGAAATCATCACGCATAATTTTCACATTTATCTCTTCTTTATGGTACTTTTCTTTTGTCCAATTCTCTAGTTTCTCAACTTTTTCTTAGCTGCTTAGTTCTTCAGTTTTTTCTCTGTGCTCCTCCTTCAATGTTTAATTCTTCATTTTCCTTTTAAATTTCTTATTTTCCTAATCTGTTGCTCTTCCCCCCCCCCCCCGTCTTGTTTCACATTTCTTAATTTTCTCCTGTTTTCTAGCTCTGTGTTTTGCTTTAATGTTGATAAAAATGTTATATATCTCAAATTAGTTTTTTTTTGTTTGCACCATTTATCCTTTGCTCGCTCTTCTTCCTCTTTCTTACCGTTAATTTTTCTTCTCAATTTTGTTTACTTCATGCCTTTTTCTCCTTACTAATTTCCTCTTTATTTTTAAAGGATTCATTTTTTTTTATTTGTAATGTTCTCGCTTTTTGTTCTTTGAATCTATTTTATTTTTTGTAATGTTTAAGGCTATCGTGAGCTTTATTTTACTAATGTATTTTTTCGCTTTTATTTTTTAATACTACCTCATTTTATCGGGACAGGCAGCCAGTATATGTATACATGTGAGGCATATGTTAGGTCCTAACATGTATAGGTCATATTAGGTCCTCCCGAAGTCGAACTATTGACCCACCCCAGGATGCAATTCCACAATAAGCACTCCTGGGTGCCTATTTACTGCTAGGTGAACAGATGCATTCGGTGATAGGAAACGCGCCCAATCATGTCTGTCCCACCCGGGGTTCGAATCCTGAATTCTAGATTGCGAGTAGAGAACGAACACGGCTATTTTTGTTCTGCAAACAAGTTAAAAATCGCAGTAAAATTATATTTTGTTCAATTCTATATTCATAACTTTGTGTGTAGGCGTAGTGTGGGCCTTGTATTCACCCAGTTGTATTCACCTATTTGTGCTTGCTGGGATTGAGCTCTGCTCTTTCAGCCCGCCTCTAGACTGTCAATCATTTGTTAGAATTTTTTTTACACGCGCGCGCACACACACACACACACACACACACACACACACACACACACACACACACACACACACACAGGAAGCAGCCCGTAACAGCTGTCTAATTCCTAGGTACCTATTTACTACTAGGTAGCAGGGGCATCAGGGTGAAAGAAACTAATTTGTTTCTGCTATCACCGGGGATCGAACCCGGACCCTAGGATTACAAGTCCAGAGCGCTGTCCTCGGCTATCTGCCCCAAAAATTGGCAAAATTGTATATGGGAGGTTGTGTGGATGTCCCCGTGTGTGGTTTAGCGTGTGAGTGTACCCGTGTGGTCTGCAGGGTTGAGCCTTGGCTCTAGGACTCCACCTCTCGAGTCGCTGGTTGTCTAATAGTGACTCCTGCTTTGTTCCATTAATATCCCCTTTGTTATGTCCATTCATTCACTTGTAAACCTCTATCATGTCACCCCTAACTCTTCGGCTTTCCTGTGAATGCAATGTAAGCTTTGTTAATCTTTCTTAGTATGACAGGTTTCTAATTTGAGGTATTAACTTTGTCATGCTTCGCTGGACACGTTCTAGTAAATTTATATCCATTCTATAGTACGGTGACCAAAAGTGAACTGCATAATCTAAATGGGGCCTAACCAGAGCAAGATATAGCTGAACAACAACACAAGGTGTCTTGTTACTAACGCTTCGTTTTTTTTTATTGTTGCCGCCG